GGCCCTTAAAAACCTCACATTTGTCTAGACAGTATGATTTCCAGCCTATATACAGCTCACTCTGCACAGGATCGTTTACCACTTTCTGAATGGCTCGCAGCAAAATGATGTTATCGTGAAGTAGTTTATCTCTCAGCAATATTTTTATAAATAAAAAATATAAAGAGAGCCCTGCTACAATACAAATACGCTTTTCCCCATAGTTCGAGGAAATGAAAAAAAAATTGTACTAGTTCATAAGGCACCTGACTCTTGATTAAACAATGCAATGACAATGCCTGAATCTACTTAGTTCTATCATAAAGTTTGTGAATCAAGAAAAGAAGTCTACCTTTCTTGGTTATACTTTCTTTCTATACCTACACCTTAAAGTCTACTTTCTATACCTAAAATCATAACTAAGCGACACCCCTAGGCTCACATGACAATGTTTTGCTGCCAAGACATGGCTGCGTATGTGAAAACCTATGAGGGCAGTACAAGGATGCCCCTATACATACAGCAGCCCATGACACCCCGACAGGGAGATCTTCATGTCCATGCAGTGCAGGGCCGGAAGGTCATGTGGAGCTAAGAGAAGCCAATGCCAATATGCAAAGATATGGCAAACAAATGTAGTGATTGTGTGGGTAGGCTACACAAGAAACTTGCGAGATGATCAGTGCTATCTGTTGCATAAACCACGAAATAACGAAAGTGCATACCTCAAGCTCTAGCAGCATTTTGTAGATAAGAGTGCAACCATCTGCAGAGTCAATTGCTTAATGCATAGTTGTAACGTAGATCTTCCCCAAAATAATGTTATGGCTATGACGAGGGCACCCGAACAGCATTATATAATAGAATCTCATTAATTGCACTGGCTGTTAATTTTCAATTTTAGTTAATTCAGCTGCAGCATCTGGTCCAGTCTAAATTAGTATTGTTCTATGACTGAAAACTCCAATTCGGACGGATGCGACCTTGCTTCGGTTAATTGGAACTCCAGACTGAGGTCGATTCGCAGTCGGAACAGCCCCCCTAAACAACTTCAAGACAGCATTGCGACCTCAAAGATTTAAAACAAGGTACAAATGAGCTGTGCTTCTCAAAGGTGTACAAAAAAGAAAGAAAGAAAGAAAGAAAGAAAGAAAGAAAACATGGCGCTGGTTTACAACCAAAATGAAAGGCAGTGCACTGCTACTGTCATCAGCATTGGGCAAGCAACGAACTTGTTTTTGTCTTTCTTTTTGTGCATCCAACATACTATTTGCGTTGCGGTTGAGCTGGATTGTTCTCCTGAGCAGGCAGTTGCTTTGAAAATTTTTATTGCCCCGCCGCAATGGTCTAGTGAATAAGGTACTACACTGCTGACCCGCAGGCCGCGGGATCGAATCCCGGCTGCGGCGGCTGCATTTTCGGTGGAGGCGAAAATGCTGCATAGGCCCGCATGCACAGATTTGGTTGCACGTTAAAGAACCCCAGGTAGCCGAAAGTTCCGGAGCCCTCCACTACGGCGTCTCTCATAATGATAATTGTGGTTTTGGGATGTTAAACCTCACTATTTTTTGTAGTGGAAAGGAAAGCTTACCGTTCAGTCAGTCTAATCACGGAATTGCAAAGTGGGAAACACCACGAAACATTTGTAATCAAAATTTTTCCATCTACAACGAATATGAAGTCGTATGCTCACATGCTGCAAACAATGAACGCGTGAGTGGTTTGTGTTCGCATGGTGGTTAACTGCGTATGTGTGCACTCCATACGCATGCAACATGGCTTGACTTGGTCCACTGGCGGTCGCGACAGCAGTGCCGCTTCTCACCGTGCAACTACTTTTATGTTATAAGCAGCGCAGAATTGAGCAAGGCTGCATACTCTAATTTTGAGGACTAGCACGCATGACAACATCAAACTACTTGACTACGTACAGGAAAGTCATCGACTCCATATTTCATAACCGAGCCTCAATTTTCGTGCGCTAGGCTGCACAATATGTCGGTTTTGTTACTTTTAGGTACGATTTAAAAATATAAATCGTACTCACAAGGTGAACAAAATGCTACAATCTGATGCTATACTTCATGGTCTTTTCATTTCTAGTAGAATCTGATCACACTTTCACATGTTGTTGTTATCACAGTGATTTTTATTTTGTTCACTGTCTACTTTGTGCGCATCACCAAGCGACATCGGGATTGCTTTCCCTGCGCTTCTTGCCCCGGACCCTGTGATAAAAAGGGCGAAGTACAAAGCGAAGAATTTGGCTGAAAAGATGCAAATATTGAAGGCGTTGCAAGTGGGAGGATCTAAATCAAAAAGTGATAAAAAAGTTCAATGTCAAGAACTCGCACTGAGTAGCTATGTCAAGGACGAAGACCAGATTATGCTTGGCAAAAAAAAAAAAAAGGCTTAGAATGACAGTGCACCACAATCCAGCACTGTTGCCCTGGATTGCCATCTCGTGCGATGCACGTTTACCTTTGAGCAGCCCCCTTGCTGCGCAAAAGCAGGAAAGTTTGCACTGACCATGAACATTGACTCTTTCAATGAGTCAAAAGGGTGGTTCGACTGCTTCAGTAAGCACCATGGGCTGGTGTTCAGCAACGTGTGTGGTGAAAAAGGTGCTGTCAAAGAAAGCGTTGAGCAGGACTGGCTGTCTAGACTATCTGCACGCCTTTCTACGTATGAGTCATGCAACACTTTCATCGCTGATGAGACAGCGCTGTTTTTCGAGGCTCTGTCTGACAGGACAATCACGTTTGAGGAGGACCACGCACCGAAGAAAAACGAATTACAGAGCGGGTGGCTGTTTTTCTGGCTGCAAACATGAACGGTACAGATGTGGTACGAAAACATTGAACTTCTGTTCTTGGTTCCGAACACAATGGCTTTCCTGCAGCCAATAGACTAGGGAAATATACACTTTGCGAAAAGCCACTATTAATGGCAGGTACTTGGGCGGATGTTGCTTTGCATGGAGGCAGGCAAGCAGCTAGGCCAGCCTATTTGGCGCAGTCCACATGCTCACATACATGTGGAGCAACAGACTGCCTGAAATAGTCATCAAATGCTTCAGACATAGCGACTTCGTGCACAGCACTGCTGACCCGGGCATGATGGCTAATGTTGAAAACGGTGAACACCAAGACGGGTGCTATGTAAACATGATGCCAGCTGATGTGCCCTTTGGAGACTACTTCGCAATAGACAATGATGTTGCTGTTGCTGGTTAAGTGACAGACAGCGATATCATTGCCATAGTCTTAGATGGTGAAGGGAAATCAGCTGATGAGGACCCAAGCAATGCAGACGAATGTCCACGCCACACATAGATGGAGGCAACATGGATGGAGCCGAAGCATGCGTTGGCAGTCTTAGAGGAGATCTGCATGGCTTCCTCAGACAGTATGCATGAACTAAGCCACCTGCAGGAACTCTGCGAAATTGTGATTTCCTCGCACATTGCCTCTGCGAAGCAAACAGTGATCACAAACTTCTTTAAGAAAATAAAAGTCTGACAGCATTGGAAAAATTTTTCAAGTATTTTGATTGTACTCACGATAATTCAAACCTTCAGTTAATTCAGACATTCCATGAAGTCTGAATCAACAGGGTTTTGCTATAGTGGATGCTCGAAGAAAAACCCATTTGACAAAATTAGAAAGGAACGATTGTTTTCTTACCGAGTTTCTTTTAGAAAAAAATTTAATTAAATCAGGTTTGGTGGCCAAGTTAGTTCATTCGGATTAATTCCAGCATCAAAACCCATAGTTACCTGCCAGGATATGACAATTTTGTCGTTAGAGTGGGAACTTCATAAAATTGGTTTTGTTAGACCAAGTTTCAAATGCAGTAAATATAAACATTACTATTTGCCCATCAAGGTTTACAGTGACCATTTCTGTGCTCCAAACAAGTTTTTAAAGCATTTCAAGTCATCAAAATAAACCATTTTAGTACATCAATACACAAGCAATCTTGTGAATCAACTCTAAAGCATTCTTGTGAACCAACTTCACCAAAATCTTGCCACTAAAGTACGAAACGGAATTTGTTAAAGAGTACCGACACAAAAAATTTCAGTTGTCGCTTCTTTGTGTCAAATGAAAGGCCACGCCCTCAGAAGCTGAAAAGATGTGCTACTAAGTGTAAGTGCACCCTGAAAAAGTACTAATTACAGAGTTTTAAAAGATAGCTTCAGTTTCTACTGTACCTGACGTCAAAGCACAGCACGCACTTTTTATGATATAAGTTACCACGACGTTTCCATGGCTACTCCTTCTCATGGCTCCATTGATGCCACACAAGCAGCCATTTTGAAAGGTTTGGCATCTGACATCATCACAACTAGCCATACTGCTGGGTGAAGTCAACAGAATTACAACTGTAGCCTGGCATCAAGCTAGTGTCAATGTTAGTAGGTACGCAATGGTAAATTTGATTTTAATATCAAAATAAAATATTTGTCAGCATTTGCCATCTCTGCATACAGAAGATTTTTACAGAAGAATAACCTCCCTTTCGAAAAATAGTGTCAGTACTCCTTAAAACACCCATTAGCTGGAAAGAAAGTTGCAGACTCCACCAACAGAGGCCTAAATCGTGATGCTTGTTACCAGAAAGATCGTAAGCCGTTATATTTCTGCCGTGGTTCATCAGCGTGCAGTCTGCCACGGTAAGTTAAATGGCACAACTTTTTATAAGTTGAAAGAGAATCAAATATAGCCCAAATTAATCACCTGAACATGAATTTTATAAGACACCAATGTACTTGACTACCTGCAGGCAGTAGGGTTCGCTTTGAAAGCTCCAGACATACAGCAGAAGCAATTCTTCTGTTCCGAGTTTTAAGCATGCACTGCAAAATAACTTCTGGCTTCTTCTGATCGCTGTTTGTTCAAGAATAATGCATCAGATGTCTTTGTCACCGCTTAGGCACCCAGTGACTAAATGGCCTGTACAAACAGACATTATCTCTTCTTGCAAGTGAAAAGAAATAGAAAGGCATGGGCACGTACCCTGTGCCTGTTATAAGGGCCCGCGTTGTTGGAATAGAAGCCAGAAGGACCATCATGCAGATTGTTCTGGTACGAGTGATCGCCTTCCCCTCTGGATGATTCCTTGTGTCCTCGATATCGCTGGGAAGGCTGATGCTGCTGCTGCTGCTGCTGAGAAAAGCGGCTACTGTTGCTAGATGGTCCATTCATGCGGCCCTTTGAACTGCTGTGGCCTCCCCGGTTAGAGTGGTCGTGCGCAGAATGAGCCTCGGAAGGTCGGTCACCCAGATGGGAATCTTCTACATCAGGCACTGGCAAGAGATGCAAGACAGGATGCTTAAATGTGTTTAGAAGATATGCAACAATTGCCCAGGAAGCACGTAAGTTGCACACACATGATGATACAAGAAAACAGTCACACTGTGCCATTGTGTTTCCAAACGCAAATATTTGTTTAAAAACGGAGTCTTCGGACTGCCGCTGACTGCCATCTTCCAAAGTAACGATCTTTCAAAAACTTTTTCAAACTTCCAACACTTTAGTGCCCACAAGCTCTAGATGCGGGCTGATGTACAATGCGATAATTAGCTGCCATAAAATGCATTTCATTAGAAAAGCTTTAGACTCTTTTGCATAACCCTTTGATGTTTGAATTTATTTACCACGTGACACACACACGAAAAACACATTATATACGTGGTTTTGTGCAAAAGGAAAAAAAGCTGCGTGTCACAGCTTGACTAGCCCCTTACCCAGAAAAAAAAAACTAAGTTGCAAAATTACAAAATATTACAGGCAGCAAAAAGTGACAATACAAAAGAATATGCATGTGGCCCATAACATCACATAATAAAATAGCAATTCTGAAATACAAACACGACTACTCATAACAAAGCAATGTATGAACGAATAAGACTAAGTAACCATTACCGAAATCAGCCAACATTCATGGACACAATCAGCACACCCAAGTTTTAGACAATATGCCCACATTATGCATTGTTAATTTCCATTTGTTCATCACACTTGGAAGACGGTAATGTAGCATTTCAAATCTATGTTGATGTCCCCTACACTGACAATTTGGTGCCAAATCAAACTAGTATGTAAGAACGCTTTGTTGTGGACAAGATTGTGAGGCCTAAGTGGTGAGATTACTGTTAGCAGTTAAGGACTGCACTTAATGCATGAAGTGGTATATACAATTCATTTTTAGTACATTGGAATGAGTGGCATATACTGTGTGCATAGGGTGGCAAACTTGCTGATCAGTCGACTCACTCCGACTCGGATCGAGGCGACAGTAGTAGTTACTTCCAGGTGAGCAATACTCTCACGAATTTGAGTCGGGGTGAGTCTGGCTGAGATAAAAACTAGTGAGTGCGAGTTCGAGTGAGTCCTACAAACAAAATACTTTTCATGAGTGAGCCTGTGTGAACTTTACATTTATTGTGCAGAGGTATGGCGAGAACTACTCAACTTCAGCCTTATTATCAGCCCTACGTCAGCTCGCATTCATACTCTCGTCTACTCACACACACTTTAACGGGCTAGCATCATACGCCTACTCAATATTTATTGACTGGGGGGTGTGAGTCATGAACGGGCGATGTGCCTTGACCTCCCCTAGCAAGCGTTTTCCCTGAATTCTTGATAAAATATCTCGTGGTTATTCTCTTTCAATAAAACTGCCTCTACAAGATTGCGACCACTCATAACTCGTATTTAAATATATACAAGATCAAGAGATGCCTAACAAAGCATTGATAATGCGAGATATTGCTGTTAGAGAAGCAGTGGAAATTTGGTCTAAAAAATTAATACCCGTGCCATAAGGGCATAAGAAACGACGTTCGGTAGCGAAGGCATTCAGTTCCCAAATGCCATTTTTTTTCGGTTTTCGGCGGCGCTGCTACACATCCAAAGCGAATGACATTTGACTTGATGATGTCGATCTCAGCACCTTCCTCGCGAGCATCGAGTGAAGAGCAATAAAGAAATAAACAAGCGTTTACAAGCTTCATACACATCAGAAAGAAATGTATAAATAAGCATGTTACGCTGCAGTTAGATTTCGTTCGTTACTTTGTTTCACGACGTTGCAACCGACCACGTAGCAACTTAAGCCAAAGCTAGTCAGATCCGCAGCATAAAAAGAAAATTGCGCCTGTCGCATTTACTTTACAGCGTCTACCAGCTGAAGATAAGTTTTTAAGCACTTGTTTAAGTAATTAGTGAAAATAAAATACGCGAAAAGTTTCCTTTCAGATGAATCAAATGTCGTTTTATACAATTACTTCGTCAGCTGTGCCGTCAAGAGTAGGCATTTCTCAGTCTAATGAGTTCTGACGATGGCATTAGGCGACGAATGACATTTGGGCAAATGCCATTTACGTTCATCTGGGTGGCACCGCGCGAACGACATTCAATCTGAAGGCATTAGGAGGTAAATGCCATTTTCTCTGCCCGTGTGACACGGGTATAAATGTATGCACGTAAACAGACTCATGAGCTGACTCTGACTCAGAACGAGCCGCGAGTGTGATTCTGGGTGAGTTCGAGTAAGTAAGGTCATGAGTGAGTTTCAAAACGAGTGAGTTCAGCTGAAAAAATATCTTAGTGAGTCTGAGTGTGAGAGAGTCCTGATGAGAAAAATTTTGGCAAGTGCGTGTACAGGAGAGTCCTAGGAGCAAAATGTATAGTATCATGAGTGAGTCTTTGTAAGCTCCAAATTTTTTGCCGGCCTATGACTGTGTGCACATTACGGCTCTTTACACGAGTTTCAGTTGTGTAAATTTTTGTGTGATGTTTGTTTCATAAGATAAACTAATGTTTGCTATGCCACCACTGCCTTTGCCTCTCAAGCTTCTCGATTGCGAGCACTACCGAGACATGCGCGATAGTAGTGGCGAGCCTCTGCCAGGAGTTCCATTGAACTCCTGTTGAATGGAACATATTTGCCCGGTCCCTTCAGGTTTCGTTTACTCAGAGTCTACTGTAGACTGAGACCATTTGATAGCGATAGCAAAGAATCAGAATGTGACTAAGGAGAAGATGCTAACAGGATATTTTATGTTAATTAACTGTATTACTTTTGTGATAGTAGCTCGTGCATTAACTGTTTTCCTCAACACACAGGTAAACTCAAAGTGACCCAAAATTAGGCAACTGCTAGTATATTGCGCCAGAGCTCCTGCCTCCCTTCTCCCCCTAGATCAAACACCTGCAACCGATTGAACACCAGCGTTGTGCAGCTTGTGGGCTGACCAAGATCTGTCAATACTTGCAATCGGTTGTGGACTCATCTGTCTAGAGATACACACTTCACTTCACCAGCATACTTCATTTATGACCGTGCCGGTCTGTTAGAAGAGCCACCCCAGCCGACTTAGTTGTGCTGGCAGACTCTGCTCTGCTATAGCCTACTACATCTGCTATACCTACGATAAACGTTGTTACTGTTTTCAAAACGTTCACCTCCTGCTCTGCTTTTGGAAGAAAAGTAGAATAACTTGCCCCAGCCTTTCACTTACAACGACGCTCAAACCCAATTCCTAATAGCACTGTTGTGCCAAAGCTCCTACCCCCCCCCCCCCCCCCCCCCCCCCCTCCTCAAGCTCTCCGTCACCCGGACAGGAAAATAACGTAAAATAAAAGTGGTGACTAGCCAGCTCCTACGTGCAGCAATAGCACGCATAAATACTGAACCTCCTCTGATCAGTCTTGTGTGGCCATAGCCAAGCTGCTCAACTGGTTACTCCCTCACCCTGCCTCGTCCACGAAACTAGTTTGCAGCTTGACGACAGGCTCCAGCGACCGCTTGTGCCTCCACTGCCATCCTGGGTCACTTCTATCACCCCCCAGTCAAACACCATTGATCGGGCAACAGGCAGGCTGAGCAGGATCAGTTGACACTTGCGATCAGTAAAGAACCCATCTGCCCGGAAATGCACATGTCACTTCACCAGCATCCCTCATTTAGTAAGACCGAGCCATTTCGTTGTTAGAGGAGTCACCCCAGCCTACTTGGTAGTGCTCCCCGGATCTGTACAGCTATAACCTGCTATACATGTGATAAACGTTGTTAGTGTTTCAAAACATTTACCTTCTGCTCTTCTGGACAAAAAGTCGGATCTTCAGTTAAATCCACTCACCAGCTTCCCGGCTCACAACCACACATGAACCGCCATTTTACCAGTAAATGGCAGCACGGGGACATACTACCCTACGGTTGGAAAGCCGGATCCGAACCGTGCAATCTTGAGGACGACTGCTCTGGTACACTTGAATACTCTACTCCGATTTAACGCTTGGCAAATTGGATCAGATCCCTGCAGACCCAAAAAGAGAGGACGCCCACGACACCGCTCAACAACAACCACCAGTTGAACCATCATCAGCTACATTGGTTGGGTGAGTGCGCAACGTTTACTGCCCATTGTGCCAGACCTCTCTAGCACAGGTAGATGTCAGGAGAGAGTTCTGAGCTTTTGTTTGAGTTTTACCCATTTTGAACCATTAGTTTTAAAGTAACAGTAAATTTTCTAGAAAATCATCCCGAAGAGCGAGATGGCGATGGAAAAGTAATGAATGTGTGGGGGTGCCAACACCCCCTGTAAAGTTGTTTGCACCTCGCGGAGCATTTGTCACGCGCAAAGGCTGCATTCAGGGGTCCCAACTATCGGGCGGTAGGTGGCATTGTGCTCGCGAGTGTGTCACCACTATCACCATCATCATGGTTAGAACAGTGGCATCCGCGGTGACGCCTGGCGGCAAGCCTTGGTGGTGGCATGGAAAAGATGAGTGAGTCTCTTTGGCGGGTGGCAGTTGACGCGAACGGTTGTCTCTAGTGGTGGGTCTGCGGTAGACGACACCGTGGGCCGTCTGCCATGGGCCCTCGTGGCGAGTCAAGCGTTGGCGAAGCCGTCTTGTGTGTGTTCTTGTGTTTGTTATGTTGTTGAGTGTTGAGTAATACTGTGTAAGGTTGTTTTAGCGTGTGGATAACAATTTATGTATATAATTCGGCTGACGATATCGTCAATCTAAAAGTAGTTAAAGAAATGTGTGACGACAGAAAATAGCGCAAAGAAACGGGGACACAAGACGAGGACACACGGCACAGGCGCTAACTTCCAACATAATGTTTATTGCCACCGCACACTCGCCTATATCACCAAGAAAAATAACATCACATGACATGAATGATGCGCACAAAGAATTAATTTCTTAGAAAATACAATTCTTTATCACTGAGCGTAAGAGAGGGAGTGCTGACGAACTTAGACCCCAGTGAAGCGATAGCCTCAGCCTCAATAATCTCTCTAGTTAGCTTGTCAAACATTCTCTTGATAACCGTGCATGCATTGAATATCGGTGCGCAGCCGCAGGATTTACAATGCATGGCCAACCAACTTCCCTGGCCGTTTTTTACATTATTACAATGTTCTCTTAATCGATCATTAAGACAACGGCCCGTCTGTCCAATATACTCTTTACCACAAGAAAGCGGGATACGATAAACAACGCATATTATACAGGGAACATAAACAGTTCGATGCTTCTTACTACAACCTTTGGGTTTTCCGTCACGGTCATGAAGGCCACACAGGCTGACCAACTTCTTGGGAGCCGAAAAGACAACCCTAACTTCAGAGTGCTTAGCTAATTTCTTTAGGTTGTGCGAAATCTTGTGATAGTATGGTATGACGACCAGGTGCTTCGGTTTCTCGGAATCACGACTCGCTGTACAACCTGGGTTGCGAAGCGTACGAAGCAAGCCTTCTGCAACTGAAGTTTGGACGTGCATAGGATAACCTGCTTTAAACAAACGGTCTGACTGATTATGAAAACTATTGGCGATTTCGTGCTCACAAGATTTGCTTAAAGCATGACGAAAACAATGACTGATGATGCCTCTTTTCACTAGTTTGGAGTGAGCTGATTGGTAAGGAAGGACTGGTTTGTTCATACGTGGTTGGTAAGCCCAACATATGCGGTTAGGATGAAAGGTGAAGAGGACATCGAGGAATTTTATGGCATTGCTTTCAGGCAGTTCATGTGTGAGAGTCAAGGGTTTAAAACACTCGGAAAAATGTGAAATTGTGGCAAAAATAATTTCACATTTTTCCGAGTGTTTTAAACCCTTGACTCTCACACATGAACTGCCTGAAAGCAATGCCATAAAATTCCTCGATGTCCTCTTCACCTTTCATCCTAACCGCATATGTTGGGCTTACCAACCACGTATGAACAAACCAGTCCTTCCTTACCAATCAGCTCACTCCAAACTAGTGAAAAGAGGCATCATCAGTCATTGTTTTCGTCATGCTTTAAGCAAATCTTGTGAGCACGAAATCGCCAATAGTTTTCATAATCAGTCAGACCGTTTGTTTAAAGCAGGTTATCCTATGCACGTCCAAACTTCAGTTGCAGAAGGCTTGCTTCGTACGCTTCGCAACCCAGGTTGTACAGCGAGTCGTGATTCCGAGAAACCGAAGCACCTGGTCGTCATACCATACTATCACAAGATTTTGCACAACCTAAAGAAATTAGCTAAGCACTCTGAAGTTAGGGTTGTCTTTTCGGCTCCCAAGAAGTTGGTCAGCCTGTGTGGCCTTCATGACCGTGACGGAAAACCCAAAGGTTGTAGTAAGAAGCATCGAACTGTTTATGTTCCCTGTATAATATGCGTTGTTTATCGTATCCCGCTTTCTTGTGGTAAAGAGTATATTGGACAGACGGGCCGTTGTCTTAATGATCGATTAAGAGAACATTGTAATAATGTAAAAAACGGCCAGGGAAGTTGGTTGGCCATGCATTGTAAATCCTGCGGCTGCGCGCCGATATTCAATGCATGCACGGTTATCAAGAGAATGTTTGACAAGCTAACTAGAGAGATTATTGAGGCTGAGGCTATCGCTTCACTGGGGTCTAAGTGCGTCAGCACTCCCTCTCTTACGCTCAGTGATAAAGAATTGTATTTTCTAAGAAATTAATTCTTTGTGCGCATCATTCATGTCATGTGATGTTATTTTTCTTGGTGATATAGGCGAGTGTGCGGTGGCAATAAACATTATGTTGGAAGTTAGCGCCTGTGCCGTGTGTCCTCGTCTTGTGTCCCCGTTTCTTTGCGCTATTTTCTGTCGTCACAATGCACCAACAAGCCCAAATTTCGACAGTGTTGAAATAAATGTGTGTTGTTTGGTTCCTTCCAATTATCTGCTGTGTCCGTTCACTCTAAGAGCTCGGATCTCTCTACTTCGAGAACACACACTGGCTGCCCAACGTGGAGCTCTTGGAGCATCGGATGACAGCTTTCGCAGTTCGGTACAATAAGCTTTTGTTTGAGCCTGGGTAGAGTAGGCCTAAGGGTACTTCTATTGCTAGCGTCGGCAGTGTGCTTTGTTGAGAGCGAGAAAATCGGTTTTTTTGACATGTTTGAACTTGTCAGCATGTAGCTTTTCTTCTTTTTTCCTGCTCGTAAGTGTGGGTTTTTCGTTGTTTTTTTTGTGGTTGACTTCAAAGAACGTTGTTCAGTTGGGACAAGAGCCATGCGGTCTGCATTGTGGGGTGAGCAAAGCTTAGAGCTTAGATTGTAGGCCAAGCCTGAAGCGAGTGAGTATGGAAGCCTCGTGGGTGGTTCGATTTTCTGTCAATAGCTTCTTCTTCTATCTCTCTGGACTCAAGGAGTTGGGCGTCGTTGCTGTCTTGTCTTGTGGCTAGCCGCCGAGGCGTCGTGACACCACCCGGAATGGTGGGGGCTGATCGCTCGGTAAGCTGCTATGTGCAGCGAGCGAGTAGGGCCACCTTACAGAGAGGATGTCTCCTTGCGGCTGCCTCTTCTGCACCTAGGCTGAGTGCTGAGTGGATGCCGGTTGTTGTCGAGCGACTCATTAGGCCTAAAGCTCTGCGCAGCCGCCTGTCACACGTGGCACAACTAGGTGGATCATGGCGTTGAGGTGTTGCACTCTGCTTCCCTCATTTTTTTTATCTTGCGATGCACAAGTTAGAAAAAGTGACCATTATTTTATATTTTCTGGGCGTATCGGCCACCTCCGATGTATTTGCTAGCAGTACTGACCATTGTACCATATGGGTGAGCAGCCCAAAGCTCCCTTCTCTTTGCCCTATTGCATTGTTCCATCCAGTGTTTTGAGTGTGCGCAGCGGGAGTGATGTAACCCGCGGCTGGCTTTTTTCTGAACGTTGTCTTCGCCTTTGGCCAGAAATGCGGTCACGACATCGGGCGATGGACATGCCTGGGACCTGCAAAACTGCTTGCTGTCCGGCGGCCTCACAGGACGTCTATGTGGGTTTCTTTCTCTGTGTGGTTGTTCATTCGGCGCGACTGTTTACTATTTATTCGACACACAGAAAATGTTTGCAAGAAAGTAGTTGGAGCAGACAACGAGTCGGGCGGGGGCCGAGGTGGCGGCTGCACCATGCGCGGGAGATGAGGACGTGAGTGCACGCACCAACTAATAGCAACCACTCGTTTCCCCTCGCCTCAAAGAAGCGCGCACTCTATCCAATTGTGGCTCTGCGTTTGAAAAGCGGGAAACTCGAGTACCCCGCGCGCTACCCAATTGCAAGCCAGTTAAGCCGCAATCATGCCCTTGTTGTTGCTGCTGATAGCGGGGAAAAAGAAGAGCAAGAGAACGCGAACAAAACATGACCAAGATGGCGGCGCTCAGTTGAGAGGGAGAGAAACGGCGTACCTGCGAAGTTCGGGTATTTTTGACAATCGCGTGCTTCTCAGGTGCTGCCTTGGCTAGCTAAACAGTTTATTTGAGGTACTTTTAGCTTGAATTCGGTGCTGATATTTACAGAGGATGTAGTTTATAGATAATACTGACCAAATATACTCTTTCCTAAAAATGGACATTTTTGACATTTTTACAGTTTTCGAAGGCCGCATCCCCCTTAGGCCTTTTATATTTGTTTTGTATCACATGCACAAGTTCAATTTTAAGTTTTAAGATTTTATTTATTTAGGAATAGTCTGTCATTTTTTGTTGTGATGCTCATCTGCCGAGTGCATTGAGGAAAAGAGTTTAGCCAAAAGCTAATTTTGGCAGATGATCAGAACGCTTGCACCTGGCGCCAAGGCACATGACTTAGAAGCACTTGAGAGCCTAGTTGTAGTTTCCGCAGCAAAATTGAGTTATCCTCAGCAGCTTTGGTCATCCCTAGTCTGCCCCTGCATCAATTGAGAATAGCTCGCAAAACAATTCTGATTGGTTTTTAGTGGCGTCACGCACTGACACAGCTAAACGTACGTCCGAACTTTAGTATTCCTCCTGAGATACGTTCCTTACGATGTCCTGTTATTATCTTGGCGTAATCTCAGGGAAATTTTTCTTTTTTGCTGGTCTGGTACTTTGATTAGCATGTGGAGGTTCCTTGCTTTGGCAGAAAAGATCTGTTTTTGTGTTTGAATCCTTCATTCCAGTGAACTGTTGCTGACCTAAAAGAGCGGAAAGGCCACACTTGACAACTAGCGTCCCATCATCCGAGCTCCGTTTGATAGCTCGAACTCTGGATGCATCGCCATGCAGCTGGGGTGCTGTTGCACGGAGCTCCTGCACCCAACCCTTTCAGTAAAACATTTGCGAACAATCAAACACCAGCGTTTGGGCAACACGTTGGCTAAGCAGCATCAGTCAATGCCTGCGATCAGTCAAGGACCCACATGCCTGGACATTCCCACATGACCTAATTGGCATACCTCACTGAAGACCATGTTGGCTGTTGTTAGAGGAGTCACTCCAACCGATTTGCTCATGCTGGCAGACTCTATACTGCTATAACCTGCTATACCTATGATAAATGCTGTCACTGTTTTCTAAACATTTGCCTCCTGCTCTGCTTCTAGACGAAAAGTCTGTTCCTCAGTACATGGCTGGCCAGCCCCCCCCCCCCCGCCCCCCACAATGACACACAAACCCCCATTCATAACAAGGGCCAGTAAATAAAAACCTGCACTTCAAAATGTGAGAAAAAGTGATAACTGGGCAATTGTAAAATCTAAACATGTTGGTAATAAGGAAGTGCAAGGCATAAAACGACCCACTTCGGCTGGCTACTTTTTTGTGCTCGGCCTTCCCAACGTTCTCAAGGACAAAAAAGGAGTGCATGTAGCCCGTTATAACCATGTCCCCTTTGGTAATGTAACCCGATGTCCGAAAGAACAGAGTGCAAAAGAAGGCAGGTACAAAGAAAGGTGACGCACACACAGCAATGTGTGCGCATCACTCTTCCTTGTCGCCGTCTTCTTTTTTGCTGTGTTCTCTCCAATGTCTAACCAACACAGCCAACTTTTGATACCAGCACAATGTTGGTGAGTATTTTATTGGCATGCAGGAAACGACCGAACAAGGCTTCCTCCTCGTGTCGCTCATGTCAGAGTGACACTAAGGTCACCATAGCAGATGGATGATGAAATGCTGTAAATGTATGGCCAAAGCCATACATTTACAGTTTACATTTACATCACTGTTGGAACAAAGTGCCATTTTGTAGCACAGAAAACCAATGAAAAAAGTCAGTGCTATTTAAAGTTGTCCATGGGTAACTTTACATAGCAACTTTACGTTCTTCTTGTGAAACGTAAAAAAGAGAAGTTGGAACTAGTTCACTGGCCCTTAAAGCATGCACTGTGAAAAATAAAAATCATACAATTGACTGACTTTGCTAAAAGTGATCCAAGAGCACTAGGTCTGCCCAAGTTCACTGTTTAAGCTAGCACATTTACATTATGCCCATAAAAGCCCTTACCTTTGGGAAGAGAGATCTGGTTTTGCAAGTAATCGAAAAGGGTGCTAGGCCCCGATGGTCGACATGGAGCCTTCTCATCACCTGAATCACGTTCCCTTGGCTCTCGTCGCTTTCGTCCAGTTTCTGCAAAACATGGACAAACTACAGTTCGGAACGAGTACTCCCGCCATATTCAGATAATATTACAAACAGAAAAGCTGATTGTTCTGATCCTGAAGTACAAATTATGATTGCAAAGTACTATATATTTAAAACAGCATAAAACATCCAATAAGTCAAGTAAAAAAGCATGCGCTATCCTCCTATGGTGAGTCAATTTTCACATTTACAATTATAATGTCAACCTTTCAAACACACGTTACTAGAATAAACTCAGTTTTCAAGCTCTGCCAGACACGCAGTCTGCATGGCAGTCACGAGAAGTAGTGGTGCTGCAGTCAAGTCTAGCTCCTGCAGCCGGCGCATGTTGCGATTGGCATTGGTGACGTGCAAGCGGTTACATCAAATGCCCACATGTTATTTCCGTGACTGTTTTTGACCCTGTAGAGTATGAAAACACGCATGTCCTGCACGAAGTATAGAGAAGAGGAACAGATTTAGTTACAGTGCAGTATGCCAATTCGCGTTCGCGTCGAGCTGCGCCTGCTGCAGCAATAATTCTGCTTCACACCACTTCATTGATCGTCAACTTACTTAAGTATTTGTTTGTTTATTTCCTTCATAAACATGGTTATACAACGTTGGGCGACAAGACAAAAATTGCTATAAGCAGCTTGAGATTTGTTTTAAACATTTCAAAATTTTGGTGAAATTATGGTCTGGTCATCCAGTGCCAAGAAAAGCCAATTTTACTGGATGCACTACCACATGAACCGATATTTAAAATGCCACAAAGAGACAGCTAAGGATTACCTCGTTTGTAGTGAACTTACTACAGTTTAGTGAACTCAATACAGTTTTGTATCTAGGATTCTGGCATCATCCAAATTGCTAATCCGTTAGAGCTGACTGTATATGTTTACCTAGCCTACAAAGAAGTTCACGAAAGAAAGTTCAATCTTTAATGGTATGGCTGTTCAGTGTCAAAACTACATGACAATGTTCTTGATATTGCATAAAATCATAAACGCCCCCATTCGCTTGCAACTCTACTGAATGCCGTCATCCTAGTACCTTAAAGGACAGTGTCGCATACTTGACCACTCTGCAAACTACACAAGAGTCAGATTCAATGTAACGTCTGTTGCTTCTCATGCTCATTAAGAAATAACATAGGGTCGCCATCCTAGCTCAATAATCCCATGCACAACACAGTAAGATTCTCTTACTCGAAGAACCGCAATTATATGTTTGCCTTATCAGGAGTTTTTCTCGTCAGCAGTACTCCCAAAAGCCAAATGCTAACATGCCAAGTGCACCTAATATGTTGCTTGAGAACACTGAATCGAGTACACTTACAATGGGAAGAAAATGAACAAAAAAAGCATTTATTTGGCTCAGCTTGATGATATCTATGCTTTCAAGTATAATATTTACACTAGTAATTTAACGAGCACTCATTTCACGAGTTCATAGTATGTTTATGAATGAATTGCTATCACATTTTAACAATAAAACTGTAAAGCGGCCATATTTTGACGATTAGAAAAAGATAAGAAGAGAGAGACAAGCACTAATTTCCTTCAAATAATAGAAAACTTATTGTTGTGGCTGTTCACCTTCTGAGAGGCTGTTTTACTGGCTTTGCTGTCACTCTTGTACGTCTCCACTGCATACAATATACGTCAAGTTGCTTGACAAAGCCAAGTAACTTATGAAAGTCTGGAAGCTTTTCTTAGAGGTTTCGATATTTGTTATTTTCAACCATTTGCTGAACGACGTGAAGTTGAAGATCTCCGTTAACGCTACTCCCGATCACAAGCCTTGTGCACCCCAAAAAAAAAAAAACACGATGCAGCTATATTTATTTTGCTAAATGACCGTATTGCTGTGCACTTTTAATAATGAAAATGGCGCATCACAGTTTCCTGCATTTCATTGGGAACAGATACGACGCACACATCCAACATGCAAAACAATGCTAACTGACGACAGCATGTACTTAGGGGCCATTGTGTGATGGCGATGACAGTGCCTTAGACTCTTTTGATGGGAGTGCTAGCGCTGCATATGTGGTTTCTGTTTCATGTGATTACAGTCGAGCCCACTTATAACCTCCCCACTTAAAACGAACTTTCGCTTAAAACGAACAATACCCACGTGACCGTCAAAATATACATTGGTTTAATGGCACAAAATCACACTTACAACGAACGTCTCCGAGCGCCGCCGATCGGTTACAGTGAACGGGAAACCACTTTTGACCACCGATCAGGCATCGGTGCCCGTACATTCTTATTGTTAAACGCCGACCCTGCCTCCGCGCCCCTCTAGTTCCCTCGCTCCTCGACCGCTTTTTCTTACGCACCCCTCCGTCCTTTGTCCCCCCGCTACTTTGAGCCCCTTGCATCACCAGACGAGGCCCGTGTTTTTACACTGCTACCGATCTTTCGAAGATCGGTCCACCATCTACCCTGTTTTTGATCGCTGGTACTGTCATTGGCGTCGCCGGCCTGGAGTGACCAGGCCATTTGCCAACATCGTCCCCCACCGATTCTATCCGATCGTCTGCGTCTAGCACACACGCGTGCACTACCACACCAATTCTGATGATTCGTGATTCGCTTTCGTGTTTAGGACCTGTTCTCGCTCACTTCGCACTCAGCTCAGCATGCCCTCCGCACGCGTGCGGAAGCACTAAAATGCCTGTTAATTTGCGCGGAACGAATCGCGAAATATCAAAGTCGGTGAGGCCACACAAACCCGCCGGCACAACAAACAATATTTTGATCAGGGCCGCCGATTCTTTGAACACCACCGCACACACCGATCCAGGCGGCTGTGCTTTGACCTCTGCACACGCAGGCACTCTCAAGTTTTTGTGCCCACGAGTGGCGCGTTTCGTGGACCTTTCAAGCAAGCTACCGGACCTGCCTTCTTCCCGAGTGTTTTGGTTTTCAAGGTCACCATCCCGCCGTGTCCTCTCCTCTCTTTTCTCGATCGCAACTCCTTGCCCTTCTCTCGCAATTCAGCCCTCCTCTCTTGATCACAACCCCTTCGCCCATCTCCACCGCTCCGCGACGCCAGCCGCGTTGACTCGAATTCAGAAGTTTGGTTTCCCGACAAGAAACGGGCCCTGATCGCGCGTTCTGGCATGTGTGTCGCGTGTGCGCGACTTGCTCGCTCTTGGTGTTAGTGTGTGTTCAGGATGGCACACGGGGGGACTTGCACGCTTTTTTCTGCCGCTCAACAAAAAGTCGAAAGTGTGACCGCTAGGAGTTGCCCGTAATCCGCGCATTAGGTGCCACGTTGCGAAGTGCTTGCTCATAGCTGTTGACCACCTGGCAGCCAACTTGCCGCTTCGGGCGTCCCGGTATTCAGCTGTGGAGATGGTGAATATTTCGTGGGCGGCACGCGAAACCATTTTCGTGAGGCCGACCTCGTCGACGTCGGGCCCGATGCCGAACCTGAAGCTCCCGAACAGAACCACTGTGGCGGCGATTTGTGGCAGAGCCCCGTCGACTCTGACGTGAGAGAGAGGTTGGGAGATCTGATGGTTTAATTATGGCCGATGATGATGCCAACACTGCGCAAATGTGCATGGATTAAGGCATTGTGAATGAAGTACGCGGCAAAAGCGATTTGGAGGAATTGGATTGCGAGAACAACGAAACTTTGGAGTCCAGTGCCTCATGCAGCTTATGCCACGGGCCTCGCCGAACGAACACGCTGCCTTTTGAAATGAACTCGAGACCACCCTTATCGCTTCTGCCCCTCTAAACACGTGCATCACGGACATTTTTGGGCAAAAAAAAAGTTTGTGTTTTCACTCATAACTTTTTGAAGCTGTGTTTCATTTACTAGAACTTCGGGATACAGTGAATGGATGCCTTGTTAGGCTCAGATTCATTATAAGCTGGCTCGAGTGTATAATGCACAATCTCTGTTCTTGTTATCACTTTCATTTGGCTATTTTCGACCCCCATCCCTTGCATTTTCCTTATATATCCAAGATCTTGTGTTCTGTTCCCCATTGTACTCTTGTTGAGGAACTGAGAACAATACAAATTAAAGGATGAACGCTTTTTGTTGCTTTCTAAAATGTGTGAGGGTACTGACACCCACTGTAAAGTTGTTTGCACTGCGTTGCGCACGTGTCTCTTCCAAAAGTCCGCATTTCGGGTTACAACCGCGACGCGAAAGGTGGCGTTGTGTACACGTTGATCACAACTATCATCATCATCGTGTAGCGCCGGCGGTGACCCCTGGCGGAAGGCAAGCCTTGGTGGCGGACAAGAGTTGAGCGAGTCTACTTCTGCGTGCGGCGGTTGCCGCGAGCGATTGTCTCTAGCGTGGGTCCCTGTTGCGTGGCACCGCGGGTTGCGCATCGGGGGCCCTCGTGGTAAGTCAAGCGTTGGCGACGCCACCTTGGGTGTGTTATTGTTGTCGTGTTATTGTTGTCACGGAATGTATAGTAATATTGTGTACGGATGTCCTAGCGTGTTTGATAACGACTTATGTATCGATTCGGCGGACGATATCGGCATTCTAAATTAGTTAAATAAATGTATGTCGTTGTTTGGTTCGTACCGACCGCATCTGCTGTGTACGTTTACTCCAAGAGCTTGGCGGTGGCGTTCTCGCCACAATGAGACCCGATAGATGATAAAGTCAGTGCTTTCTCCACCTACAGGCTAGGAGTAAAAGTGAGGGAGATACCGGCTTTATGCACTGACCTTGCTTTTCCACTTATCTCGCTTTCTCCTTCCTTGTTGCAATTTGCTTTCAATTTGCTTTGAATCTTTGTGCCAGGAAGCTTTTTTTTCTTCATTTTTTTTCTTGTTTTGCCTGAATGCTCCCACCAAGACTATAATGTTCGTTGCGCAGACTCTCCGTTGTTGTCAGTCGCTGCGAGAGTTCGTCTTAACAGAAAAGGCCTGTTATGCAGCTCGTCTAAGCAGATTTTTTTTTGCATTGAGTCTATGGGAAAGCAAGCAAACATACCTGTGTTGTTCATTCTAAGCGAAAATTTGTCTTAAGAGAGTTCGTTTTAATGGTACAGTGAAACCTCATTAAAACGTTCCCGCGTAAACAGTAGTGTCGTTTTAAAAGTAGTGAAGTCAAATCCCCGACTCGGCGGCCATTGAACATAATGCATTTTGTATCCGCATAAGCTGTACCAGCTTATCGCGTATGTATCGGTTAATAAGTAGTTTTTCCAATTTTCGTTGTGCACTCGCCGCGGCATGCCGTCCCCCACTGGGCGTCCCGACAGAACAGCAAGCCCCAGAGATCAAAACACGCCTCGCTTGTTTATGTTGATGATGATGGCGGCTGTGTTGGTGAGCGCCATCTCTTGGATTTTTCTGCAACAAGAAGCACTCGGCCGGCTAGGCTCCTGGCGTTGTCCACGCGACGGCGCTTTGCACAAACACGCAAACACGGTGTGCACTTGCTTTGCTTTCTTTGTTCCTTTGGCGCCGTGCATAGGTGTTCTCTGGTTGATCTGTGCCGTACAGCTCTCGCATCGTTTTTCATGTGTTGTGTATGTGTGCTTGTGCTGCTTTGTATTTGCGTCATGCTGAAGCTGGGACAAAAGCATAGAGTGCTGGAAATACAGGAGAAATCGGACATAAGTCGTGCTATTGAAAGTGGCACAAAATAATCGGTGCTGGCACGCGAAAAGGACCTGCCGTTAACCACGGTGTGTGGAATTCCAAAAAGAAGTTGCTCAGCAGTGATGCTGCAACTGCGAAAAGGTGCCGGCTACGCAGTTTGGAGTTTTCGGATGTAGAGGAGGCACCGGTGAAGTGGCTAAAAGCTGCACGGTCAAAAAATCTGCCTATCAGCAGACCCGTGCTCGTGCAGAAGGTCCTGGTTTTTTGCCTCGCAGCTCAACCATGACAACTTCGTGTGCAGCAATGGCTGGCTGGCCAGATTTAAGGCGAGGCACGGCATTACCACTAGGACTGTTTCGGGAGAAGCTGCTGCTGCTGACGTGGATGGCACGGAGCAGTGGCAAAATGGTCAGCTGAAGAATATCTTGGAAGACTACGCACCTGATAACATCTTTAATATGGATGAATCGGCGCTATTCTTTAAGCTGCTACCAGACAAAACGCTCGCGTTCAAAGGCGAGACGTGCACCGGCGGCAAGCATGGAAAAGACAGAATATCAGTGGCGTTTTGCGTAAACATGACTGGAACCGACAAAACTCCACTCCTCGTGATCGGAAAGTCGGCGGAGCCTAGATGTTTCAAAGGCGCCCGGTTGCCATCAGGGGTCATCTATCACAGCAAAACCAAAGTATGGATGACGGCAAAACTTTTTGAGGAGTACATGCGCTTCATCGATCGTCGTTTTGCGGCTAAGAACAGAAGAGTTATTATTTTAAAACGCTTGTCGCCCTGGGCAACCTGACGGCTGTGAAGTTGGCGTTTCTGCCACCAAACACAACAGCGATTGCCCAGCCCTTGGATCAAGGCATCATTCGAGCTGTAAAACAGCTCTAAAAGAAGAATCTGCTGCACAGATTTCTTCTCGCCATTGAATGTGGCAAATTATTCTCCATCGACCTGATTGGCGCGATTCACCTGCTCAAATACTCGTGGCGGCAGGTTGAAGCAACGACGACAGTTCGAAATTGCTTCAAGCGTGCTGGCTTCAGTGTGCGTGCGGGCGACGCAGATGACGCCAGTGACACCATCGACCAGACTTCGGACATCGTAGACGAAGCTTGCAAAACTCTGCTAGCTGAAGTGCTGGAGCGGCAGGGCGTTACGGAAGGCATTTCCTTCCCCAAATTCAGAGACGCAGACAGCGATGTGCAGACATCTCCGGACATGTCCGACAAAGCCATTGTTGCCACGGTTGTCGAAGTGTCGCCAAATGATAGTGATGAGGACGACATGGAAAGCGACAACACGGGTGATCCAGGTCCGACAGTGGCCGAAGCTGTGCATTGTGCCAGCGCCATGCGGGTATTTGCCGAGAAGAAGGGGGCTGGCGGAAAAGCTGGCTCACAGCATAAGTGAGTTTGAGGCCGCTGTCGTTGCTGCTAGGCCGCCGTGACATCAAATGAAGATTACAGACTTTGTCACGCGAAGTTAATAAATTACTGCATGTTTTTTTGTTCTTTCATCGCACTCCCTGAAGGTTTCTTTTTTTTGGCAGATAAGTAAGCGACCTGACGCTATTTCTGTTAAGCAGTACTACCGTTTAGTACGTACTTTTTCCGACATCCGGTCAACTACGGTTTAACGAGGTTTCACTGTAGTTTACTGTAGTTTGGTTTTGTGAAAGCCCTTTCTTATAGGCCACGGCCATTTTGCAATAATGCATTGTACCTTAGAGTTAATAAAGCTACATTTATAACTTGGACAACTTTACAGCCTTCTATGTCGCATGGATTTCAGAAAGCTATAAGGCGTAGAGAGGCATTGCATCTCACAGCCTGACAAGTAATCCACCTTTCACATTCTTCCGTGCCGCTCACTGCAGTTTTGTAGGGTTTTGTTCGAGGCCTGTACAAATGTTATTGCCCGAATGAAAGTCTGCGAGATCAAGAGGTGTTTCACGACTATTCTACAAGGTGAACGGCGCATGGACCAGGGCACCATGGGCAATGCAGATTGGGTCGGAGGCCTGTACCCCCACCTTCGATTACACCTACAGAAATGCGCATACATACCTGGTCGGTTAGCCCGATCCCTCCGATTTCTGTCTGACAACTCCAACGCTTGCATGGCAGCAGCAATGTCACAGTTGTGAGTTTTGAGGGCACTCACAGCAGCATCTACAGAGTATCCAAGGCCAACCAACTGAGCAATATCGCCATCTTGGGGTTGCTGAAAATGGCAAGGATGTTGTGTATGACTTTGACAGAGCCAGGAATTAATACCTATTTAACAAGTACACTTGTAATTTCCATTGAGCTAAACTGGACCCAAAGTTTGCAATATGCTATGCTTACACTGCATATTGTACAGTCGAACACCTTTATAAGAGACACTGATATAAGAGACAAATGGGTATAAGAGACACCAGTATGCATACAGTAAAACACAGGAGATGGGAAAATGCATAAAAGGTCCCCTGCTTATAAGAGACATCTCAAATAACAGACAAGAATTGATGCCTGGAGCATGCTTCTTATAAAAGGGTTTAACTGTACTAGAAAAATAATTGCACATTTGAAATCAGCACAAGAACTGACAACTTAACAGGGCAGATCAAAATGTATCAAGAATTTCACAAAATATTTTAGAGCAAAGAGCCCCCCCTGTAAGGGGTCCTGAACCACCACACAGGATTGGCAAAAAAACCAGCTCTATGAACACCAAATGCAGCTATAAGTAGCTCACCCAAATTTGGTGACTGTTTGCTGCACATACGAGTTTACATGAGGAGCATGAAGTTTACACTTTTGCAAATGCCCTGCTCTCATAAAAAGTCCAACCTTAACCCACTTTGATGCTGCCGGCGACTACTAGAGTGTGTTCTTTACCAGACTGCTAATCTTGGCTGACAGCCAACATCAATCATGAGCTGCTTCTGGATCATATGTGCTTTTCGCCACAAGGTGCTATCATTTGCTGATGCTGTGCTTTAAGGTTTGCTAAAATTACACAGCAGCAACACTAGCACGCCCCGAAATAACAGTCAGTGGGCAAACGCATTTTTGTGTCCGCCCCTGTGTCATACCCTGCATGTAGCTTCCAGTGCGCCTATTGAGAGGAAAACGGAGAAGCGCTCAAAGCATGCAACAAATCCCTGTAAGTTCTCTTGTTCCCGATGATCTCTTCAAGAGGCAATACACTTCGATACTGGGGTCATTTAGCGATTACTTATAAACTGGCCCAGAAACCCCTGAAGATAAAATAATAAACCCAAGCAAAATGATGTTGTCCAGCACAACTTTAATTTGCAAACCTGAAGCTTCACTGAAAAACTGAAGTGGGATCTTACCTGCTTGCCACCACCAAAGACTTTTACTTTTCCTTCCTTTGCTCGAGATATCTCGGCTATTGTCATCTGCCGATGTTTCTCGAAAGATTCGTTCGGTTTGGTGTCCTTCTGGCAGAGGTCCATAGACTTGAAGCCACCTGAGAATACCACATGTTCAAACACTGTGCCTCATTGTCATCATCTTCAGCCTACATTACGTCCATTGCAAGATGAAGGCTTCCCTCAAGGGTATTTAATTCACTTTACCTGTACAAGCAGTATCCATTTCATTCCTGCAAACCTCTTACTTTCATCATCCCACTTAACTTGTCGCTATCATCCACTGCGTTTATTATCACATGGTGCCCGTCCCGTCGCTGTCACTCACTAAGAGCTACCCTAAGCGTCTTGCACACAAAAAAGATGTAAAGTAATATAGAATACACCCGAAGCTCGATATAATGAACCCAGATATAATTAAATATCAGTTATAACAATGAAAATGAAAAATAGTCTTGCAGTAGATATAATGTAAAAAATAAACTTTTACAATGAATACTGTATTTCAATGTAATGACCTTATTTCATGTAAGTTGCAGCTTTATTACAATGAGGTTTGAGAGTAAAATGAAATTTTTTAACTATGAGCCACTCTGGTTTGCTTTCTGATCTATTCCATTTACTTCTCATCCCTTATTGTAACTGCTGGCATTTTTTTTTCCAGTGTACACTGCATAATCTTCAACTTATTCCACACTTTTTTCGTTATACACAAAGCTCTAATCATATGGTTGTTAGGAGGTGTTAAACCTCAACAATTATTAATTATTGAAGTTTCAACCTGGTATGTTAGTACTGGTTATACACAGTTACAGCATACTTTCTAGTTAAACGGTAGCTGTGATTTGCTTGTCATAACTTAGGGATGTCTGCCAAACATACTTCAGTCCATTCTTATTCTTTGGTGAATTTTCTCTTGATGACTGTGCTGCCCTTTTAGTGACTTAGATTCACATACTCTTGCACAGATTCTAAATGCTCGTTGCTAATTCTGAGTGGTCGAATTCCTGATGAAAGCTGGAGTTCTTGCAAGAATATTTACCGCCGGGAAACTCTCCTTTACAGACTGTTTCTTTTTGAGCTCGTTCAGCCTACCACATTCCAGCGAAAGCAGGTGAACACCACAAAAGCTTTTTAATCCATACAGCAGGAATGTCATGCTTTACTGTAAGGTCCAAGGTACACTCAGAAAAGGGTGAAAACAGAAATAAAATGAAAAAGGAGTACTGAATGGGAAAAGTCCTGAGGACCACTAGCGTTTTCTTAGCTCAACCCCATCCACTTGTAGCTCGAGCAATCAACTCTCACTGCCTTTCTTATACATACAGGAGGGAGAATTTTGTGGCCATACAGTGTGCCCCCCCCCCCCCTTGATCATACAATCAAAGGTGGTTTTCTCGCACATTATTAGAATCAAACATCCTTAGTTGGCGTTTTCGGAAAACACGATAGTGAACTGTGAATGAGCAGGCTTTTTTGAGGATATATCTCAGAAAACGTAAGGCATGGTGAGAGTACATGGTATCGAGGGTAGTGGTATCTGCGAATACACTCCAACGTTGCCCGACTGCACCATAATTCCCACTGGTGTTATAAACATGCATCACTCTCCAAAAAAATGGGGTGCAATTTCGCTGCTCCTACTCAGTAAGCTGTGTGTTCTGGTGTTACTGTTGCATCCCAGAAGCACTGATTGGATTGAGTTGCACTTTTTCACCAGTGGCCAAAAAACTTTGCCCATGTGGTCAAAAAAAGCAAAGGACACTAATACGAGCAGGGCATCACCGAATTTCCAGGAGATTTTTCTGTTACCCATACAACCAGAAGAATTGGTCAGAATCTGAAGTCTCCCGGGTGACCCGAGAAACTTCGAACGCAGGTGAACACCAAGAAAGCCAACGCATTTTACACAAGTTCACCCACAAACCGAAGGTCTATGACTCGCACTCGTAGATTACCATGACAAAAACCAGGCATAAAGCAGACCAATTTGAGTTTTGTAGCCAACATCTTTGTTTCATAATTATTGACCCTGTAGCTCTCTTTCCTAATACTATCCTTTGTTGCATTCTTTCATACAACTATCACTGTGTGTTCTAGATCCTAGAAAAACTTTGTGTTCTGCAACACATATTACACTGCTAATTATTTTACAGTTCTGCCCTTCACCTGTTGCCATGGCTTCAGTCTAATTGATGTTCAAAAAAGAACAAGAATTTTTTTCTTCCTTTACCTTGGAACTAATGCTGTTTTTAGTTATTATTTTATACTTTCTGCTATCAATGTAGTGTTGTTTGCATAATTTGATTTCATTACCTTCCTACCTCAACTTCTTACTTGTATTACACTCCCCTGTCTACAAAGTCTGTTTCTGATGGCATATGCATTATATGAATTAAATAAGAATAAAAAAATAACACTACCTTTTTTTACTCCTTTTTTAACACTAAAACCCACCTCAACTACCATGATTTGCATAGACCAGTTGTTGTTGACCAGTGTCAGACTGTGATACAAGAAGAGAGCAATGTGGGCTTGTTGGTGATGCATTTCAAAGAATTTTATGCAGCCCGAGGCAAAATAAGGAAACAGGAAAGGTATAAATGGACAGGACAGAGCGCTATTAGCGACAACATGTTTATTTTCAAACTCGGACCGCTTTTAAGCCATAATCATAAGTCAGACAGATAAGCATGTGGGATCCCTCAGATAAATGCACGACAATGTCATCTATCTAAACCAAATCGTACCAGATAATACCATATATCACCACGCATGCATGCCTTGTGCTCCATAAAATTCTTTCAAATGTAATATGAGGTAGGTGTATAAAGCCTAACTAGTCCAATAAATGTGAAACCTGTCAAGGTGCGAAACAGGCAAGATGTATTTACCACAGGTAGCACAGAGACTCAGTAATTGTAATTATGAGGAAATACAAAGAAAGATTGTGATTTATGAAGGAGGTCAGCATGAGTGTAGAAAAAGAATATAGTAAAGTTTAGGCTGTTGCTAGCAAACAGACATGTAGTAGCAAAGGAGAACTGGAATACCAAGTGCACACACCTGGGGAACTTTCAGCATCAGGTGACACAATAGTACATACTACCAACTTCGTTGGTACCTAAGAAAGCGTCAAAAAAACAACTAAGCGTGGGCTTGCCTTTGATGTTCTTTAGCCTGCTCGCATCGATCTTCTGCCCAAAGGGAACCCATGGGGGAGCACCACCCTCCTCTCCAGCAGTGCGCTTGTGGTGGCTCAAGTTCTGTCAAGAAATTTCAATTGAGAAACTATGAAGAAACTTCCAAACTTCCTAAAGCTGTTGCTCAGCTGCGCCAAAGCATACAATATTTAAAGAATAGGGCTCTTCAATTTGAAATAAGTGAGCGCAGAGGCCCATTCTTGCAAATGCTAGAAGAACAATCCAACTAATACCAAAGGTGCAAATGCAGTGTGCAGTTGCCAAAGGCTCACTAAAACTAGCAAAGCTGCCCGATTCCTTGCTCATTTTGATGGTTTAGGAGAATGGTTGCAGGGCACACTTTCTCACAGTACAAATTCAGTCCACTGAGCTCTTCACAGTGTAAGGTAACCGTTAGCCAACTGAAACTAACAAAGTACACAACCAGATGAGGATGGTGTGAAAACAGGGAACACACACAAGTGCTTGTGTGTTACCCATATTCGTCACCAGGCTCCTCTGATTATGTGCGTATAGTTTTGCCGTATTTCAGAGTATTGGCACAATACACTACCAATTGAAACTGATATTAAAGACAGTTATAGTTTAGCAGACATAGCCGAATTGCAGGATCAAAATGTGCACGCACAGTATGCTAAAAGAACCGTAGCGTGTACTGCACGAACTTGGCAGATTCAGCGTCAACCATGTTCGCGTGGTTTATGTAGTGTACATAACACGTGGCAGCAGTTTTAGAGGCCCTCTTCAAACTCAACTTAGCATCCATCGGTGGGGACAGATCTTCTTTTTTCGTAGCTAACGACTACGTGAAATGGCTTCGCTTGCCTTAAGGTAGCTTCAACGACCAAGTATTAGATAACCCAGCCTACTTTTTGCAATCACTTCCAGATTCAAATGTGTCTAGGCCTAACTAGAATATCAGAGTAAATAAATATCCAAGATGAAAATTAGCACTTTTGGTGCGTTTTCAAATATATTTGCTTTTATTATTACTAAAAAGAACCAGTAAAATTGCTCTGTGGGAGGATACAAGTAAGAATTCTTTTTTTTCTGCTCCTTTTAATGAAATCACCCTCTACTATATAGCGCCACTATCTTTGCTTGGGCACTTAAACACTGTCCCACTAAACTATAATGTTCTGCCCATAACAAATGTTCGTGGCACAGTAACGTTATTCCCTTAACCTTCGCTATCAAGCTAACACTAAACTATGACTGTCTATTTTCTCCGTCGTGCGCCTACCTGTTGCTGCAAATCATCTTTGCAGTTACAGCAGAGACCCCTCGTAAGTTACTGCTAACACATTTGCCACATTCAAAGAGTTTTTTGCAGGCCTATTAGAGTCATCCGCATAAAACAACAATCTAGCAGGCCCAATAAAACTTTTTGTTGGGCTAGTTGGTTATTCCTCATATTGTAAAAAATAATCACAACTTCGACTCACACTAACACTCATACAATCACTCACTCATCCACCCGAGAAACACACACAACACATGAGCACCATGTGCGTTTCTCGGGTGGATGGGTGAGTGCTTGTGTGCCACAGTTGCGCTTACTTTCTTTTTCTTATAATAGCTCGCCCAGTTCATCTACATTAAATCAATTAATGAATTACGGGGCTAGGGGGGGCCTCCTCTTGATGAGTTTGGGGCAATGAAAAAGTCTTTCTGGGAAATCACCGCTGTGAGACTGTCTCTAAGCATATGTTTCGTAGTTTTTAATGTTTTACTGCCCTAGTCTGTCAACGCTTCTGAACAGTATGATACAATACTTTTCTTTTTCAGGAAGGTTATCAATTCAGCCTCGGCAGGCCACTACAGCGCCCCACCGCGGTGGTCTAGTAGCTAAGGTACTCTGCTACTGACCTGCAGGTCGCGGGATCGAATCCCGGCTGCAGCGGCTGCATTTTCCATGGAGGCGAAAATGCTGTAGGCCCATGTGCCGAGATTTGGGTGCACGTTAAAGAACCCCAGGTGGTCGAAATTTTCGGAGCCCTCAACTACGACGCCTCTCATAATCATATGATGGTTTTGGGACGTTGAACCCCACATATCAATCAAGGCCACTACAGCGGTCAGAGCTCACAGTGGCCAAGGTTTCCCTGAGAGCATTGTCTTGATAAAGCAATCGTGGCGTCGCGTGCTGCTGGTGCTGACCCAGCAACAATAACGAAGTGGATGAAGGTGCGAGGCAGCATGCACAAGCCATCAAATAAAACAGTTGGTTTTCGCAGTCAAAGTAGCAGCATCCTTCTTCATCTACCTCTCCGCTACAATGGTGACTACGAACCATGGAATAACATTCCAGAAGATTCCACCGGACACTTCCTCCGAGCCAAGCAACCTCTGACCCGCCTATCACCATGGCGCGACTTCCAGATGAAACGGCCACACCCTGCATCTTTCTACTGCCGGAATTGCCCAAATTTCAGAAAAGAAGACCAACCATCTGACTCCTCGAGATGGAGGAGGTCTCTATCTGCGCAACAAAGTCTCACAGCAGGAGAGGTACGCCGCCACGGTAGCCATGGTTCCTCCTGCTCTGTGATGCGTCGTGCCTCCTCCTGGGCGACACACACGACCAACTTCGAAGTTTCATACGAGCCCTACCACAATCGGGAGCCCTACGTCCCTTGCTCCCTGCCGCGCTAAACCTTAGTTTCAACCCTCAGGCCACCACAATCCCACTGCCCAAACAATCTGACTCAAGTTTCTTGATACCACCAGGTTTTTCTCTGTGGCTTTAGCTAGTTTGCAGGTGACCACGCAGCCATTGCGCCACAAGATTTTTGACGAGGCACCCAAGACGACACTGTGCATGTCACGTGCCATGGATGAGTGCCGTCTTACGCCAACTGCTTCTGCCACACCTGTCATCACCGACACCAGCTTAGATCTACAATTCCAATCCTGTGAAGTAAAACCGACATCATCAGCTGATGTTCCAACTCGTCGAAGCTACTCATCTCTCTCCATCTAGTGAACAAACAGTTCTGCACTCAGACGCCGCCATTCCAGCACCACCGGCCACACAGAACCTCGCAGATGATACGGATCCCTTTTCACCAGGCTGGCAAACGGCATACCCGTCGGGCGCCTTGAATGTTTGCGGTAAGGTCCTTCCAGAAGCATCGCCTGAGAAGGCAATCGTTGCCAATGTAGCCGTAAGCCCACCATATCGTACGTGCACTCAGGCAACTTTAACATCACCTGATGGATCTTTAGAAAAACGCATTTTAAAGGTATAAATGAAGGCTCATTTATGTAGGATAGATATGTTTTTTCGGATGATTTCTGCCATCATTGGAGTTTGGCAATTATGATTATTTTGAGCATGTGACTTTAGTGAACTCCTCATGTGAAATGCAATAACAAGCAGCCAGGTGATAATTTCCAGGGGACTGAACCCAATGAGCTCTTTTTAGTTTTTAGTAGACACCTTGTGCTCTTTAAAGCAATTTTAACACACTTCGAGTTTAATTAAATCTTCAGTTTTTTTGTCATAAAAGTAGAGAACATAAACTTGCAAAATCTAATAAAAACAAAAAATATGTAGCTGTTTTTTTTACTCGCATTTTTACTTAAAGGGGCCCTGCAACACTTTTTGAGCATGCTCAGAAAACGCTGCCAATGGGTAGTTGAGGCTCCCGAGAACCAAATATTACAGTGCAGCATGCGGCCTCGAATTCAGAATTAATGCTCAAAGTCCGCTAAAAATTGCTGTCCCTTCTCTCAACAAACAATGACACAAGCTCAAAAATCATTTGCAACAGCCAATGTATCATCCATTGGCTGACTTGAGTATGGCGCGCTCAGTTATTACTAGGGCTGCCGCGGAATGTTGAGACTTGTCCACTAATGCACAAGCGATCGCCCTGAAAAGCCACATATTTAAAGAAAAAAAAAAGAGACAGAAGTACTCAAAATCACAAGGTGCACGTGATGTATTTTCTTTCCCTGTGCCATACGTCCCTGCTAGGCTTCTAGTGCTTTGTCGGGACGAGAGGAGAGAATGCAATCGCAGCATGCGACAAATCCTTTGTAATTACGCTCGAACTCGACGGATTCCAAAAGTTCTTGTGGTGGTGAGTTCGTAAGGGCTACTTGAGAAAGTGTCGCAGGGCCCCTTTAAACTTACTTGACTTAGCTTTTTCCAAGTCAGAATTTTTGCGGAAAATGCTTCCTCATCATCACTGGAAGTGGTCAACAGCAACAAGCAATGTTAACCAAAAGGTCCATTCATTTCACCTGCACTTCGTGAACCGGTTCACGAAGATGCTGCACTTCTGCAGTGGTTTCAAGAGTTCAACATGGCGAAAGCAGCACCATGGTATTCGTTTTTAAAAAGTGCAGCTGTCGTGCAAGACAAGTTTACAAATTTCCTGCACCTGCTCGTGAGGTAGTGAGTGCCGAGTCTGTGCAGCACAAGATGGCTGCAGCTGCATCAGACTGTTTGCTATTCGTGTCTGCTGCTGAAGACACGAATGCAAGGCTGTTTGCATTCGTGTCTGTTTTAGTGGCGTCCAACAAGTGCCACAGTAAAAGTTTTCCGGTAGTTACACATACCACGAAACATAAGCGGCGCAGTTTTTTACGAATCACAGCTGTCACAGCCTCCTCAAAATGTGAGACAGCCAGTAGCATAGGGCTTGCACGACATCTGCACTCTTGTATTCGTTTCCGCGTCGTGTTGATGCTGCACTTGCTGAAACATCCCTTGCACGACGACGGCACCACCATGAACCAGTTAATAAAGTGCACAGTGAATCGAATGAACCTAAAATTATATCTTGCTTACCTTAGCCAGCTCCCATTTTTCTATAAGATGTGCCACATTGCCACCCAAGAATTTGAAGTTACGTTCAGCCAACAGAAGGAAACCGTTCACAACAGGTATTGCTTCACTCTTGAGGAGGATCTTGCTGCCAGGGGGAGTGGAAAGGCTGCATAAAAAAGAATGAAAACAAATTGAACTATTTAGTCTATCTCAGCTGCATTAGCAAAACCGTCATCTAGATTAGATTAGAGAAATTTAAAGCCATCAAGTAAATAAATGCATCAAAATAATGATTGCATTATCATTCTTTTTTTTTTTCATTTGATTGACATTATTTGCAAGAAAATCACACTTGCTACATCTGCATTGCTTTTTTTACTGGAATTGTTCCTTTGATGACAACACTGCCTGTACCACATCATCTCGGTGCAGCCTGTGGGGCTGCTAATACGCTCTGTAAAGTCACTAACGCCTCATGGCGCACACGTGTTTCACGGATAGGCCGCATTCAGGGTTGAAAACCATCGGGCGGTAGGTAGCGTTGTGCTCGCGAGTGTATTCATCACCATCATCATAATGGTTAGCGCAGTAGCACCAGCAGTGACGCCTATTGGCGAGGCGAGATGGCCTGACAGAAAAGATTGGCAAGTCTCTTGGGCGTGTTGTGGTTGGTGCAGATGATAGTAGTTTGCGAAAATTAACTAGAAGGGACTCTAGCACTGCGATCGTTCAGCGATCATGGGAATAAAAGGCAGTACATGGACTTGCCTAGCCGTCGTACTTGCGGGTGGCGAATCGCATTTATGGCTTCATTTATTATTACTGTGTCTCGGTTTTGTTTCGTAGGTGGCTCGATTTGAAATGGTAAGCCTAAAGATTAAGGTGGTGAAGCACAACTGCTGAACATTTGTCGATTGTTGTTCCGTGACAAAGCAGCTTCAAGCCATGCGATGCAACAGGGAACATATGAAGACTTAGTCGAATCCGTGTACTAGCCATCATTGCCATGTTCATGGGGCGCCATGCTTTGACGCTCTCGTAGACACTAGTCTAACAGTTCCCTCTAGTGTATAAATAGGAAACTCAATGGCGCAAATGGTTGTCTCCTGACGAGTCCCTGCGGGGTGCGGTGACCGCGGGCCGTGCCACGTGGGTGCCTAGCAGTGAGTCAAACATCGCCAATGCCGCCTTCGCATTACCTTGTGTTTGTTCTTATGTTTGAGTGTAATGGAATATCGCGGAAAGTTGTTTTAGCGTGTTCATTACTTGCGATGTATTTTGATTTGGCTAAGGATTTTGTAGCTGTAAAAAGTAAGTTAAATAAAAGTTTTGTTTGGTTTGGTTCAACTGTGTCCGTTTGTACTGTGAGCGGCGGCTCTCCTTCAAGACCCGAAAAACCGAATCATTAAAATGATGGCTTATGTGCCACGGTTTATTTCAGAGAAAGTGGTTTTTTCAACCATGAGTTTGACTGGTGCACATAGGCACCTACAGAAACTCCAGTCTAGAGAAGAGTGACGTCCCCTTTTATTTAGAGAGCTTTTAGAAACGAGCTCTGTGTTTATCAATACTTCAGTCTTTCCAAGTCTTGCAGATAGACTGCATTTTATAGGCCCGCCACAGTGGTCAAGTGGCTAAGGTACTCGGCTGCTGAACCGAAGGTCGCGGGATCAAATCCTGGCTGCGGTGGCTGCATTTTCGATAGAGCTAAAATTCCTCAAGGCCCGTGTGGTCAGATTTTTGTGCATGTTAAAGAACCCCAGGTAGTCGAAATCTTTGGAGCCCTCCACTGCAACGTCTCTAATAATCATATGGTGGTTTTGGGACGTTAAACCCCACATATCAATCAATCATATCAATTATTCAACTGCGTTTTACAGACTTCACTTGATATTCAATGAAGAAGCAATGCTAGAACAATATGAATACAAAAGGACACATATGCAATGCTGTTCTTTCATCTTGTTCTCACACTGTTTCTTCTTTCTAGGATTGAAACAGAACACTCGGAGCACGTGACTGCCGGTACATGTACCGCCGCTCATGGGTGCGCGTGAAACCAGTGTTTTGCACTGTGATATAAAGTGAGGGGGAGAACACCTACGGAGCAGGATTACTTCTTTCGGTCGTCACAGAGTCGGCCTGTAGTTCACAATGCGCACACTGCCTGCGTGGCACTGCAAGGCTTGCAAGCATTTGCATGTCAATCGAACTGGCTAGCCGTTGCTCACCACTTATAATGTGGCGCCAGCAGATGACCCTCTCGGTCTGCACCCTTAGGCTTCTTTTCTATCTTTTTTCCTTTCTATTATTCCCCCTTTCCCCCACCCCAAGTGTAAGGTAGCCAACCGAGCCAAGCTTGGGTAAATTCCCTGCCTTTCCTCTCTATTTATCTCCCTCTCTAGCATTCTGGGCAAGTAAGACCCAGGATTCAGCTAGATGATTTCGTAGACACGATAACATCTGCATGAAAGCACAGATGTTTTACTTTGTGGTTTCTGTGATGACAAAAAAGAAAGTGAGTTGCAAGCCTGTCTTTGTGCAACATGGATACACCATCATGTATCAGTGTCCATGTAGCCTATTGTTGAATACAGCAGGAGAAGCTGGCTCACTCTTTCATGGCTAACAGCTCTATGAAAGTTTATCACACAGAAAAGCCGCAGTGTTGGCTGCTCGGGGCAAAACGACAAAATACTAATAGATTGTTTCAATCCTGCACGAGAACGAGCATGTGACTGCTGCTTTGCTTTTTCGTCATGACACAAAGCACAACAAACTTTTTATGCATTTGTGCAGCTGTTTATCATGTCTATGAATGCACGTCAGTCGCAATTTCTTAGCTGAATGCCGTTTCTTACTTGCACCAGCATACGTGTCACAATATCGAAGGGTGCAGAACGAGAATGTTGTCTGCTCGCACTGCAGTATACATGGCAAGCACCACTGAGCCTATTCAGGCCACATGAGAAAGCGCGCGAGTCTTGCAGGGCCATGCTTGCAGTGTGCACATGGTGAACTAAATGCCAACTGTTTAGTGACTGGAAGGAGTAATACTGCACTGTAGGTGTTCTCCCTCTCACTTTATACAACAATACTACACCTTTGTTCTATGAGCACCCACGTGCGGCGGCACATGTACCAGCAGCCACATGCTACGAGCGTCCTATTTTGGTCCGTGGGAACTGTGCCAACCAGCCTAATGCAAGACGCTAAGTCATGGTAGTAGCCTTATTTTTAAACGTAAAAGTGCAAAGTTGCCTTCATCTGAGCCTTTCATCATAAATAATGCTAGAAAGATAAGCTGTTCACTTCTGGCACCTCCAGCACAGCAAAGCATGGCTTTCAAGATTGGCTTTTATTACTTGTTAAGTCCTAACGTGTGGACTGAATGTATAGGTTAATCAAAATGCAAATTCAGATTTTGCCCTCAACAAACACGAAAAATAAAAAATGCCTATTGCACTAGTAGGTTATAGGAACAATGATGTGACATGAAACCTTACCCAGAAAACACAGGATGCGAAGACAACACATGTGTCAATACCTACCGAAATCATCCATGCACATGGATTTTAATGGCAGTTATAACAGTAAGCTATAAATGCATTCACTGAATTGATTCCTATTCAGTGGTTAAGTGAGTAAGAAGTACTGCAGGACTTATCATTTGGATAGACGTCCTAACACTCACAACTTTGGATGGGCCAAACGAACAGTCCCAGGTACAAAATTCGTCTCATAAAATGATGCAAAGAGCCAAATTTCTACATGTTCATGTCTGCTGTCAGAAGTCATTAGTTTGTGTCACAAAGTGCGATTATATTAAGCTGCCTATATCTTATTTAACTCAAACTCCATATGGTTGACAACCAAAGCCCTTGAGATCAATAGTTGCACTACAAAGCAGCTGCAAAGCTTTACCTTATGTTGTTCCATCGTCCCCATTGGATGGCACTGCAGTATGAAGTTCCGTCGTACAAGTGAAGTCGCAATAACCTAGGCGAATGGTCCGATTCTGGGTTACTCTTTGGCGCCGAAACGTTCCGTATCTTTTGAATCTGGACAACCACGGGCCCTGTGATCTAGAACACAAAGTTATTCCAATCAATGTAAAATAAGCCGTGGACCTGCAGTGCACATATATTTGCACTGAGTAGTGACTCACTGAATCCACTTTGTTCCTCGAAACATCTTCCGGCAAGCCACCTTCTCCAATGTCGGCTAAATCAAACTGAAATGCGAGATCACGATGTGACCGTGAGGCATGGTTTGATGCAAAGCACATTACTTCAAATATCTAACAGAAAGCTTACGTTCACTGCTTTCCTGATCACGTCTTCCACCTTGGGGTTCTCCAAGCCTTCTACGCACTCTTCGAGTCCTTCAGCGCTCAAGAACCTGCCCATAACAAGAAATAAATCAACTCGCGTGGTGTACCAGTGGAAGTTAGAAACCGTACCTCGAGCACTACCCATTAACGACAGAAAGGTAACGCTAAAAACGACAGTGACCCACCATCCACGCTCTTTCAGCTCCTCTTGCATTTTCGGCACCCGCAGCCTCGTGCACAAAGTACCGGCCCAACTAACTCGACTTGAAAGTTCGTCCGGCTTTCAAGTTTCTATGGCCCTTGATCTCGCAATGGCCAAACCAGCTTCGGTACAGACCAATCAAGAGCAAGCATTGCACTGTAGCAAGAATAATCTCAAGCGCACTACATGCTTCACATTCGCGACCAGTTCCAGTAGCTCGGCAACTCCTCAAGCTCACAGACGGGGTAAATCCAGATGCCTACACCACCGGTCGAATTTTCACTCACGCACTCATCAACCACGAACAGCGTTTGCCCACAGGTTTTTGCCGATTACCGCTTGAGGCGCAGATCACGAAAAACGTGCTATCATCATCGTCAAATGTCATTCTGGAATTGGCCGCCTACCGGATTTTCTTGTCCTCAACCAGCCAAAGCCAGCCCTCCACTGCTTAAGATCTTTCTCTCACTGTTGGCGTGTGTTGCGGTACATGTGAGCGTAGTAACGGGAAGTAGTAATTAATTTGACAGGCTCAAACAGCACCAAAAGCGATGCTCAAAATCACCCAGCCTCGTGTGGAACGAATCGACCCTGCTGAGGAGAAGCAGCGGGCTCGGTCTGCCACTATTAGCACATTATTCAAGTTTGGTCTTCTAGTTACACTGATACGAGCAAGTAAGCGATTCTTTTCAATAATCGTAATGTTATCCCATGATAACGTCGTGAAGGCCTATTTCATGTGTGCCTGCTAGTACATCTATGTCTCCACTTTTCTTTCATTTCGTTATCCCAGCGCCCCATGTTATCAACCAGTTCCGGAGCTAGGAAGACTACTATCGCAGTGGCTGGTTTCGACGGATGGCGCGAAGTAAGAATTCACGGATACCTCAGAATTTCCCATGGCCTAATAGTGATTCAGAAACTGCGGTATGTAAACATGTTTGAGATGGCCGCTAACATTATTCACAGAGCGACGCTTTTCCCACCATCGCGTTTTGTCTCGAGCAACGATGGACAGTGAATTTCTCCTTCAGTGTTAGCATACAAATTAAAAAAAAAACATTTTCTTCTCTGTTGCAGATTTCAAGTGGAAGCGCTTCGCAAGATTGCCAGGCGTAGTTCACCACCGACAGAAATAAACGCGATAAAAAAAAAAACTGATTGCGTGACCTAGCTGATCATTCTTGTAGCTGACGCTGACTTACTATCGTCGGAATTGTCGAACAAGCAGGTAATGCCATAGTGTAACAAACGGTAATGCTAATGTTCAAGCATACAACTGCGCAGCGAAGTGCAGAGCAAGAAGCCAGTGTTTTAGCAACCTGTCTGCGCTGCGAGCGATGGCGCGAAGCAAAGAGCCTGGCCTCTTCTATACCAATACTTTAGTCCAGACCTTGGTACTAAAACGTAGTATACCACATAAGTTTGCGGGCCACGCAACGTTTATAGTCGCGTTGCTCTAACGCACGGAGGTAGGAAAGGCTTCTTTCCTCCGTGCTCCAACGCAAGCCTCTTCGCGAGACTTCCGCTACGTCAGGGGCGATTGACAGCCCCGCCACGCCTGAGACGCATCACTTCTGTGGCCTGTTTGCTGACAGGACTACAAATAATTTTCGCCTTTCACTTTTTAACGGTAAGCGTTTTTTGGCATCTGCGTTCTACATATATTCTGCCTCAAGAGCAGGCATAACTGTAACCAATCGCAATCTTTATCACGAAGTTATACCTGGTTATATATAGTGATACGTAGCCAACGGAACGCAGTTCGAGGAACGTCGTGATAGCGTTGATTCTGTTTTGAAAATAGAAATGTGACGGTCATACTGCAATAAGCGCTTCGTGTCAAAAATGCGAACAGTGCGCTACGCGGCAGTACACAATTCGAAAGACCAGTGAATAACCTACCAGAGCGGTTGACAGTGAATAGCGCACCGCTAGGTGGCGCGGAGCAAACTAGAGTTACTGTACATGCTACCTAAAGGTAGCATATACAGCAACTCTAGTTTGGCACAGAGCCATATATTTTGGCATAAGGCCCCCAGATATAACTTTTGATCTGGGGACTTTAGTGTGGCATAAAGGGGCTTTAGTTTGGCCTGCGCTCATGTGGTCTGCAAACTTTAGTGAATGACTGTACCTACCTATAGGTCATCTTCGGCACCCGCAGGCACAGGGTATCGAATGACTGTACCTACCTATAGGTCATCTTCGGCACCCGCAGGCACAGGGTATCACGAGTGGTGTGCTATATACACGCGACTCTGGTATTGCACGCTTGAAGTGCTTCGTGGGTAAAGTAGTCTCGGAGCTTTTGCCAGCCCCATCCCACCATGATCCATACTTCTATCTTGAAAGGCCCAAGTTTTTGGCAATATATGAACCTCGGCTGCCGAGATAGCCGATGCTGGTTATGACCAAGCAGCAGTTCATGGCAGAAGCATGATGAAAATAGTACCTTGGCATTCCACAAGGCTGCCTTTTGCACTTTCATAATAACTGCTTTAGTTACAAAAATGAACACATTTGAAATGTGCACAGGAGGACCTTTGATATTTCAAACTATACAAATGTTCAAGCAAAGAAAAAGTATACACGAGAACAGATGCACGCTTGGTACTTCTGTCTCGATTGCCAGATTTATTCAGTAAAAAAAAAAATCAGCTTATGACAACAATACTTGCATAAAATTCTTCTAATACCTGAAATGATAATGTAGGCAGCATCAGCAGCTTGCCATGAACTATGCCATTCTTGGAATTGGGGTAAAATGGCTTTGTTTAGCTAGCTGAGCCAATACCGAAAGACTAGTAGTAGTAGTAGGAACATGTGCGTCGAGACAAAGCATGTAACCTTTGCAATTAAGGTACACGCTAAGGCCGAAGAACACAGTTCTAGGCATATGAAAGTGGCCTTCTATCAACGCACCTAAATTTTATTTCATTCAGTAGACATGAAATGTGTACAGTATGTACAATGCAGACATCGCCCAACCAGACGGCGACCCTAGGGAATGAATGTACAAACAACAAAAGGCAACATTTGCTTTTCACGTTTATGGGATGAGTGTGTTCAGAGAGGATAGGGCAATGTTTAGAGATGAGGCGCCGTTTTCAACACAATTCATTTTGCCTTCCAAAAGGCATTTTTTCATTTAACCATTTCCAAATGCAGCACCACTAGCTTATTACCGTCACACTGCTTGTAACCCCCACACAATTATACAGGTCTTGTCTCAATAGTCTGCGCAGCGGCTGGCAGTGAAAATGATACATTTTCGCCGCCCTGAGGTCGACAATCCTTGATTCACTGGATTTCCCCACCAATGGACTCTGTGGAGAGGGGACAGACTGGAATGTACTCCAGGTTTCTTTCTGTTCCTCGCAATGTCTGTTTGCGCCCACATGATCCACACAATATACAGGCCTCCAAACACTCTCATTATTTTTTAAAAATGGCTCTATGATGGGAGGGGCACCAACCACTCTCCCCGAGATGCTTGAAACTAAGTAATAAATAACTTGTGCCACAGTGGGCACCAAAACCACCACTGCGTTTTGTAAAAAATGTTGGAAACAAACACGGAGGTGAAACAACGCAGCCGCCTCCCAGACACAAGTGGCATGTGACCACAGGCTCTTCTGAGAACAGTTTGAGAAAAGGCAGCACTTGCTTTAACTTAACTGGTGAGAACACTCCATTTTTTTTCATGATTGGAGCCCACTGGGTGTGCACACACTGGTAAAAAAAAGTGGGGGGGGAGAGGAACAATAATAAACAGGGGGATGGGTACAGAGCAAGGAAGGCAGATGAATTTACAGTACAGATGAAGGGCCCAGCAGCCATGGCTAGCAGAGTCCACTGCCACGAGATGTGTCCGATGATCCATAAAAAGGAGGAGCACAAACTGATGCGGAGTTGAACTGTACAGTGGGCTTCATGCCCAGTGGTATGTACAAAGGAGCTCTAGTTCACTGCGCACACCAGCGGTGGGCTACAAGTTCTCCACAAACTTGTTCAGCTGCTCCTGGGGTGTAAGCATGTCCGAGCCGTCCCCCGGCTGGGGCGGCGGTGGAGGCGCCAGGTCAGGGCTAGGGCTGGGCCCTGCCCCCAGGCCACCCTGCGGCAGCATCAGGTCAGCGCCACTGGGGGGGCCTTCCACCAGAGGCCCCCCACCGAGGTGGGGTGAGTGTGTTTGGCTGGGGTAGTGAGGAGATGGGATGGGCTGCTGCCTCGGTGACGGGATGGGCCTGGGCGAGGGCTGTGGCGAGCGCACTAGCTGGCTTGGCGGCGGTGACCGCACTTGCTGCATCAGCTGCTGGGGGCTCAGGGGACTCTGTTTGAGCGGAGGGGCGAACTGCTGATACTGGTCCGGACCGGGTGGCCCTCCTTGGTAGAAGTGCCGAGGTCGCTGGTAGGCCCCCTGTAGTGGGCCCTGCTGCTGTTGCTGCTGCTGCTGGAACTGCTGCTGCTGGCGCTGCATCATGAGCAGCTGCTGCTGCTTCTGCATCCACTGCTGTTGCATTGGTGGCTGCTGCTGCATGGGAGGCTGCTGCATACCAGGCGGTTGCTGCGGGCCTCCCATCATCAGCTGCTGCGGAGGTGCTTGTTGCTGCTGTTGTTGCTGCTGTTGGTGCTGCTGCTGCTGTTGCTGTTGTTGTTGCTGCTGTTGCTGGTGCTGACTGCGCTGCTTGATGAATGCAGCCATCAGCTGCGGGTTCGACTTGAGAATGTGCAGCACTTGCTGCTGCTGCTGTGGTGAGGCAGGTGACTTGAGGGTCTGTATCAGCTGCTGTAGGGCGGGGGTCATTTGACTCGGCCGTTGCTGCCCTCCACCGGGTGGCCCCATCTGGGCACCTGGAGGAACCATGGGCGGAGGTGGTGCCTGTCGCATTGGTGGTAGACCCTGTTGGCCGTAGGGGGGCCCCTCCCAGCGCAAGGGAACCATGCGGGGTCCCGCAGGGGCCAAAGGCTTCTGCGCAGGAGGTACCCCCTTGCCATAGCCACCAGGATTGCCCGCCAGGTGGGGAGCCTGTTGCCGCGCAGCCGCTGCCTGTACCTGCTGCACTGCCTGCAGTGCTCCGACAGGGGGTCCCGCCGGCTTGCTGCCGGTACTGCCACCAGGAGGCGTGCTAGCCGGTGGAAGCGCGGGCGGCCCCGACGACATGGAGACAGAAGCACTTGTAGCCGGCGGCAGGGCAGGAGCTCCCCTGTTCTGCATAGTGGCAATGCGCCGCTGCAGGATCTGCGCCTGCTGGAGGCGTTGCTGCAGCTGCTGCTGGCGCAGCTTGTGCTTGATGTTGAGACAGAAGGGTACAGGACACTTAGCCTCTTGGCAGTGTTTGGCATGGTAACAACACAGGGCGATAAGCTGCTTGCAAATGGGGCAACCTCCATTGGTCTTGCGCTTGCAGCTCTTGGAATGCTGCACCACCCGCTTCATGCGCCGGCAACTGGGCAAGCGGCAGTTGGCATCTCGGCACTGGCACGCATGCACCAGGGAGTGGATGCAGCGTTGTATGGACAGCCGCTGCGACTCTTGCGGGTTGCTCTGCTTGGGGTCGGCTGCAGAGGTCCCATCATCGAGGTCAAAGCCCAACTTCTCCATTTTGTGAGGATGGCCTTCACGATCATAGCAAGCCACACACAAGTCAAAGTCATCGCATACTGTACAGTGGTAACGTGTCTCCACATGGCTTTTGCAGCTATTGCATGTGTACACAAATCGATCCTGGCCTTGGTTGTGAAGCTCGTAAAGCATGGCCATGGTCGAGTACTTGGCGCGCCGAAGTGATGAGAACTCGTAGTGCTTCTCTCGGGCAAGTGTCAGAAAGGCATCTCTACCATCCATCAGGTCACACTGCATAAGGAGGTCTGGGTCGTGTATCTGGGGCAGACTGACTGCAGCCTGTGCAGAGTGCAGCCGGATCACGAAGAAAACCTGCAAACAAGAAATATGCAATGACAGAGTTCTGACCAAATGCAGCAAGAAAACTTGTGAAAAACAAAACAGTACAGTTGCAGTTACTCGCATAAATAAGTTTGTCAAGTTCGGCACACATTACTCAGGAAGAATGCTATTATATGTGCCAGAAATGGGTATGCTACAAGCCAAAAAAGAAGTATCCATGCCACATTTCTTACAGACAGCATCACACTTTAGTTACAAAAACTACAATTGCCATACTGCCGCTTGCACTGGAAGTTTTGCTAAATGAAGAGGCTTTATGGACAATTTTAACAAAGCAATAGCATTTTTTTCATCTGCTGAGAATAATTAGGTGTGGCAGAAGGTTTAGCCTGAGTGATTCTGATTGTGACAGCAGGTGCCGCATTACAAAAAACAAAATCAAGTTTTTAAACAGTGTGTCATATGTACAAGCTGGAGCCGAATGAGTGAAAACTATGGAATCAATATGAACACTAGGAACACTAAGACTATTTCCTTCCTTGATGTTTCCCTACATAGCCTTCAGGTCTTAACGTGACCATTTCCCAAATAGCAAATGCTACACTGGAAGGTTGTGTATTTGCAAAATGTTACGATAGTACGAGTGTTCAGCTATTATATTAAGCTGTGGCAAAAAAACAGTGTCAAAGTTTACTGATAATTTTCTTTTCAAATAAATGCTGCTTTATTTATTTATTTTGAGGCTGCAACAGTTGCAAAAAGTCGTAGGCAAAATAGTTACTCTTCACTTTGCAAAAATGGTTCCTTTTTTTTTTTTTTTTTTTTTGACAACACCATTTCCAAGCATGCCCATTTTCCAAGTCCACGTCGTATACTCGTAACATGACGTGAAAATTCACACTGAACAATAGAGCAGTTCTCCCATTCACAATTTTCATTGCGATGGCAATTACATGAACATTTCCGGCTGGATTTAGCTGCTGGCGTCAGCGTCGACGTGGGCGTCACTATCACTCATCATATATGTATACGTACCTATATTTACGAAAATGCAAGAAAAAAAAATACTAAAAACAGACTTCGGCGCGTGGAATCGAACTTGCGTCCTCAGAACAGTGAGGGCAAGGCGTTAACCACTGAGCCAACGAGGAGCACGTCCATCAACGTTCAAACGACAAGCTATCTATCGCTGCCGACGAACATCTGGGGGAGGGGGGAACTATCGTGTTTTCAGCGTTACCAGCAAGATGGCGCAATGAGCGCACGAAAAAACATCATCTCACCCTGCACATTTTGCCCCGCAAAGCGCAGGGGGTCCACGCTCACTCACGCGCCCTTATTAGGGAGGATCGTACGTCTTGGCTGGCATTCGACTTTCACCGAAACGATTCTGTTTTAGTTATCGGGCGCACCAAAGGTCACTACAATCGTTGCACAGTCTACGCTTGCGAAAAGAGCACGCTTTTCAGGCACAGCGAAGTAACAACTGAAATGCTTATTCGCGTTCATCGGTACATGAGAGTACGTTTTGTGCGTCATTTGTGCGTGAGAAACGCTGGGCACGTTTCGATTTGCTGGCCATTCTGCGCGAGACCTTTTTGTTGCTATCGCATTTATTGCTTCGTCATTCCGGCAAAGCTATGACGCTTTTCAGTATATAACTTTCTAAATGTATGAACGATGCATAAACCGGTATCAGACTAGCTACCACACACCAACACTTCCCAGTTCTTCGCCTCTCGAGGAACCTAGATGCCATGCAACAATGGTATGACTGTGACAAACTGTACAAACAGGGAGGAACTATGGCAGCATACCTCTTTATGCTTCTCCATGGTTGAGTAGATCTTGGCAGAGAGATCATTCCCCGTGTGGGGTACCGTAGACTTCTTGTTGTTCTTCCGCTGGTTGCTCTTGTTTTTGTTGGCCTTCTTGTTACGCCCACTCTTCTGCCCTTTCTTTTCACCCTGCTGAAGAAGTGAAGGCCAAGGGCAAGTTAGCCACAACTTACTCAAAGGACAAACAGCTGTAATGCTAGCAGTACATTGAACTTAATTCCAGAACACCAATACCTTTCATTAATTTTAAAATTCGAATTCATTATATATGCACAAATTTTCAAAGCTTCTCAATATAAATGCAATATGAGGCTTCCAAATCTGTAGTTTGGCTATCATGTTATTTTCTATAAGAAGAAAATGATGTCCCAATGTTCCTTGCACCTTGCATTGTAAACATGACATATTGGTTTGACAAAATTCCACCTGTTGCTGAAGGCATGCTTAATAAAGAATGTCGAACAAGAATTGAGGAAACACGTGTGAGAAATCAAAATGAGAACTTGCATATGTCTTTCTGGGACACATGTGAAGGACGGGACGAACATCTATCTGCTGGAAAAGAATGAGTCGAGGCTTAGCTTAAGGCCAACTCAAAACTTTGCACGGAAGTATAGCTAAGGTACCCAGATGGACAGGAACAACATTACTAGATACTTCGGACAGGAATGCCAAAACGCTTTTAGAATTTTTTTACATCTTTATCACATTTACAGCTGCATTAGCCATGTGCCCTCGGTTAGTAATTGCGCGGCCGCAACCGCGGTTTCGCATGCGGCAATTGCCGAAAACAGCAGTTAAGTTTTCAATGCACGTGCCCTGGCTGCGCACGTGCCTTTAAAGCCTTTCATTTCTTTCTATCTATGACAGCATCGGCCGCAATTTTGTCCACGGCGCTTGTGGAAAGCAACGCCGCTTTAACTGATTGAGCTTTGAACGCGCGTTCACTTTCGGAGTTTGTCAGTTACGTCGTAGCCACATCGTGTCAAGAGCGACCTCAGTTTTCTTCAGAGAGGTCGTGGCAAACAATAAACACAGTTCTGACAGTGCTTGCACTGGTCGCACGCATGCTTCCGAAGCATAGATCATGTTGCTCTTGGCCTTCGTTCCACAATTTCGGCACAAAAGTTTATACATACGACCCACCGAGAAGAGGAAAAGAGCTCGGAATATCCGAATTTTGGCCCAATTAGCGTTTAGATGAACAGTCTCCTAAATTCCTTTGCAATAAAATGCGATGGGTTAGCAAAACACCTGGATTGGGCTGCATTTTTGTCAATGCAGCCAGATCACACACAGAAATACTCCTCATCGTCTCAGCGCTGCTCTGGAGGCAGGCGGCTTGCATGGCCGGCCAACTCCCGCGATCGAAGGGAAAGTCACGCCCACCACCGGCTTTTTTTCTTTGGATGCATCTGTGCTGCCAGCGCTGACACCATGGCACAGCGCACCAGCACCATGACAATCTCTTTTTCTTCGCTTGAATTAAACTACTTGACACTGTTGGGAACGCTGTGCAAGAAGAGACGAAAACAATGAATGCGGCGCGCTCGGTTTGCTTCGCTCACTCAGCTGGCGACGATCAGCTGATCGGAATCGGTCTCCAGAGTTCTCGCTGATAACAAGATCCGGACGTGACTATCCAGTTTTGCGACTCCCGGTCGCTCGCATGCAGCCTCTGCCAATGTGAACATCAGTCACTTTTTGGTCGCCAGTCGCGAATGGTCGCGCGACCACTGCTAGTCACTGGTGCGCACCAGCCTTAAATGCACTCAGCTAAATGAGTCGTTGAATGTAATCTATGTTCGCAAGTTGTAGCTGCCATATCTTACTGTTCCGGCATTGCAGATCAAAAGCAACTGAGATGTGGAATATTCAGAGTAAGCAATTCTAAAATGGCTTTTATGGTATGGTGCGCAAAATATGTAATAGGATCGCAACGAAAAGCGTAGTAGTTTCAAGGCTTACCTCAGAGCCCTCAGGTTCGCCGTCTTGACTGCCTTCAGAAGCAGCAGCGGATGCAGCCAATGCTTCAGCAGCTTTCCGCTTCTCCTCTTCTTCTTGGTCAAGTTCCTTTATGCTCTCCTCGAGCACGTTGGGCCAAAAGTCGCCTTCAAAATAGGGCAGCTCACAGGCACTCTTGAGGTTGTCCTCCGTGGCCTGTTTTAGAATGTCCTGCACAACAACAAGTGGTGCTCACACACAGGCCAGCAGCCCAGAGGAAAGAGTAACAACAAAAGCTCCTTTGCAAATGCTTATGCTCCCAACCTAACAATCAGTGGCAGGCTTCAGCATCACATCAACAAAGAGGCCAAAGATTTTTAAAACCCACATGCTATGCATTTAATGAAGCTAAACTTGGGAGAAAAACTGCCGTACCCAATTAATAAAACAACGTTCATCAGAAACCAATCTCTCTTTGCAACACTCAATGCATTAATGCTGGTAAATTTGGAGTTTTGTAGCTCTTTAAAGGGATACTGAACAAAAATCGGAAAAATTGACGAAACTTCGCAATTCTACTTGGAACATGCAACTATTCTGATTAAGAGAGTTAATTTCCCATATTTCTGAAAAGTTGGCTATACAGTAGAATCTTGATACATAGAAATTGCTTAAACAGAATCACCTCTTAAACGGAACAGTAGCCGGTAAGTTGGTTGGCTTTGTATTCAGATAAGGTAAAAAAACTTTCGTTAATCAGAATTAAAATAGAATTTCTGGGAGACCCATTGCCATAGGCATCAGCCTTTTCAGATTCCGGCTGTTTTTTTTTTTTTTTTTTTTCCCCTACCCCCACCCAGTCTTTTATAAGCTTCGCCTTGTTGGTAGTCAGCGCAACGAATGCAACATTGCCGTTCTTGATCAAGTCATTCAGTCTCTGTTAGAGTTGCCTGGGTTACAGCCGCATTGTTCCTGCCGTTGTGGTGCCTATCGTGCTTCATTGCCGCGTTAGTGTCTTGCAACTTCGGTGGCTCGTAAGCACCCGGCGAAGTTGAGGCCTCGCCTCCATTGTTTCAATGGCGACGCGGAAGCAGGCACACCATGTGCTGACGAAAAAAAGATGGACATCACTCTCGACTTCGAAAGCGGCTCATACTCAAAGACGGCGCTCGTGACGAAGCACGGCGACCCGAAAAGCAGCTTAATGAGGATCCTGCATGACAAGAACAAGCTACAAGGTTTCTTGACTTCGCACTTCAGGCCCCAAAGGAAACGTCTGCATCACGGCAAACACGAAGAACTGCAGAGGTGTCTTGTATTGTGGCTTAAGAGAGCCCGGAGCCAGAGCATTCCCATCAGCGAGCCACTAATCCGTGCTAAAGCAGAAGAGTTTGTTCTTCAGCTCGGGATAAAAAACTTCTTTTGCGGTGAAGGCTGGCTGACAAGGTCTAAAAAAAGAAATGGCCTCGTTTCTCGCACCATTGCAGGAGAAGCTGCAGCAGATGATGCGACTGCCTGTTGTGACTGCCGGGCAGGACAGCTGCCAGAGATCATTCAAGAGTTCAAGAACGATGACAAGTACAATGTGCATGAAACAGTACTTTTTTAGGCTCCTACCATCAAAATCAATCGGTTTTATAGGTTGAACTGAGCACAGGTGGCCAACTGAGCAAGAACAGACTGACTGTTTTTGTTGGAGCAAATATGTCGTGCAGTAACAAGTTTAAGTTTTTTGTGATACGAAAATATAAAAATCCTCGCTGTTTCAAGGGCATCAATACTGTGCCGTCACTTACCGAGTCGAACTCGAGAGCTTGGATGACCCAAGCCCTCTTCAGCAAACGCCTGCACACAGAGGATGCACAATTTTCGCAGCAAAATGAGAAAGTAATTTTTTTCGTTGACAACTACCCTGGACATGAGACTGTAACAGGACTGAAATATATTCAATTGAAGTTCCTCCCAGCTAACATCACAGCACTGTTCCAGCCAATGGATCAGGAAGTTTTAAATCACGCTTTCGCAAGGGTCTCTTGCATAGGATGCTCTTGAGCATGAGAGAGGATAAAAAGCACAAGGTGGATGTTCTTGGTGCCATTCACCCCGTTGCCGATGCTTGGAGGCAGCTGCGACAGCGAAGGTGCCCTCGAAAGGTAAATGAGCAATGTGCTTCCAAGAAAATCACACTGGGCTTCGATGAATTGACAGCAGCCGTTGCAACTTAGCCCTGACAACACTGTGCGAAGCATTATTGTAAAGTATGCGATGAGGAGGAGGAGCTGGAAGAAGACTCTGAAGCGGTAGCTGCCACAGAAGTTACCACACTTCATGGGGCAGAGTCTGTTGTGCTTAACCTGAGAAAGTTTTTCTTAGGGAGGCAGAATCGGAAATATTTCTTTAAAGCCCTAAGTGACATGGAGAAAAATATTCTGAATATGAAAATACAAGGACTCAAAGAAAAAAAATTGATGCATTTTTCAGTTCACAGTGATTAATTACTGCGTAACAAACTTGTGAATACCATGTAAAAACCTCATGTAGTTTCCTTGCTTTCTAAATAACTATGAGTTACATGCACCTCAAAGTGTTCAGACATCCATAAATAGTATTAGGAGTATTACTGAAAATTGAACAAGTTTGTAACGATTCACTGTTCAAGGTAAACAGCCCGAAAACTGAAGACAGAGAAATAGAAAGACACAGAACGAGTGCTGACTTTCAACTGAAAAAGTTAAATTATTGCATATGATGAAATTTTCATATATGAAAAAGTTTATACATAATGTTTCTTCATTAAATTTTTCAGTTGAAAGCCGGCGCTCGTCCTGTGTTTTCCTATTTCTCTCTCTTCGTTTTTCGGGCTGTTTACCTTGAACAATAGTATTAAAAGAGTGTGCACACAAAAATCGAAACTTTTTTACATCTCTCTCAGTTTTTTGGACAAATTTTTTGGTCTCTTGGAGTTCCGTGTAATGAGAGTCTACGGTAATTTTGATCGAATGTCAGCGTGCGGCGGCCCCACGTGAGCGGGAGCCGTGACGTCAGAATCGTTGAGACGCGGGTAGAGTGCACAAGTTCCCGTCCTCCTCCTTGTCTTTACCTCTCTTGTCATTCCACTTTCCCCCTTCCACAATAGCACCGATGCTTTGCCTCAGCCGGAGCATTGTTCGCAACCAGTGCTGTTCATAACGGTTCTGGGAAACGGGGGGGGGGGGGGGGGGGGACGACGACATGATTGAGTCGAAAGATGCAAGCGACGGCCGGCATTGTTGGCTTGCCCATTTTATGTGGGTTTGACGTCACCAAATGTCACCTGCGGTTCACGGCGTGGCCGTTAGACGTGGCAGTTTGTAAAAAACTGCAATAAATTCATTAAATTCCTGTAGTTTGTGCCTGGAATGAAGGTTGTCTCCATCAATTTCAGAACCCAATCTTTCAATTTGGTTTCAATTTCGATTCAATTTCAATTTGGCAAAAAAAGTTGTTCAGTATCCCTTTAATTCATATGCACACAAGACTCTCGTTAAATGAAACCTGAAGGGGCCAGGAGAACATGTTCCATTTAGCAGGAGTTTTGTTTATCGAGAGATGAACAGGGATGCAGAATACAAGTACAATCGCCGAGCAATAAATCGGACACCGATAATTCGGACATGCTAGGTAATTCGGACAGTCGCGCGGCACCGCCGATGGTCCAATAGAAGTAATGTGTAAAGACGACCGATATTTCGGACGGCTGCCAGATTTACATTCGATAATTCGGACCCTGCCTGACTGTCGCGCACGCCAAATCGGCAGCCATTATCTCCTCCGGCACTCAAACCATACAAAGTATGGCCTCAGAGATCAAAACGAAAGCTAATTGATAATCTATGAGGCTTTATTTCGATCGCAACTTTATGCCTCAGAGATTTGTACTTGAAAATGCCGATCTTGGAGGCACTGCTCAACTGTGGGGGATCGTATCGACATCGCGATCATCCCACATTCCAGTTCCTGAATACCCTCGCCACCCTCGCTGTGCGGCTATCGCCGCCATTCTGTCACATGTGTGTGCGGTACAGCGTTTTGCTGAATTATGTGCGCGTTCATATTTATTTTGAGACTTGCTTTATTTTACGTCCAGCTGTCTCACAAGATCTGAAGTTAAGTGACACCAACGGTGCCCTCACAGCCAGCGCCGACGAATCGCGGCAGATATACAACGCTATACATGGCAAAGAAAGCAGCCATCATTCAGCAAGTGCTCAGTGGTCGCCCGCAAGTCGAAGTTGCTCGAGAGTTCAACATTTCTAAGCAAACCATATCGGATTACATGAAGAATAAGGACAAGATTTTAGGCGCGACGGAGACATCATCCGGAAGTGAACAAAAGAGCAGTTGGAAGCGTTGAGCATTTGGCTTAACGCTATCGTCACTTAACGGGTTCCCGTTTCCGGCCACCTCTTGAAGCGAAAGGCCGCGACATTGGCACTTCGCCTTGGCATTGATGGATTTAAGTTCAGCGATGGCTGGCTCCGAAACTTTAAAAAGCGGTACGACCTCGCTTTCAAAAAAATGTACGGTGAGAGCGGTGCCGTGGATAGCACACTGGTAGCGAACTACCGCTGGTGGAAAGCTGGTGGAGCTGCTTTGGCGCTACTCGGCTGACAACCCTTCAACCTCGATAACCGGGCTTTTCTATAAGCTACTACCGGAGAAGACACTCGCCCGTTCTGGAGAACCTTGCCACGGAGGATAAACTAAACAAGGAACGAGTCACTGTCATTGTCGGCTGCAATGCTTCTGGCATGGAAAAGCTCTTGCTGCTGGTAATCGGGAAATCGAAAAACCCTCGATGTTTTAAGGGGGAAAAAAATCTGCCTGTCTGGTACGAAGCCAATACGAAGGCGCAGGTCCCGCAGAAGCTGTTCGCAGAGTATGTCGGAAAATTGAACCGAAAGTTTGAATTGCAAAAGCGCAACGTCCTTTTGTTCGTAGATAACTGTACTGCCCATGCGCCGATCAGCTGTCTGAAAGCCATCGAGCTAGAATACCTGCCGCCAAATACGACCAGTATTCTGCAACTTGTGGACCAAGGTATCATCAAGAATTTGAAGGTGCTGTATCGTTCACGCATGCTGCAGTGCATGTTGCTCTGCTTAGAGAGCAAGATAAAATACAACGTTGATTTGATGTCAGCCTTGAGCATGCTTGCTGATGCCTGGAAGGCAGTGTTGGCAGGCACGATCAGCAACTGTTTCCGGCACGCAGGATTTACGTTGCGTAGTGAGCCCGACACCGCCGACAATGCAACTGAAGAGCCGACCTGCCGCCCAGCGCATCAAGATCAGGTGCGGACGTTATCGACGACCTGCGAGGCTGCGGTGTGCCGATTCCCGACACTGTTACGTTTGAAGACTATGCAAACGTCGACAGTGCAGTGTCGTCGTGTGCCGAATTGAATGACGACAACATAATTGAGCAGGTTCTGCAACCGTCAAACAGCGGTTCTGACTCCGACGATGATGACGCGCCGTGTGCTCCGGAGCCGTCGCATGCGGACCTGTCTCGAGCCCTCGCTGTTCTTTCGTCGTCGTACAGCGATCGTATCACACTGGCGAAGATACAGGCGGACTTGCGTGCACGTAAGTGGAAGTGCATGCAGCAACGAATTAACGACTTTTTTCGGCCACCGGTAGACTGAAGTGTCAATAAAGGTATTTTTTTTTTTTCTGACGCATTCGTTTTTTCGGACTTTCGATAATTCGGACTTATTTGCATTCCCCTGGAGTCCGAATTATCGGTCGTCGACTGTACAAAAAACCAATCGTACCAGAAGCAGCAGGTCTATTTAGGTAGCGATTTTGTTTTACAGATTTATTTACTGAAAGTCTACCATACAACTTAACTTAGTTATATTGTGCATTTTACGCACATGACCACATATGCAGGAAAGCTTTGTAAGAGTGCATGCAGCCCATTCGGAATCATAAGACATTTTGGGGATGTTAAACGTAACCAGAATATGAGACCATGCCTCTTGTAAGGCATACTACACCATACCTAAGTAGCTGCTGCTACAGATGGAGCATAATATAAAGGTTTAAAGAAAGATAAACTTTATTTCTTCAGTAACATCACAGAGAGGTGGCTAGTCTTTCTTGAAATCTAAAGAACAAGTTTGTCCAGCCCCTTTCACTAAAATTAAAATCAATTAAGCACCAGCTCAGTGGAAACAATTACTAGTGATGCCTTACTTGATATTATTCTGGGTGAATTTTAATTTTTTAGGTTAGAACAACAGCATTAGAGCAACAATCTAAATTAATATACCTCCACCTATCTGCATAGCCTTCCCCGTGTGCGACAACTTCTTCGAGCTGACTTCCACACAAACAACATCTAGCACGCATGTCAAGCAAGGAGACTTGCCTTGTACTCCAGCACTATTCTCTCCATGATGCCCTTGTCAAGCATCATCTTGTACCAGTCCTGGAGCCGCTTAGGCTTTGGTATTTTCTGCTCAGGAGGGTGGCAGTGGAAAATGTAGTCGTCCCCTTCACTAGGTGGACATGCCCAAATATGCGCCATTGCAAAACTAAAAACAAAAGAAAGTAACTGCAGTCAGTTGCGTACCGGGAAATGATGAGGTAAACAAGCTCTTTCACAAACGAGTGCTTCCTGTACAATTAATATCGAGTATATAACACACAGTGTCATTGTTATTTTGAAGCAAAAAGTTTGAACACAGTCGATCCCAGACACACCAAACTTGCAATATACAGAACTACTGCTTACATTAACACTTGTTAAATTCCTTTGATAATCCCATGATGCAGTACAGTGCTATACCATCCATGAATGCAGTTTATTTGCAATTCACTGCCAAATTTGCCGGCAGGCGTGTTATCGCCCTTACTAAACGCTGACGAAAAGAAATGTACTGCTATCTATGGCATTCCAAATGCCTCTTCAATGTGGTACACACAACTCATAATGAAATTCCTTCAGCTTATAGTTTTAAGATCACTTCGCTTAGTACCTACCAACTGAACGGAAAATTCCAGAAGTTGTACCTGTGCACAAATCAGCTGACACTTCTTCCCCTGCTCACGAACGATACATCTCACTAATATGTACGTATTGTAAAACATTTGAATATGTTATCTTTGCATATCAAACAGACTTCGTTAACTTGTTTGTGAACATGACGATGCACTTCAATAAGAATGGTTTTTGTAGTGGTTTTGTAGAGCCAACTGCAAATTATTATCACTTAATAGATTCTTCCAAGACTTTTGTTTGCACTTGTAACTACAGCAACTCAGCGATAAAAGTCCGGAAACAACACGAGCACTTGTTCCGTAATAAACATAGACAAGCAAGGCACAAGACTGGTTAGAGTTACTGTCTACATATCTTCCTTTAAGTAGCACAGTTCCATGTCAAGATGGCTAGCAAATAAAGCTATGCATTGAAGCCACAATAGGTTTTTGCAGGCGACATGCCACATTGTCATGTTGCCGATGGACATGTCTGGAGTGCCACAGACCAGTGACTAACTCGACTGTTGATGACAAATGTCAATCCATTTTTGCTACAGTAGCAGTGTCAAGATAAAAACTGCCCAGAGCATCAGCTTCTCTGCAACACATGGTCGCTGGTGATGTTAAAAAACTCTCAACTAGGCCGACTAAATAAAGGTAGCATATACAGTTACTTTAGACCGTGCTTGTTTCAGTCTCTCATTTGGAAAATCTTTTGCGCTCAGTATTGTCAAGTATGAGCTACACAAAAGCAAAAAAAGCTGTTAATGAATCTTCCTGTACCGCTACTATCGCGAATCAATGTTAACTTGATCTTTCATCAACACTCAAGCCTTTTTCATCATTAGCATTACACATTCATCACTCAAACCGGCCAATAAAAGAATATTCACACGTCGATTGTAAAATGCAGTTACTGAGACCAGGTACCACTGCTAGCAGAAAGAAAAAAAAACTAAGTACAACCTACCCGAGTTGCTTGACGTAGTCGAGATAACCCAGCAGGATCTCATGGTAGACGGCAGTACGAAACCGCTTGGGCCTAAAGAAATGCACACTGTCCAGGTAAGCTATATACACACGACGGGTGTTGGGCGGATGACACTCTGAGCCATACTCTTGCACGTGCATCCCAAAAAAGCACGTGTCCACACCGTCAATCTCCTCAAAAGCAAACAGTGCCTTTGCACGATAGGGAAACTGCTCAGGCCAGTGCCCCGTATCCACATATCTGCAATGGAAAGCAAAATAATGCTACTGAGAACCTCTGGAACTAGAATGCTCCCGCCAGCTGAAGCACAAGACTTTATTACTTTTATTTAGGATAAGTGAAAAGACAGGACTTCATGCTGGTTTCTGAAAAGCATTGTGGAAAACATACATATGAAGTTTTGCAGGAAAAATTAATTCACATTTAGTGTCCCTATAAAAATACACGTAAAACCAGCAATCTCATCATAAAGCTGAATAACAAAACAATACTTTAGGACGTCGTACAATGGGTACCTGCAACTATGTCGACTTCAAAGAACTGGAAAGCACTCCTCACATACACATCTACACCCTATGAAGGCTGCAGCTACTCCAAATAGATTATGGTCGAAAATGATCTATACGTATTGGTGTTTTTTGTTTGATTGATTTGATTGATTTGTGGGGTTTAACGTCCCAAAACCACTAAATGATTATGAGAGGCGCCGTAGTAAAGGGCTCGGCAATTTCGACCACCTGGGGTTCTTTAACGTGCACCCAAATCTCAGCACACGGGCCTACATTTCCGCCTCCATCGGAAATGCAGCCGCCGCAGCCGGGATTCGATCCCGCGACCTGCGGGTTAGCAGCCCAGTACCTTAGCCACTAGACCACCGCGGCGGGGCGGTGTTTCTTTTTGTTTTGGCGGTGTTGTTTGCCAAATCAACTGTGTATCTTAAAACTGCAAAAAATATCCATAAATGCAATTTGATTCAGGAAATAGAATATATATATATATATATATAGACGTGTCTGGAGTGCCACAGACCAGTGACTAACTCGACTGTTGATGACAAATGTCAATCCAATTTCGCTACAGTAGCAGTGTCCAGAGCATCAGCTTCTCTGCAACAGATGGTCGATGGTGTCGTTAAAAGACTCGCAACTAGGCCGCGCACGTGCACACACGCGCACACACACACACACACATACAGGGGTGCAACAGCCAAAGTAGAATTTGGAGAAATTTTTGGAGTAGCAAAACAGTTACTTTTGTAGAACTAACATCCATATTTGGAGCAGTATGAAAAAGATGTATGTACAAAAAAATACATGTACAAACCATTCCACCATTCAACTCGGCAAATAATGTTAAAGCTCACATTAGCATTTGTCAAAATCTTTTGACAGGCTTTAAGGATCGAAATGTCGATCTGCCAAGCTGGAGACCTTGAGGTATGGGAGATTCGTAAAAGTTAGGAGTAGAAGTGGCAGAAAAAACATTTTGTTTTACTTTTTAGGGCTGCAAAAATATCATACAGTGCTCCAAATGATGGCCTGTAACCTTTTTATATGTTAGCGATTATATCAGTACTCAAAATTGTGTATATACACGCATGAGAAATTGAGCAAACTGTGCTGTGTCCCACGATTAGTGTTAACAGCCCGTCCCAAATCTTAAAACCGTTTTCACAGGCCACCGATGTACTGCAACGAAGGTGGCTTAAGTGGAATTCTGCACGGTTTAGAACAGGGCCAAGAAATTTTCGAACCGCCACACTTTCCATCGCCCCTTTTATTTCGCTAGGGGGTTAGGGCACAGCATCTCAGCTCGCTTACAAGGCGCATTTGACTAGATGAAGCAATGACGTCACGAACCCGTCGGCCCGGATACGGCACCGAATATCTATTGCATGTTCCGTTGCTATGGCAACTATGTGGTGGCCCGCAACACCTTTGTTCGCCGCATGTAGAGTTTCTTTGCATGCAGTAGCAGCAGCATACGCTTCCAGCTTTAGTTTCCATCATGCCACAGCCATGTTTACCAATTAGGAAACACACATTTCCTGCGACATGTTGCTGCCTACGGCAATGCCTTATTGTCTTGAAATTGTGTTGCCCCGCTGATAGACATGGACTGCAGTCAGCAGGACCAATGGGTGCGTGGCATTGTTACTTTATCCCGTCAATCGCATTTCGCGAGTGTCCTAGCCTTATGAGTATATATTGTGCACCGTTGTTTAGGCTTAAGGTGTGCGCGCCCAGATTCATTGATAATTTAAACTACAGGTGGGCAACGTAGCATCTATTTCTCAGTGAAATCAGCGCAACTGAGAACATTTTGAGGCTGGTCAGGCGTTTCGACACAGCGCAGTGCAATTTTGGCAATTTTCATGCTTCTGGCGTAGCTTAGGGCAAAATTGGGAATTGACTTGCCGTAATTAGCGAAGCTATTTCACCACTGTATATAGAGTCCAATTCCACTACAATAAAACTGACGGGACGCATGCAAAAATTTGTTGTGAATTTACATCTATAGACCTCAATATTTGGTAAGATCTGATGATTATGAATCATCCTTAGGTTCAAGCAAGCACATGCATTGAACTCTCGCTAACTCAGACGCACCTAGCCACATACCGAGTGCCCGTCTTTTCACACGTATACTATGATAAAAAATATACAGGAGATTTGGAGCTGAAGTCGGGTGCGCGAGACATACGAAAATTCGGTGCACAAGTTGGCTTCACGGCAATGCAAAAAGGTGGCCTTGCGTAAACATGCGGGTAGCTTTTTTCTTCTTCCAGCACTTTAGGGTCAGGGGTTCCGGTTATGTGCAGGCACGGGTTATACAGAAGCAAACACGACATTCTGACAACCCTTGGAGCATGACGAGTGCCACAAACGAGCGTGCCAAAACTTCACTAGGAGCCAACTTAAAACTGAAATTAAAAGTTCCGAAGCTCCGCACTACCATGGCCATATAAGTGAATGACAGGAAAGCCGCAATGCTTCATGCTGTTTTATGGCTTTATGACCGTTAATTTTTGGCTGTGTTATCTGCCTACCTTCAGTTCGTATTCGCTATTAATGACAACGATGATAGCGACCGCAGTTTCCTGCGGAGCGGTTGCAGCAAACAGTAGTTCTGCTTTCAATCTGTACACGCTGCGCTGGAGTGCGCTCTACTTAAGAATTACATCATTGATATCTTTGTTCCCATCGTTATGGCAAGAAATATTGGATCGAGTCAGAGCGCATTGACTGCGCGCGTACTTGGTGGTCGCCCATGATCGCATTCAACACAACTGCATTTGTGTTGACAGCCGTTGCAGCAGAATGCCGTTGCGCTGGGACTAAATGTGTGCTGCTCCCGTGTGCACTTTCATGACGCCGTGGTTGTCATTCACAATTGCAAGGTTAGTGACGATGAGCGGCACAGTAAAACCTCTTTCATTCGGACTTCACGAGACCGGAGAGAATGTCCGAATTAACCGAGGGTACAAATTATTGCGAGTTACGAACAAAAACACTTGAAAAATGTCTCCTACACCATTAGACTTTTATTTCCTTAAAAAGTCTTTGATCGCGGTTTGCTTCACGGATGCAATTTGCGCCGAAATCCCAATTTTGTGAAGTTTCTGCACGTGGCTTAGTTTGCGTACACTGTCCGAGAAAAGCATGCATATGTCCTCCAAAACGGCACACGCATGCGCAGCCTCCGTCATTGTGTGGCGTGGGACGCTCGTCAGCGTCTAGTCAGCAGATTCCCCTTCACCATCCAAGACTTCAACGAGGATATCGCTGTCGGTCACTGTGCCGGCCACGGCAACAACAAAAAGTGCTAAAAAAGAAAATTCCTTGCATTTTGTTTTCTGCTCCCTCGCTGTCTCATGTTTTCAGCGCCCATGTTTCCTGCTCTGCAACTCCCACTCTGCCTCGCTGGCCGTGCCCTCCAGTGTTGCCCTCGGCCCTCACCTCTGAGCTTGTAACCCTACAGCGTCGGCGCTTGAGCAAAAAGAAGAAAAAAAAAGTCGCCATTTCGTTTTTTTTTCCCCCCTCCACACTGTCTAGCGTCTTCCGAGAAGCAAGGCGTCAGTTGGTATTGTCGTGTGCTTCAGAACATGAGTTCGTAGTACTGAGGCGTTATTATAACACGAAACTAAATCAACACTCGTTATTCTTAGGTTAGGACTGAGGTTAGCTGTCGCTCAAAGCAGTGTCATTTTAACTGCATGAGTGACGTCCGGCTGCCTTTTGCAGACCAGTAAAGGGCAAATTTAGGAGAAGGGGGATGTGGGAATTGAGGCTAGCCCGCCGCCTTTTCTGCCGATCTCATGTCCCGACATGTCTCCCCTCCTCCGCTATCTGCCGTGCTGGGAGAGCGGAGTGGCGTTTAACCCCCTCACACGGTAGCGGATGTTGACTGTGGCGCCATGCGCGGAGTCTCCAGAGAGGTTTTCGCGCGCTGCGTCGGGAGCGGGCAGATACTCTCCGGGACAGCTGACGGTGAGCCACGCAATCTTTTCGGTCCGTCGACTCCCGTCGCTCGGGGCTCGTCGAACTTTGCTGACGGCACCTCGCGCTCGAGGCGAACGCTCACCTTTTGTTGCCCCTTTGTGTACGCTCGGCCGAAGGGTGGTACGGTGTCCTAGTGCTTGACCAAGCTACACCAACCCGTCTCCCTCCGAAGCCAACGGGAGCGCGCGCCTTTGCCCTCGCTCGAGCAACCGGGCCTTGATCCCGGTGTCTCCGTAAATCACCTTTACCACAGAGAGGTGCTCGTGGCACCCTGTGTAGTACTTTTTTACCCGTGGTGTGGATAAGCCCATTTCCTTTCTCGCTGCTTTTGCAATGGGCTGTACTGCGTTTGGTGTTGCCACAGACAATAAAGTGTCGCGACCCTGAGCAGCATAGTGTTCTCGCCACTGCGGCGGTTAACGCGTGCCCTGCGGCTCGCTGAGACCGGACCCACGATAGCAACCGTACTTTTTTGGGATATGTGTCACTACAAGTGAAGTAACAACTGAAACATTTATCCATGCTCTTCTGTACCTGTGAGTACGTTTCATGCATCATTTGGGCGTAAGAAACGCTGGGGCAAGTTTTGATTTGCTTGCCATTCGACAGTGTGACCTTCCAATTTGTCGCTATCGTGTTTATTGTTCCGCCTTTGCGGCAAAGCTGTGACTTTTTAGAATTCCTGCCATCAATGGGTGCACACAGAGGGAGGACAGTTTGTTTAAACACCTGCCCAAAGCCATTTTGTTTTTTTATTTAGGCTTTTCAAGCATTTTTCACCATGTGATCGGTCGAAGAACAATATGCAGAAATGACTGGGGAAGCACTGGCTACACTGTACAAGCGCTCATTTTCACGTGGAATAACCCAGTTTTTTAACAGCAGGGAAAGGGTTGATTTAAAAAAAAAAATGAAAATGTCTGTGCACAGTAGTCAGAACAAGAGCTTACCTCATCTTCATGCCTGGTTTCACTTCCACTAGCTTCTCTGTACAAGATACAACCCTAATTGTGACTTCACCCGCTCCAGATTCCTTCTTCTTCAAGTAGATATTGACTCTATTTTCTATGAAGTTGGCCAGCTTGCATGTTGGCAAACCTGAAAAAGCCATCATCCAAAACTTTGTTACACATATACACACATGTACTACATACATACAATTGTTAAAAATCCCTGTTTGCCTTGAAAACCAAATTCAGACACAACAAGAAGCTAACAATTAAACAGTATATTAAAAGAAAATGCTGACAGGTGTCGATACAATAAAAGTTTGTCGATTCGGCTGTCGTGGGAACAAAAAAATATATGTCAAAATTATCAGTGGTTAAAAAAAATAAACAATACCCAAATGTCTGTTATGTCAGTGCACTTTCATTCTCCTGATGAATACGCAAATTCTATACTTACTAAGCATAAGAGCCGTTTAAAAGCCACAATTTCCCCCACTCGCGACTTCATTCACAATGTGACTCAAGACCTGTCCTGACATGAAACCTGCTTACCCAAAATTAACAAGATATGTCGTTGCCATAGAGTTTGTGCTCACGTCATCATCACGGTTGACCGCTAACGCCGTTTATCACCAAATACACCAAATTTACATGTGTGTCATGCCAAATATCAACATGTGTGTCATGCCATTACAATATATAAGCTAGCCAGAACCAGAGAACACGTCCAAATATCCAATTTAGGCGATGTAAAATTAACGATATTTTACTGCAGTAGATTTTACTGTAGTCTTTTTGAAACTCTCAAGTACTTCTCTGACTAAGAAAAGAAAAAGCTTCTTTTCCAGAATGATGCCCATAAAAAAGAAAAAGCAAGCAAAGCAACACAAATGTTCTGGTAGTCCCAGTTTTAAGTCTGTTTTTTTTTTTTAATAACGAAGTACATAAAAGCTGCTAGCACGAGCATTCATTTTCTGTGCTTATCACGTAATCACTGTTGTCAATAAGTCAGCTTTATTTGATACCTTTTGTTGCTGCTACTGTTGCAGAGAATAACGGTGAATGAAGCACTCACGCTTTGCAGTAAACTTGTTTTCTTTCCTTTTCTTTCCCTTTTGCTTCAGGCAATTATCACAGGTAAACCTATAATGAAAACGTGCAATATTCTTAGAAAAATCAAGTCCAATGGTCTGTCAGCACGTACAGGAGGGATAAATTTGGGGAAACAAGGAGCACACAGGCTTCAACCACTAGCAGCACCTTCTTTTTAAACAGTCCAGCTGATAGTGTGTAGCAGAATCACATTTCTTTTACTCACAGTTAAAAATACAACATTACTCTATAAGCTGATATACAACCTTTTTTTAATAATAAAAGTATGCTGCCCCCTCTTACATAAAAAAAACTTCCCTATCTACTATATAGGAGAAAAATAACAGCCTTGCCATTTTTGCAGAGGCACCCTTTAAAAACCCCAAAGGGGTGTTATATTATGTTACATTATATTAATAAGTCTCAGCTTCACAATAAGGCCTGCATTCAAAATGATGCGATAGAATAAACAGAGGCAAAGAAACACACAGCAGCACAACACTGCCGGTAACACAGCACTGCATGTCTGGTACACATTACGGGATGTCAAGACCAGCAGCCATCCCGAGGCAAAAATTTCAATAATTCATGAGCAGTTTCAGCCTAAAACGGCAAATTCTCCTTTTGATCAAATAACCGATATTTTATAATTAAGTATTGACCCAAAATTTTAAAGGCGAGGTAATTTGTGGGACAGATTTATGTGGACACACATGCATAGTCAACTAAACATCAAAAGCTAAAACAGCCTTGAACATAATTAGGATGCCGCCACCGCTTGTGAAACATGCCTTTGGTTTTCGTATGAACAGTTACCCGCCACCAGTGCCACCAGTTTGTGCTGACTTCCATGGAAGGGCTCTCTTGTAGCAGACTTTTTAAATGGAAAGAGGAAGACACAATTACACTGGAATACAAAGGCTGAGGATACAGTACATTTTTTTGAGGTCATGCATATTTACAACACCTCAAAAGGTATTGTAGCAGCACGCAGCAAGCCTTTGTTCAAAGAAGTTGTCAGCACAGCATTCTCTAAATAATTAGATGTCATGTGCTCAAGCAAACAAGCTTTCCAGCCGCGATAAGCGGGTTGTTAGCTGGTTATTGCAACAGAAAAAACAGGATGAAAAATTTTTGTGTCAGCACTCCATAAGTCTAATTTCTTTTCACGTTCCCTTCATCACTTTCATCACATTACAGCCAAATGTCAATCTAACCACTTCGACCTCTAATACCGTATTTACCGAATTCCAACTTTTTGGGGAAAAATAAACCTTGAAGTAGCATGCGCATTAGATTTAGTTGCAGACATTTAAACTTCCCCATAGCTGTACCTTTGTTTTTCGGTCTTGTAAGTCAGGTGTGCGTTGGAATCAAAGGCGCGGTGGAATTGGGTAAATATGGCAGTTTTTTTTACCAAAGGAGCCATGCAAAAACACTTCAATTAAATGTGCAAGTAATAAGTAGATGCACAGCAAACTTCCTTAGAAAGCGCAGTCTTGTGCGTTCATTCCATGCCAATCTGGTTGATACCTCAGTTATAAAACTCTTGACAAACAGCTGCCCCACGAAAAAGACCAATGCTCCGCAGAATGCAACTTACCCTTCAGGCCAGATGGAGTCGAAGTGCAGCACGCACACCTGGTGCAACTTGCGACCACAGTCGAGGCATTCCACAAACCTATACACGTGGGAAAAAATCGATCTTATAATTGACATTTACAAAAGGCAAGAATTTGTGTTTCTTCCCAATGCATAGTACTTGCAAAACAGCAAGGATGCAGTTGAAGGAAAGAAACAGGGCTAGCACACGAATCCCTGTTCATTTCTGCTTGTACGTCAACTGCCATTTGGCGTGGTTTATACGAGAAGTAATCTCACAGGATTGCTCATACCCCTATTGAAATTTTGTACTTTTCCATGTGGGTTTTCCCTATCTCATTGCATGCCGATATCTGCAGAAGTACGTTTAAAAAAAATGTATATTTCTCGTTAACTGTCGGACTCTTCCGTCAAACTTGAACAAACCAAGACTGAATTGGCACACCAAAATGTATACATTTTGCTAGCAACATCCTTGACAGCCTTTCAAGAAGCATAGATCTACTCACGGCTCAAGCTCCAAGTGGTCATTCTTCATTTCAACAAACTGGTCCTTACGAATGGTTCTGCACAAAGAAGAAAAAATAAGGCCTCGTTAAGGCCTCAGCATAAAACTTTTATACACTAACAAAGCAGCATCCCACAGATGGACAGTCGCACAACAGGAAATAGAGTGTAGGAAAAAAAAAGGCTTGAAAGTCTGTCATTAGACCAACAGACCTGATGAATTATTATTGACAGCAATCCACACAAAACTATTTTCAACTTTGGCGAGTGCATCTATGCTATCAGAATTGTTAATTATGTTGTTCACAATCATAAATGTCTAAATCACTGAAAGAAAGAAAAAAAAAAAGGGCAGTCAATGAAATCGCTTACGTCTGAGGCTGCGTAGGATCATCTCCAAGGGTAACAGAATCACCGGGAATTTCTGCAAAGCACTTTTGGCAGTAGGTGTACCTGCAAATGGTTTCAATTAAAACTAAGCTTATTAACACTGTCTCAAAGATGCTTTCAGAAGCTGCTAGGCTAAGTATCAGCATAGGAACCTACCGGTTCTGGTAGCTCCAATACTTCGCATCTCGAGGGATGGTACAGAGCTGCTTGCCAAAGCAACAAAGTACCTGAGGCTGGTAAACGTACTTGCGACCACAGCAGTACCCCAAGGACTGCATTACGGGATCAATTTCCTGCTCAAACTCCTCTGAAAGCTGAAAAAAATTTTAACCTTCATTAGTTATGTGACCATGAAGTAAGATTCGGACAAAAGCAAGTCACACAGAAACTGCTCCATCAAGTAGTGACATACCAGTCCTGATGCTCATACCGTATTTACTCGCATAATCCTCGCACTTTTTTTGCCGGAAGACCGATGAAAAGTTGGAGGGTGCGAGAATCACGCGAGGAAAACTTTCTACGAAAACGTACAGAGCGAAAAAGAAAATGAAATGGCCGCAAATCGGGATTCTCACACCAGCAACTAACAGCAAGCTTTAAGAAGTACCTTAACAATAAAAGCAGAGGTTCAACACAAGACAAGATTTAGTTGAGACACAAAAAGTGGAAACAAATAGTCGATAATTAGAATACCATATGCAAAGCTTGCGGGCGTAGCGGTAGCGTTCATCGCTGAACAGGAGCCCTCAAAAGGTAAGCGTGGGACGTCAGTATTGGGCTGATGGCTATTCAACAGAATTGTCCGCAGTTTCCTTCTTAAGAATTAAAGTTTGCCATCAATCGCAGTTTTAGGCACAGAGCAGGCCTAACGTGTCTTGGTGGCTTTCAGCAGCCATCCCCAGTAGCGAACACAAAACTCGTAGACTCTGAAGGGCCTACCGGCGGACCTATTGCCGTTCTTTAGTGCATTATCTATCACTTGCAACTTGAAAGCAGCCGTACAGCTTCAGTATCGCCTCATTACTTGACAAGGTTACCGACGCAACATACAAAACACGCCGCAACGCGCACTGGCCACTTCGGCTTGGCTTGAGTTGGATTGAATCTCTGTGCAATAGAACGCTTGATGCTTAACAAATGGCACCAAATGACGTGCGCTATCATCATCAGTGGCTGGAAAGAGCAGACGACATTATTGCAGCAGTTTTCGGGGGTGCAATAATTACTCGAGGAAAGAAAGCAATTCGTATTTTTGTTGGGCGATGTGGGGGGTGCGAGAATTGTGCGAGTGCGAGGATTACACGAGTAAATACGGTAACATCCTACGAAAAATGAGGATGAATGCATGAGAGGCTCACAGGGCTGTGTAACAGGCAAAATAGCAGCTTCTGAATAAAATGCTAAATCAAGTGCACCAATACCTCGTGAAAGAGGGGAAGTAAACCAGAGACTCAAAATGACGAGAAAAAAAAAAACACCAACTTTTTTTAAATGTTACTGTTGGATAGCACCTCTACTGATGCACAATTTCGCAATTTTCATGCATCAAGTTTTCAGTCATGACAGCATTCTATGCAACATCAGTGAGCTAAACCTTTCACAAAGAATGTGTTAAAAATGGGCTTTTCTGGTAGGGTTGACAAACATCATATAACGGACCCACGTATAATAAGCTTTCGGATAAAACGAACCATTATTCAGGTCAAGTTTAGTCTGTGTATCTAATTAATGGAGTGAAGTTCAGCTTTTAACAGACAGCGATACAATGGACAATCGAATACAGTGGACAAATTAAGGCCATTCTTCTACCAAATTGGGTGCATAAAACGTACTTTTACAGTGTTGGCACAAGCTCACAATAGACTTGAGCCCGCCACTCTCTGCATGCTAAAGCCACCATAGATTAAAATTTTGGCTGCCAACATTGGTCACTTCCAGCCGAGCCAAGCATCCAGCCAATTCAGTCTGAGAGGGCGTTGGTCCCACCTACAGTGAACTAGAATATAGTGAATTCTAGTGGCACGACCGGCAGCCAGCAGCTGCTGTCTCGGCGGCCCAAAACGACACGGACAACCGCTAGGATTTCTTGCGCTGCCACTGCGCCTTTTCATGTCATGAGCGCCGAAGCGAGCGCCAGCAGCATGTTCCCTTTGTAGCCCAGGAGTCGCTCAGTGAGTTTGCAAGAGTATATGGGAGAGTTTGGCACGTTGAGCTAACGCCACTTAAACTTCGTCAAGGCTTGGAAACTCTACTGCGTCAACAGGGCGATGACGCTGGTTGCGTTGTACACTGTGGTGGCGCACAAAGCAACCGACAAAGGGGCGCGGCAAGTTCGCAGCAACGTTTCCCTGCAGAAGTACTGCGCTTCAATGCTAGACTTCGATGTATTTTCGCGAGCTAGCAAACATCCCATGCTGAGTTTGCTGTTGTTAGCAGCACGAGAAAAAAGAATGTTGCAACGTTCTCTGGGCTATTCGGAGTTGTGATGTGTGATGCTTGATTGATTGATATGTGGGGTTTAACAACCCAAAACCACCATATGATTATGAGAGACGCCATAGTGGAGGCCTCCGGAAATTTCGACTACCTGGGGTTCTTTAAGGTGCACCCAAGCCTGAGCACACGAGCCTACAGCATTTTCGCCTCCATCAAAAATGCAGCCGCCGTAGCCGGGATTCGATTCCGCGAACAGCGGGTCAGATGCTGAGTGCCTTAGCCCCTAGACCACCGCGGCGGGGCAATGTGTGATGCTTGTGTTCATCGGGGAGTGACCAGAATGCAAGCAACTGCGATACCAAGGAAGTATTGTGCCCACATTTCTGTGAAAACCCAGAATCTGGACCGCGAGCATACGCATTTCGATTTGCGACTGACCAAGGCGCACGGACGACATGAAAACGGGCTATCCTAAGAGATAGTGCCAGCCCAAGAAAACGTGAAAAAGTAAATATGCTGTTTTTCTTTCATTCCATGTATTGTGTTACATCTGGTACCGTGTTATTCCGTGTAACATTTACCCATGCGCGCTTCTCGAAGTACGTTCAGGCCAATACCAGAAACGGGAAGCATAATGCTGTCCCTTTATGTTGGAAAAAATTTTTAATCACGAGAGATATAGACGAGAAGACTAGCGACGGGGAGATCCTGGCGTACAAAAGATGCTCTTTTTTATTCCCCTAGTCTGTGCGCGCGTTTCTCAACCAGTGTTCTTGCGCGACGCGTACCGCATTCTAGTGGGATGATGAGCGTATTTTGTAGGGATGATGAGCGTATTTTGTATTGCTTTGCTCACGGGACACTGGTTAAACAACTTACTTTCGTGCAGTAGCGATAGACACGAGATGTCTTGCGGTTGTAGAGCCAGGCATTGTCAAACATGAGCCAGACATCGTCCACGTATTGCCAGGGGTCCTGGTACTGGCCGGTATCCAGTTTTCGTTTGATGGTGGACAGATCCATTGGGTTTTTGACTATGTCAAAGTAGTCCTGGAAAGATAAAATGAGCAATGTCATAAGAGTTTAATATGTCTCAGAAATGAATTACACAAATAAAAAAACTTCGATCAACGCGTCATGTAGTAAAGCTGGCAGTCATAAATTTCAGCCAAATGTGGCAATATACCAACCAGCAAAAAAATTACTGAAATATGGGGTAATGAAAATAGTAACAAGCAGCTTTGCATTGTTTGGCTTTTAACAACAAGAATCATGTTCCACTCAAAACAATATAGCCAGAAAATTGATGGTGGTTAATGTGCCTTGAGGCAACACTTCTTGTGGTAAATCCTCTAAGTGAAAAGAGAAAAGCAATCGTCACACATTAAGACTGTCAACTCACAGGAATTTGAAGTAGTTGAGGGTCCACAGGTTGCCGAAAAGGCAGAGAGTGCGGGTCTTGTCTGTACAGTTTTTCTAATGTTGGCATCAGGGCTTGCCTCAACTCATCTGGCTTGAATACTGAAATGCAAAAAAAAAAAAAAAAAAAAGAAATTAGCACAGGTCCCGGTTCATAGAGAAAATAATTGAATATGAACATATGATGAATTGCTTTAGTTTACGTGCCACAATTACTGCGCCCACAGCCAAAAAAACAACTGAACTGAAAATGATAGAGCAGAAGTTATCAGACCCATGGTGTTTGCTCAGAAACTACTGCACCAGCACAGCAACTCAGGCTCCTTTGTAGTAGCCTCATTCAACATAGTGCTATCATTCCATCTTGTTTCAGGTTCCAAGGCATTTTAACCCTTGTGTCTACATTTAATTTTAATTCATAACAATTTAATACATGAAATTATACCAAATGACCTGACTATTACTATTCCTACAGGCATGTGCTCGAAGGCATGTGCTCGAAGGCATGGCTCGAAGCCCGTCACAACATTCATGCATGCAACATCGTTAATGAATTGGTGTACCTTTTTTATTAGATCTAGGCTTTGGCGGTGAGCTAGCAGACATGGACGAAGATGAGGAAGACTCTGCTGCTGTGCTGACAGGCTCCGTTTTGGCAATTACAGGCTTGATGTCGGGCTTGGCAGCAGGAGTGGGTGCGTCTCCTCCACCCATGCTGCTGGCTGGGGTGGACACATGCTCCTCTTTCACTGAGAGAGGCTCTTCCTTGACTGGGCCGAACGATGGCAGCCCATTCTCACCGGGACCTTCCAGCCTATTTTCACCTTTGCCTATAGAGCGCAGGTCTGGTTTGCAATCCACCTCCATCTTGCTTCCATCTTTCATTGACTTGGGTCCCCTGCAAGGAAAGAGCAGGATGTCCACGTCTATCTCAAACCCACTGGCTACTTGTGTCTCTCTCACACTCCACTGCACCTTTGTGTGAACGTGCTTTATCTCACTTCTCTATGCTCCAGCCACACACAGATTTTGTAATAATGATCTTGGCTTGAAGCAGCAAGGTATTTTTGCCATGCACTTCAGCTAGAAGAACAATGTATTCCAAATTTGTGACTCTGAGCAGTGACTGACCGACACAGAAGACGTTGATTTAATCAAATTTTAACATTCATGATTTAATCAAATTTTAACCAGTTTTAACAATACAATACTCTCTTTAAATTTAACCTGATGGGACCATGAAAAAATGTTTCTATTTAACAGGAGTTAAGTTTACTGGGAGATGAACAGCGGTGCAGAATTCAAATATAATAAAAATCATGCTATAGGAAGTTGTTCCATCTAACCAGCAATTTGTTCAAGAGATTTCCATTTAAAGAGAGTTCCCACAAATACTGGAAAAAAACTATTAAAATACTGGCATTCAATTCAACAATATTATTAAAATATTATTAAAAAAAAATAAATCTCTATAGCAAGTGAAAAATAAACTCTTAATTAAGCACATGTTTCCCCTTTCCTCCTATCGGGGAAAGAGAGAGATATGTTTATTAGTGGGAGAAAAGCTGAGAGGTCAACGCGAATCAGTTTTCTGACCTGTTACTCAGCATTAGGTAAAGAAATAGTGTGGTAAAGAAAGTACAGAGACGGAGTTGATGATGGGGGCAATGGCTAAACAAGAGACTACTGTACTCTATGCAAAAGGTTAAAATTCAATGTAATAATGTTTCAACGTAACCAAATAAGTCACAGATTTTACAGACTTTTATCACTGCACCATGAAGCTTTAGTGCTCACCGAATGATAAAATAAACCACTTTCTACTACATTCCCATGACACCATTTAGGTTTACTTAAATCACGATCCTGGGCTTCTCCACATGAAGTGAGGTATGCTGAAGAAGGGTGGCGGTTGGGAGCAACGTTACTAGAACCAGATCAGTTTCACAGCTCTGCGCACGCACCGGCACCAGCAGCTGACGCGTGAACTAATGGCGCTGCTGTTCCATTTTGCTGCACATGCTGCGCTGCGTGGTGCGCAGTGTTGCCGCTCAGACACGACATCCCCTTTTCGGCACTGGACTAGCTTCTTCGCGCCATTATTTAGTGTTATGAAAGAGTTCTAACTTGTAACGAGGGACGCTGATAAACAGTGTTTTCTTGTTTTGCACCAGGCTGCGAAAGCGTCTACAGAAATGACACCGATCACCTTTTTTTAGTAAGCTTTATTATGTGCACAAAAAACCCTATATTTTGATATCAAAGTTGTAGTAACTCCGGAACTACTATAGCTATCAAAAAAATAATTGCAGTTATGAATCAAAGTTGTAGTAACTCCGGAACTACTACTAGCTATCAAAAAAATAATTGCAGTTATGAAATCAGCACTGCAAGCTTTACGAACACCTAAAATTTCAAGGAGCTGGGTTATGAAATAAAAAAAAAACTTTTTCGAGTAGCATCTCCCCTTAAAGACAATAATGTACAGGTAATTTAAGTCATGACAAAAGTGTTTATTTTTCTTTATGCTACGACATATATGTACTATTCAATTTAGACTTGAAATCACAATTCGCTTCGAACCTTAAATTCACCATTAACACAGGCCTGCTGCTTACAGTTAATAATAAATGCATGCACTCTCATAGTATGATGATGTTATAATTAGGTACATGCACCATCTCCTAATAAAGACTTCCTAAATTAATCTTTCATTTATGTTCTCCCTGGTCATCCATTTTATGCATGCAAACACTAATGAAAAAACTGCAGGAGCCTTTATATCATGGAATTTTTTTGTGTGAAATGGAGCAGTCTATCAAAGCAACAAGTGCAACGCGACGATTTGCTCACCCTGAACTGCTGTCAAAGTTTTCGATGGACTTCTTGCCCTGTGCTGGTGTGGTAGCAGCCGAACCTTCAGGTGTAGACAGGGTGAGCGAGAGGTCAGGGTCAGGGCCCCTAGAAGACTCTTCTGGGTCCTCGGTGGCAAGGATCTGGTCCGGCAGTTGCTGGGATGGTGGTGGCAGTGGTGCTGGTACCGGAGCCCCCAATGGTGTCGGTGGTTGCGAGCCGCCTAAGCTCGAGGGCACAGACGAAGCTCGCGGAGGGTGCTGGCTGGGTGGGCCCTGCGGCTGTGGTGTCGAAGCCTGGCCCAGAATGGACGACTGCTGCATAAGCCCCGCCGTGCTGCCAGGTGGTGTCTGCTGGGGAGCCAGCTGCTGCTGCTGTGGTTGTTGCTGCGGCTGCTGGGGCTGTTGCAGATGCCCCTGAGACTGGCTCACTGGTGTTGAGTTGAGCTGCGACTGTAGCATCTGAGATATCTGCAAGGACGCAACAGGCATGAAACATTAGCACAGCCAGATAAACCACAAAGAAAAGGACAAGTGCAAAAACCCATTCTTTGGTTTTCGAAGAAAATCTTCCATGTGTAGGTTCTACAGTGCCTGATTATACAGTAGCTTTGAGTGGTTTTCTTAAGTCATATAATCAGGGTTCCTTTGTACTCAACGAATAATTAAACATTTACATGCACTGACAAGTGACATTTTTGGACCAGTAACGGGCTCCGTGATCAAGACTAATGCTGGCATTAGCAGCAAGGTCTCTTCATATGTATATGTGGCACAGTGAATGGACGTGACTAGCAGTTTCATACAAAAAAGATCTATTCTACAAAACACAATTCAAAGTATGTCACCTGTGCAGATGCTGCAGAGCCTGCTGCACCACCTAGTTGCACTTGACTTGTTTGATTCATGAGTTGCTGTGCTTGCTGCTGAATCTGTAATAACATGACAAAATATCGGCTTCAGGTAGGGAACTACTCTGAAGTTGCAAACTGGCATTTTTCATTCCCAACACTTGCATAGAGCTGGTAACAACATAACACATTACCTCTTTCCCTCTTTTAGACATCCCTAAGCTCACAATTGTTTCTAGCCCTGTGAGGCCAGCTGACATGCAGTGCTATCAAATTTCACTCTGCTATTGCAATAGCAGAATTCTTACTACTGTCTTTACAGCACTGTCAGAATGCATATATGAAGTCCATTCATACTGTAATGCAGAAAAAAAAAAATACCATTCATATATCTACAACACTTAGAAAGAAAACACATTTTGCATTTTCTTTAATGGCATTGTACACTGGCTGGTTCTCTACATGTTAATGTCGTCACTTGAACCTTGGCAGCAAACAGGCCCGAGGGCTTAGGAATATGATAGATTTATACCATACGCGAATTGTGTAAGCTTCAATTCATTGGAGATCTATTGCAACTTGTCCCAAAAAAATTTTTTTCTTTCTAGTCAGTGGCAAAAGACTGAAGAGAATTGCAAAATAATGCTGCTAAATGTTAATGCTTTTGCAGCATATGTTGAATCACTTTTAATCCTGCTTACCAGCCGGAATTAAAAAGAAGATGAATTTGTTCATGTTGACATTTCTCAATAATTGTTTTGCAGAGCAAAAATATCCACATCAATATCACGGCTCAACGTAGTCCATTTAGCTATTTAGCTATCTGCAGGGAGACGCCTCGGTCAGAAATTTTCCATTCTGTAAACCAAGCACCACAACCCACAGCTATAGCATGCATGTCCTATCGCACCAGTCATCCACTTCCAGGCTGTCTGCCCGCTATTGCACACCACTACATTCACTGCTTCAGGCTGGAATGGCCGACCGTACAACATTGTCCCCATCACTTCATGATCTTTTGAAGAATGCATACCGTATTTATTCGAATCCAGGCCAATAGTCTTTATTAAAAAAACACACCATTTTTCATCTAAAAAGTGGTGCACAACTAGCGCAACCTAGACAGTATTATAGCCGTTAGTAGCCAAGCCAACACCTGGTACACACGTAAGGCCATCATATTGATCTTTGTGGCAAGTGGTGAGGCGAGTCGTTTGTAATTTTGAGTCGCGCTTCGAGTGGTCTGTGTGAGACACAGCTCAATTGCACCTACAAGGCCATGTCATTATAGTGCCGCCTATAAAATGAATCTAGTCCTAGACGCGGAGTCACCGTCTATCATTCAAGCCGGGCGGGACTTTGGAGTGGACGAAAAAAAAAATGTGCGTCGCTAGAGGGGCTGCAGCGTGGTACGACGACAACACGGGAACTCTGACTGTGCGCTCTTTAAGGAGAGACACGGGTCTTAAAGGGCCCCTCACCAGGTTTGACAATTTTGAGCTGACAAGCGCAATGCGTAGACGAGGCGTTCATGATCACATCTGTCAAAATTTGCAACGCTACGCGCCGTGGAAATGGGTCAAGTTTCCAGATGAAAGCTGCTCGCCCTCCAATCTACCGGCGCACGCGTAGAGAATGAGGGCATGACATGGGCATACTGCGTACATGACGTGGGCGTACACAGCACTGCGGTCACGCTGGTCCTCTACATAGACGAATCTGCTCTGACGTTGTCAACAGTATACTACGTGACATGGCAAAAATTATTTAACACAACATGCGTAATTTATGTATTTGTTGCTTTAAGAGATGAATAAAACTTGAAATAAATAATGAGACGCAATAAAAAATTGTGCACGTTTTTCTTACATTTTTTCCCGTGAAATGCTACGAGATGCGGGGCTAATGTGCCAGCGTTTCACATGCGTTCGGGTTCCCGCGGTCAGCGAATCCAGCTGACGACCGCCATGAAACGCTCCTACGTGTTCGCGCACTCATTGTGCTCATCTACTCTACTGCGTCTAAGCCAGCGTTTCCAAACAATTCCGCAGAAACAGGCAGAAGACCACAAAATTACGCTGGTCAACAAAGCAACGCCGCTCGCGTGCACGGGGGCTGGGCTTGTTCGGGCACGTCATGCAAACGTCACCTCTTGGTTGGATGTCGGAGAGGGTGGGAAAGAGGTTTGGCTAGCGAAGGCTACGCGGAGGAGCGGCAAGGGTGTCGAGCTCGTCTCCTCTCACCCTCGTTTCGCGGCGCTTCAAAAAACCTGTTTTCTCCGCTCGTAATGAACTGATTCGAAAAATTTTTGTGGCAAAACATTCCTCTTCGAACACTTAACAACTTCCACTGTCTAACTAAAATTCGGTATAGGTCCTGGTGAGTGGCCCTTTGAAAGGCCGAAAATCGCGAAAAAAAACTTTTTGAAGTTGACATTTTCAGAATCTGCAACTATTTTTGCACTTATCTGAGAAGTTTGAAGCTTCTCGCGTCGTTATTTCTGGCACAAAATCAATTTATAACACCCCTGTGAGATGAATCTGAGCACATATAGACGCTTAAGTCGCGCTTTTTCCACCCTGAACCGTTGCCGTTACACACGAGCTATCGTGGTCACCTTTCGTCTCGTTTGGAAGGGTCGTTCTTCACTTTCAATTTTCCCCCACCAGTAACTCGCCTTTCTCATTGGTTTTTCAGCAAAAACGCGTCATCGAGAAGCACCACCGCGCGATCCTAATGGCTGCTTGGGGCACGTGACAAAACCTAGGCACCCCATTGGCTAAGTGGCGTTTCCGGCGTCTGCTTCTTCATCGTGACACGCATGGACATGAGCCATTTTGTCATGGTGCTGTCGACTGCCTGCCGCAGTAAAGAAGTTCCTCGCCTCACTAATTTGTGAAGCGGGTGTGGTGATCGTTCATTCGCTTTGAACTTCAGGAAGAGCGCCGCTATCACTCAGGACAGGGAGGATAGCAAACTCGCGGCGTTCAACAGCGGTCGCCGAGTCACTGGTCTAGGCCTAACTCCCGTACGAGCCTGTCGGTTGTCGACAACATCGCTGAAAGCGGCAATGTTTTGAAGATTCAGCAGTGACAGGACGGCAAGTAAAAAAGCAGAAGTGAAGCTACGAGAGATAGCAATCTTTGCTATCTCTCGTAGTTTCACTTCTCTTCTCGTTCACGTCAGAAGGGGGAACCTGCGCCGATGCCGCCGGTTTCCCCCGTCTGACGTGAACTGCGTGACGGGTCATCAGAGTGGAGTTCACCGTGCGTCGGCGAACAACAGAAAATCAATCCGTTCACGGTGAACGTGCTCGCCGCCCGTGCAACGAAGGCTATTGGCAACAGGTAGAGTGCTTGTAATTACGCGTCCGCACCGATGAACATATTGCGCCGCGGCCTCCACTCGAACATGTGGAAATCTTACCTGAAAAGAGAACTAACACCTCGCTGCTCTTGCAGCCTTGAAATCGATGAGCGAGTGCACGAATTCGGTCTGCGACATAAACAACTCAATCTGGACAAGCCGGCAAACTGCTTTACTATACTATTAATTGCGGATTACGCGCGCACATTCGTTGCACATAGGCGTCACCGAACTGATAAGCGCCTAGTCTGCAGACGAGCACACGGCGACCACATCAACTCGCAAGTGTGCCTCTGCAGAAAACATGCAGCGGGCATTGAAAAATCGCCATTTAGGTGACCCAAAGCAGAAGGACTACATGCCTGGTGCCTACTGAGAAAGCTGAATTAGCAAATCAAATTGTAAATAAACAGCTTTTCCATGCTACTGTCTGCACAAAATGGACTTCTTGTGTTTTGCATGATTTCTCAGGATTCAAATTTCGCTGCAGTTGCAATCTTGTCTAAAAGATATCTCTACCTTCAAAGCAGCAAGGACTGTCATTTTTGTTGTGACATGTAGCTGTACTTTAGTTTACACAATGGTAGGTGCGAATTTTTGATTGAGACCTTCAAAAATTAAATTTTTGCCAGAAATGGGAGCATAAATTGGGTGTGTCTGCACCACTAAAATGCAAGGTGCAACAAACCTTGCTAAAATTATCAAATAAAAAAAAAGCACTCCTACCGTTGTGTAGCTTATGTTCATTAGTACACAGGCATGTGGCAATAGTAGCTCTGCAATACAAATTTCTTGTGTCATTATACGGGCGAACAATAGGTAATTAATTTTAGGATATCTCAAAAACTAATTGGTTTAGATGAACAGTAATACATTTTCGAAATCAGCATCAAAAACTCAATCACACTGTGAATTTTCTTTATAAACACAAGAAAATATCTGGCATTTCGTCTCAAATACAGTGTCCCCCCTTAAGAAGTGCGGCATAACCAATGCGCTTGATGGCACCCAGAATTTCGCAATCTTTGAAGACAGCGACAAAGAAGCCCGCGATGATGACTCGGAATGAGGGCAGCATCCGCAAGCACGGTTCCTTTCTGATGGAAATAAAACCAACGACAAAGAAAAACACCCAACAGGACTAGCAACTGTTTGTTTCTAGACTTATTTGCATCATGAACCAACTGCTTTAGTGTTTTCTTTTTGTAAACGCTGTCTTCACTCTTTTGTTTGGCTTACAGTCAAGGTAAGTCTCCCCCCCCCCCCCCCAAGCTTCAGACTTTTGGGGGTGAGCTTCAAATCAGCCTAGGCCTAGATTCGGGTATATACACTCAAACCTCGCTATAACGAAGTTGAAGGGGAGCCACAATTATTTCGTTATATCGATTATAACAGTTTGTGGCAATGTGTACTCAGATGTGCGCCCATCTGTGAGCATGAAAAGAAGGAAACCGCCTTGCGGCCCGATGTACAGCGACGCGGCCACGCGTCCCACGGAAAATAAACTCAGTCGAATCTCATTAATTGGAACTTTCGGGTAATTCGAACTCACGCTGAGGTAGCGTCAAAGCTATGTGTATTCCAATGGGCGAAAACGCCCTGTAATTTGAACGCGCAAGCACTTGCGACGGTTAATTCAAACATACCGCGCTCTGAAAATGCTCTCAGCACCATGCCCAATCCCGCGGCGGCACCTCTCAACACTGCGCGCGAAGAAGGAAAAGAAAAGAAAAGACTGTGGCGGATTGTTTGCTCTCTCTCAAATGCCGATTTGCGACGCGCCTTTTCCACGCTTCTCCCTTTTCTGTCTCTGCATGTAGAAACCCTTCTCCTTTCAAGACCGGGCACGAAGAGAGGGGAAAAAAAAAGCTGTCGCGGAGAGTCCTTTTTTGGTGCAGAGGGTGGCAGCCATGGTAGCAGCGGAGACGCAGTTGTTGACATCGTAAGAGGGAAATCGCTTTGCCCCGCGGCACCGCTTCTCGGTCATGTGACCCGCTGAGCACTTTCTCAATCCTCTCCGCTGGCTGTGTGAGGAGGACGGCTCTCTCGGCCGCGCGGAGCAGGGCTGTAAGGTCGGAGCGGGAGTTTTGAAAGAGCCGCGTCGAACAAGCGTCAAACTCCGCAGAAAACGATATACTTAACACACTACGGTCGTCTTTTTTTTAATAGACTATTTGATAGACTAATTTAGTTTGTTATAACCATTTACTGATCAATTTTACTTCGTTACAGTGATGTTTAAAATGCATGGTTCTCAATGGAGTTTTCAAGGGGACTTCATTTACTTCGTTATATCCATTGTTATGTTATATCCTGTTACGTTACAACAAGGTTTGAGTGTACGTAATTGATTATGTTTATATTGATTGAATATTATTTTTCCATATTTTGTAATTCCACTTTTCATGTAAAATATCCAGAATGGGGACCTTCAAAAGCTGAACTGAAATTCAAATTACTTTAAAGCAATCACAGTATGGTCAAAGAATGCTCCAGCACCAGTGGTACAGTTGCAATAGAAAAAAGTCGGCACAAATGATAAGACACATACAAGAAAACAGCCACAAGACTAGAACCACATTAGGCCATAAAGAGCGACAGCCACAATACTTGTATTAAAGTGGACATAGCCAGCAGAATATAGTCCATCTTCGGCACAGGGCACGAATTCAGAATGCTAGTCCTCAATTACTTCTTTTCCATTGCAGCCCTACTGTTGCAACAAACTCTGTGCTGCCACAGCGCTTTATTTTCAAAGTGCTACTTACCAAGTGTCGTTTCATGGCTTCAAACTGTTGTGACGGTGGGAACTGGCTGTTGAGTGCACCCATGCTTCCATCCAGGGATCCGGCCATCGCATTGCCCCCTCCAGCAACACCCCCAAAGTTTGGTGGTGCTGCTGCCTGCGGCTGCTGGGGCTGTTGTTGCTGCTGTGGTGGCTGCTGCTGCTGCTGCTGTTGCTGTTGTTGCTGCTGCTGCTGCTGCAGTGGTCCTCCAAAGCCAGTCGGCGCCCCTGGGGGAGCCCCTAAGGAGTTTGGGGGGAAAGGCCCTGGTACAGTAATGTTGGGGGGTGCCATTCGCTGAGGTACACCCAATGCTCCAGTGGCACCAGTCAGATGAGAAGGTGCTCCAGGCTGCATCTGGGAGTTGACACCTCCACCTAACCCTGCAATGCATATTCAAGGGGGCAGACTCATCTTAGAGATTTTTTTTTTTTGTTTACTTCTTCAGTGATCTTGATCACACTACACATGCTAATGCTGTTTTATTGCTGATTCAAATATGTAATTACTTTTCCTGTAACTCATCTTGTTCCTGAGATAAATTACGTTCCCCTCCTATTGTTTAAGGCCACCATATAAAACCAATTAAAATGATATTTAGGATATGGCAACATTTACTTCAAAGTATGCAAGTATGCAAGATTCAAAGTATGCAAGAGTTTTTTTTTTTTTTGCCTTTCTTGGATATTTTACATCAAAATGGACTTTCCATTTTCAAAAGCAGTTGTAATTGTACCACAGTTTTGATAAATAATTAATTAAAAAGGCTTGTGCTCTAAATTCTGCTCCCATACTTGCATTCTATACATGTACAGTCGAACCCCTTTATAAGAAACACTGATATAACATACAAATGGGTATAAGAGACACCAGTATGCATACAATAAAACAAGAGAGATAGGAAAGTGCATAAAAAGTCCCCTGCTCATAAGAGCCATCTCAAATAACAGACAAGAATTGATGCCTGGAGCATGCATGCCTCTTACAAAGGGGTTTAACTGTACTGGTTTCTATTGCAAAAAGAATTAATGTTATACCTGCCCTAGCTGCAAAGTATGCAAGAGTTTTTTTTTTTTTTTTGCCTTTCTTGGATATTTTACATCAAAATGGACTTTCCATTTTCAAAAGCAGTTGTAATTGTACCACAGTTTTGATAAATAATTAATTAAAAAGGCTTGTGCTCTAAATTCTGCTCCCATACTTGCATTCTATACATGTACAGTCGAACCCCTTTATAAGAAACACTGATATAACATACAAATGGGTATAAGAGACACCAGTATGCATACAATAAAACAAGAGAGATAGGAAAGTGCATAAAAAGTCCCCTGCTCATAAGAGCCATCTCAAATAACAGACAAGAATTGATGCCTGGAGCATGCATGCCTCTTACAAAGGGGTTTAACTGTACTGGTTTCTATTGCAAAAAGAATTAATGTTATACCTGCCCTAGCTGCAGAGATGTTGATACCTCAAAATGGAACAGTCGTAAATCTACTTTCTTGAGAAAAATGGAAAAAACTGATAGCACCCAGTTTCTTCAAAAAACACCATGGTGCACGTACTTTGCAATGCTCACAAAGGCACTGATAAATTGGTAGTAGAGCTTTAGACACAGTTGCTGGCAAATTATAAGGAAGTCTCAAAGTAGGGTCTCCATTCTTGCAGGTTCTGCATTGTGCTAGCACCAAGACTCTGGGCAGTCAGAAAGAAATTACAAAAAAAAATTACCACTTCCTTGTAGGTGAAAATTTGCAGAGAGAGGAAAAATACTTGCAGGAACCTTTGAATTTCGTTTGAATTATCAGAAGTTCTCAGTCATATGACTGTGGGTGAGGTCATATGACCACACATTATGATTAGGCACTGATCTTTATCAGATTAAAGACATTTTTTTAGGCATTTTAAACCCTAACTGCATGCAATGAACAAAAAGCAGAGGTGTAAGGTCTACAAGTTTATTAGCCATTTACTGCTGATCAGAACTTTTTAAAGAAATCGTGTACAAAACTACTGCCTCTGCAATGCTTGGTTTCGGGCTTATATTCTGCCCATATGTTCACCTGTCAGTAAATGGAACTCCTGCTAAGTGGAATATATTTTTTCGGTTTCTTCAGGCCTCGTTTACTGAGAGTCTACTGTGTGTGCCTTCAGCACAAAGCTCTCTATACAAGTTGAGAAGAATCGGGGTTTACCACGCACGTGCTTAATTTCGAACATTTGTTTACTCTCAAAGCCCGAGGCACTTATTTTTCATTTTTAGACTTATTATTATATTAAGCATGTAAATTTTTAAATAGTAGTGGTAAAGCAGCAGACATTTTCTGGTATATAACCCAAAAAGTATCACTTAACCGAATGATGGAGTTGAATTAAAGGAAACACACTGAAAGAACAGAGGGCCAACTAAAAATTGAATTTTGTTTGAATTACCTGAAAGTATGAATTAGAGTTATCACGAGTCTACTGTACAATATGAATCAATAACGACAAGATTCCTACAGTTGATTTATTTAAATGCCTTGGTGTGAACATCTTGCATTAACTAACTTAGACCTGTCATATTACCACATCATAAATTCTGCTAATCATACTCTAGGGTACCGTATTTACTCGAATGTAACGCGAGTTTTTTTCAAAATCTCTGAAGTGATTTGGGGGTCCGCGTTATAATCGAAGCACCTCAAATCGTGCCTTGGCGGTGCCGCCCCACTGGTTCCTTAAGATGGCTACGACAAACCTAGCGATCTTTCAACCTTGTGCTGGTAACATATGCACGCTGGCAACATCGAATCCAATCCAATCCTATTGTTCACGACGTGTTTTGCGGGAGGTTAATTTGCTTTGTGCTTCCGCGACTTCGGATCGAGCAAATGGCAGCACGACGAGTTCAGTACGATGCCCGCTTTAAGAGAAATGCAATACTGATGGCTGAGAAAATCGGGAACTCAGCCGCGGCTCGACGGCTAGATGTGGCGGAATCTACTAGATGTGGCGGAATCTACTATCCGTGGGTGGAGGCTCCAGCGTGAAGCGCTCTTCAAGAGTGAGCCCGGCCGAAAAGGCTTCCGTGGACCTCGTTGTGGCCGTCACACAGAACTCGAAAAAAAGTGGCGGAGTTCGTGACTGAGCAGCGAAATCGCCTATTGGGGGTCAACGTTGAGCTGATTCAGTGGAAAGCCCGAGACGTAGCTAGAGAGATGGGGATCCCGCGGGAGAACTTTAAGGCTTCACATGGATGGGCACAAAAGTTCATGCGAAGAAATGAATTTTTCCTCCGGCGAACAATGTCGATAAGGCAGAAGCTACCAGCAGATTGCGAAGCGAAGCTAGTGGAGTTTCAGCGCTATGTGCTCGACCTGCGCCGCTCGTCGCAAATGCCGTTGGGGCACATTGGCAACGCGGACCAGACTCCCGTTTTCTTGGACATGCCTATGTCAAGGACTGTCAGCGAAACAGGTGCCCCCCCCCCCAAGTTCGCATAAGGACAACAGGCAACGAGAAGATGCGGCTAATCGTGATGCTAGCCTGCTTGGCGGTAGGGCGCAAGTTGCTGCCATACATCATTTTCCGGCGCAAAACCATCCCGAAGGAGCTGTTCCCCAGGGATCTGATTGTTCACTGCCAAGAAAAAGGTTGGATGGACACTCCGCTTATGCTTGACTGGGTCAAAACTGTGTGGTGCCTACGGCCAGGTGCGCTCCTCCACCCCGCTTCCATCCTAGTTCTCGACTCATTTCGCGGTCACCTGACGCCCGAAGTGAAGAAGCTGATGCGGGAAACTCAGACGCAGCTCGCTGTTATTCCCGGAAGTATGACGTCCGTGCTGCAGTCATTAGACGTCTGCCTGAACGAACCATTTAAGGATAGAATGCGGCAGCTGTACGGAGAATGGATGCGAGAAGATCGGGCTTTGACACCTACGAGTAGGATAAAGCAACCTAGCGCTGCGAAGATTGCCGAGCGGGTGTCCGCCGCTTGGTACGGCTGCCGCACGACATGATAGTTCGCGCGTTTAAAAAAGGCTGTATATCGAACTATATGGATGGCACGGAGGATGGGAGGAAGAAAGTGACAAAGAGGGCTCGACCACCGGCGATGAAAGCGACGAATGAACAAAGCTCACTTTATATTTAGAAACTGGGATGTCTTTGCCACTACCATGTGCAGCAAATAAAGGTACTTTTTTTCCCCGTTTTACACGCGCTACACTAGTGTTCTTTTTTTTTTTTTTATCGGCACTGAAAAGTCACCCCTCGTGTTACAATCGTGGTCACGTTACATTCGAGTAAATACAGTACTTACGCTGTAACCTTTCACTCGCTCTTCCTTCTATTAAGAGTAGCCCTTGACACCTTTGTCTGGCCAAAGCTAGAGTTCGCACATGCGATTTTCGATCACCACAATAACCTCATTAACGCCCTCGAGTCTGTCCAAAACCGTGCGGCGCGATTCATACTATATAACTATTTGTACACCTCAAGCATCTTGGCACTAAAAGCAAAGATTAACTTATCCGATCTGAGTAAACACTGCAAAATTGCATGTCTTAACCTTCATCATCAATTCTTCCATTCTTTACCTTTAGATAACCCATACATCAGAAGAGCCCATCGCATTTCCCGCCACAGTCACTGTAACGCCGTCTATCCAGTGCAAGCCCATACCACCACCCTTCACCAATCGTTTTCTCTGCGCACAGCCCGAGACTGAAATGACTTGTCAACCAAGCCGCCACCATTATTGGCACACAAGCATTCAAGCGGCTCATCGAAACCACCCCATCATAACTACCCTTACATTATTAGCCTTCCACTCCCTCATGTAATATCCCAATTAGGACCTTTAAGGTAACAAAATGAATGAATCCAAGGTTTCTTTATTTCACTACTGTTCAAACAATGTCTTTTAAAAAGAGGAGTCAGTGGATACAACATTGTTCACACTTTCACTATGTGATAACTACAGCAGGGTACGCCTGTACCTTTAGTCAGTGAAAATGCTGGTAACACTTAGACAAGCTAGCCGCCCTTTCCTTAGCAAATAGGTCGTCACTTTCTGAGGAACATGCAAAGAACTATTTCGCATAAAGCATTAAAAAAAACTAACATTTAAGGGGGCAGACTGGTCTTAGACATTTTTTGTTTATTTCTTCAGTGATCTTGATAAAACTGCACAGGGTTATACAGTTTTTTCTGCTGTTTTCAAATATGTAATTAGTTTTCCTGTAACTCACTTTGTTGCTGATATAACTTAAGTTCACTCCCTATTGTTTAAGGCCACCATAGAAGAAAAAGTGCTTAATTAAAAGTGATATTTAGGACATGCCAACATAGACTAACGACTATAGAGTGACAGTATGGAAGAGGTTTTTGTTTTTAGACCTTTATTGGTTATTTTGCAGCAAAATGAACTATACATTTTCAAAAGCAGTTGGAATTGTGTTACAATTTTGATTAGTAATTAATTAAACAGTCATGTGCTCTAAATTTCGCTCCCATACTTGCATTCTACACACATACAGGTTTCCACTGCAAATAGAAATATTGCTGTACCTGCCCTAGCTGCAGAGATATTGAGGCCTCAAAATTGAATAGTCACAAATTTACTTTTTTGAGAAAAATGGAAAAAACTGAAAACACACAGTTTCTTCAAAAAGCAACGATCATGGTGCGCATGTTTAGCAATCCTCACGAAGGCGCTCATAAATTTGTAGTAGAGCTTTAGAGAAAGGGGCTGGCAAATTATAAAGAAGCCTCAAAGTCGGCTCCTCATTTTTTTTGCAGGTTCTGCATGTTAACAGCACCAAGAATCTGGACAGTTAAAATGACATTACAAAAAAATTACTACTTCTTGGTGCGTGAAAATTTGCAGAGAGATAGAAAAATACTTGCAAAAACCAAATATGTCAATTTTAAAAAATGAATATTTTTGTCACTTTTTGGTCCCAAAGAGCAGTCTGCCCCCTTAAGCACGACGACAAAGAAGCTAAGACAAGTGCCAAGTACGCACAGAATTTGATTTGACTGAAGCAAAATTTTAAAGACTATAGTCTTTCTTGGGGACCTTCGACGGAAAAATTTTGATCTGTTTGTCTGTCTGTATGTCCGCCCTAACGATACCTCAAACGGCACTAAACGGCAAACCCCAGCCGCAGCGCCCACCAATATTGCTCACGGTTTAGCGGCCATAGTTGTGCGATTGTCAATTAAAAAGCAATTATTGCGCATATCTGAGGTGCCACAACAACGCTTCAATGTTTTGTATGTCTGCCTTTATAGTAGAAGAGGCCCACACAAGTAACTCCAAGGAATGTAGCGTCTAATCACGCTGCGCTGACAGTGCAACGCGATGCTCAAAAAGGTATTTCCAACGCTTTGCTACGACATCACGTGGGTGGCACCTGCCCATCACTTTGCTTTCTACACCTTATCACCTCCGAGACTGGCGTGCATCTTTCTCCACAGGCTGCACACTTCGTTTTTTCAGATAACTGCCAGATGGCACTTGTGTCTAACGTGCCTCGATGCGCTCGTTCGCCTCTGCTACACGCTCGAGGCACTTTAACGCAGCGCCTGCAGAATACCATTCACCAATTTTCTTGCGCAGAACACCAAATAAACGTTTTATTCAATCTCTCCAGGCACAAGACTATCGTCTTTCGACGACATTTGCGGTGTAACATGCAGATTTGGAACCAATTTTTTTTTGTTAGAATACTATTGAAAATGCCATGCACTAATGAGAAATACTGGAGCCACAGGACTTACCAGGTGCTGGCCCTCGGCCTGGCACAGCCGCCCCAGGAGCCAGGGTGTTTGGTGGGACTCCCATGGGAGGGGTGCCAGCATGCATCTGCTGTTGCTGCTGTTGTTGCTGCTGCTGCTGTTGTTGTTGCTGTTGCTGCTGCTGCTGTTGTTGCTGCTGCTGCTGCTGCATCTGAAGTTGCAACTGCTCTTTGCTTTTGCGCCGCTTGTCTTCGAGTTCTTTTTGGATCTTGTATATCTTTTCTGCTAAAAGGTGGTAGTACTCCTCCTGCAGAAAATCCAATTCTATTGTAAAGACCCATGTCTTCAGCAGCACATTCCACCATTTTATCACTTATATAGCTAGCTTTCATTGCTGTGTAAATCGTAAAAACCCCACTTTTCAGCAAACAAATCCCAGCATTTCATCAGATACATAGCTAACTTTTATTATGCATAAGGAATATAAATAAAAAATACGGCCCAAATTAAGCAAACAGATGCCAACCCTTAGATGAGAATATGCAATATGCGTGGAAAGCACTTCCCAAAAGGTGAAATTCCATTCCTTAAGAAAATGAGTTACACTCAAACCTCGTTGTAACTAAACCAGATGTAACGAAAAATCGGTTATAACGAAAAAAATAAAGGATAGCATACAAAAAATATAGTGTTAAAAATAAACTTTTAAAACAAATTTTCGTGTAAGATGAAAGTTTGTTATATTGAGGTTTGAGTGTGTTCTAAAAATGCATGCCATTATATAGAGTACCACATGGTATAAAACTTGACCACATTAAAGTAAACCAGACAGTGTCAAGAGGCATGCCATACCCTGCTGTTGGCCATCTCGTACATGTCTCCCTCGACCATCTTGGCATATGCGACTAGCTTGTTCATCCTCCGGTCCTGCAATGTAGCTGGCTCGGGGGTGGGAAAAATGGCTTGCACTCTGCAAGAACGACAAACAAAACAGTGAAATACTGCAGCAGCAGAGGTACCAACTGTTGCGAACATTTACATCATATTGGACAACATGTCATTTTCTGTGCATCAAATCCGCAGAAAAGCCTGTAAACAATGCAAACATGCCAGCCACTTCCCTCATACTACAATGAAAACTGCATTGCTTCCTCACACAACGATGATGCACAGAATGTACACGCTGTCATATCCTGGCGTACTTTTACTACTTCCCACCACATATTCCCCAGTGCCAGCTTTCTCAACACAAGAGGCACTCTCAACAATGCAATGATCAAGGCACCTGCATCACGAGCCAAGCTAAACAGCCATAAAAATATCGCATAGACAAAAAAAAGTGCATTCACAAGCCACATTGCAAAGATGAGTGCCACAAAAGCTGGAAGATTGCTCATAGAAGGAAGACACCAGCATTAGGCAAATGTGCACATGAAAAGTGAAAAAAAAAAAGGCATGTTATTTCTTAATTAGTACTTGTAGTTAGTTCGTAGTTGTCAATGAAAGTGAGCAGGCAGGCATGCACTCACATTTTGAGCACCAGGTGATGCCTAAGGTCCCGGGTGACTGACTGGTGCCAGTCCTTAGCGACTCCCCCTGTTGGCTGCGCTAGGCTGACACCACCTGGCGCACCCCCAGGGGGTGCCACTTGGTTTGGGGGAACTATGGACACGGCCCCAGGGCCGCCTTGCTGCTGTTGCTGCTGCTGCTGCTGTTGTTGCTGCTGCTGCTGTTGCTGCTGCTGAACAGCCTTCATCAATTTGGCAGCAGCCATTGCTGCTGCTGGTGATGTAGGCCCACTAACAAACGATGATTGAGGCCCACCTGGATAAAGAAAGAAATAGTGTCACCACAATGTACAGCAAAATAAAGTGTTTGTTTATATTCACTGCCCACTTATGCCTTCATGTAGAATGTGCATATCAGGCCAGAAAACTAGGCTTGTGCAAATACTCAAATGCTTCAAATATTCAATCAAATATTGCTGTATTCAAATTAGCTTCAATTCAAATTTAAAATTGTAACCCCCTGTGAAGATGGTTTCACTGCAGTGAAGGGGGACTGAGCCGTGAAAATTCCTGTTTAGGTGTACAGTCGAGCCTGTACACCTAAACAAGAATTAACCTGAGCCTGACGGGGCATCCGTTCGCTGTATCCCGAAGTTCGTAGTAAATGAAACACAGCTTTTAAAAATTTGCGAATGAAAACACAAAAAGTTTTGCCCAAAAAAGTTTGTGACGCACGTGTTTTGAAGAGCAGAAGCGATAAGGGCGGTTCTCGAGTTTATTTTAAATGGCAGCATGCTCTTCGCCGAGGCCTGTGGCGTAAGCTGCATGAGGCACTGGCTCCAAAGTTTCGTCGTTCTCGCAATCAGATTCCTTCGAATCGTTCTTGACGCGTACTTCATTCACAATTCACAATCCAAGCATGGTTCTGCGGCGTCTGCATCACCATCAGCCGTGATTAAACTATCGCAACAGATGTCCCACCCACTGCCACAAATAGCCGCCGCAGTGGTCTTGTTCGGAATCTTCAGGACCGACATTGTGGCCCGACGTCGACGAAGTCGGCCTTGCGAAAACAGTTTCGCGTACATGTAACCGTCACCGCCGCCCACGAAATATTCACCATCTCCACAGCTGAATACCGGAACGCCTGAAGCGGCAGCAAGCGCTCCACAACGCGGCACCTACACGCGGATTACGCTCAAGCGAAGCGGTCACACTTTCGACGTTTTGTTGAGCGACACGAAAAAGCGTGCTAGTCCTCCCGTCGGCCATCATGACCACACACACACACATCAAGAACGAGCAAGATGTGCACATGCTTGGAACAGCTCTGGGCCCGTTTCCAGTCGGAAAACAAAACTGATTCGAGCCAGAGTGACGGGCGTCGCGGAGCGGTGGAGACGGGCGAAGGGGTTTTGATCAAGAGAGGAGAGCAGACTTGCGAAAGAAGGGCAAGGAGTTGCAATAAAGCACAGGGGAATGAAAGATTCCTTCCTCCGTGCAATAAAGAGAGGGGAGGATGCGGCAGGCGGGCGACCTTGAAAACCAATACACACGGGAAGGAGGCAGGTTGGGTAGCTTGCTTGAAAGGTCCGTGAAACTCGGACGTAGAAAAACTTGAAAAAGAAGGCCAGAGCGCGCAGAAGTCAAAGCATGGCCGCCTCGTTCGGTGCGTGCGGCGGCGTTCGAACAATCGGCGGCCGTGATAAAAAAAAAAAAAATCGTTTTGTTGCGCCAGCGGGTTTGCACGGCCTCACGAACTTTGATATTTCACGATTCATTCCACGCAAATTAACAGTCGTTTTCGCGCTTCCGCACGCACGCGGAAGGCATGCTGATTTGAGTGCAAAATGAGCGAGAACAAGTCCTCAACACGAAACTAATCGCAAATTATCAGAGTCGGTGGGGTAGCGTACGCACGTGCACTAGACGCAGACTATCGGATACAGTCAGTGGCCAACGATATTGGCAAATGGTCTGCTCACTCCAGGCTGGCGACATCAACGACAGTACCAGCGATCAAAAACAGGATAGATGGCCGACCGGTCTTCAAAAGATCGGTGGCAGTGTGAAAACATGGGCCTCGTCTGGTGATGCGGAAAGCTCGGAGTAGCGGGGGGGACAAAGAATGGAGGGGTGCGTAACAAAAGCGGTTGGGGAGAGCGGCAACTAGAGGGGTGCGAAGGCAGGGTCGGCGTTTAACAATAGGAATGTATGGGCACCTCGCAGAAGCTTGATCGGTGGTCGAAATTGGTTTCCCAAGAATTTGGCAGACCGCTGACTTCGTTCGCTGTAACCGATCAGGGGCGCTCGGAGCCGTTCGTTGTAAGTGCGATTTTGTGCCATTGAAGCAATGTATACTTTCACGGTCACGCACATATTGTTCATTTTAAGCGAAAGTTCGTTTTAAGTGGGGCCATTAAGTGTGGGCTCGGCTGTATTTAAAAACTACTTGAGTTATCGCCCCGAAACTTCATATATAGCTATTCCAGACACTCTTCAATACGCCTGCCAAATTTCATTACTCTAGGTCAAAGAACAAAAGCGCTTTTTTGATTGCCAACTCTACCCTTAAAAGTTGTTTTCACTTCCTCTGTAACACACACAAAAAAAAAATTGCACTTGCACAGGCTTTGTTTCATTTTAAAGACAATAATGTACAGGTAATTTAGGTCATGACAAAAGTGTTTATTTTTCTTTATGCTACAACATATATGTACTATTCAATTTAGATTTGAAATCACAATTCGCTTCGAACCTTAAATTCACTATTCACACAGGCCTGCTGCTTACAGTAAATAATAAATGCATTCACTCTCATATTATAATGATGTTATAATTAGGTGCATGCACCATCTCCTAATAAAGACTTCCTAAGCTGGGTTCGACTGTATACGGTATTCGACGCTGCAGGCACCCGAGAACCACGCGAAGTAGCGTGGCCATTTTGGTCTCATTTGAAAGCCGTATTCTTTTTTTGTCTGTTCCTAGCGAAAGAACGCTTTTCATCTAGCAACAACACAGCTATCGCGAATAAAAAAAAGCAATACTCACGCATAATTGGTGTGTTTCTATCATGTGGGGCAGTTCCCGGTTCCCTATTGGATATTAATAGATTCGTCTGCTAGACAGCGGTATGCAATCCGCCATTTTGTGACGAGGCCTAAGCGACGGCTGTGCGATCGGTGCGATGGCAGGCAGTCATCGAAAGTTCCATACTGCTCATGCATTAAAAAAGAAGCGAAACGGCGCCTGAGAGCATGCAGCATCTTATCAGCGAAACCCTCTGCCGCTAAGAGCACGGAAAAAGCTGGCTGTGCCAGCGCTATAACGAACGCAGCTCCCACGATCACGGACGCGATAGGCGGGGCAAACGATCAAATGCGAGATCTGCGCGTCGGTACTCCCCTGGTGGCCCTTCTGTGTAGTGCGAGTGACATTCAAAGGGACCTTTCATCGACGTCAGCCTCACGACGCAAGCGGTCTGTTTTTTGAAACTAGGAAGCGACCGTGACTACTGGAACGCCATTCAACGTCGTAAGCTGCTTCAGTGTATGAAGTGCGGTGTGTCTGGCGGGCCTGGCAGCATTTCCAAGAAAAAATTGGCAATATGGCATCGCCACGAAACTTGTGCTGACGTGTGATGAGTGCGGGGAACTGAAATTTGTACGGAGCTCGCCGAGAGCAAGAGGTGGGGGGATGCGGGGCACGACCTGTTCGAGATCCACCTGATCGTGGTTTGCGCGGGACAGCAAATAGACAAACTGCGCTGAATTGCATTTTTTTTTCACCCTGAATGCTTCACGGAGATGCAAAGACATATAAAAATTACGTGAAAGTAGGTATGATTCCTGTTTTGAAGCAGGCCACCGCGCACGTTACTGACGACTGCGCAAGCACCGTCAAAACGCTGTATGCCGATCTGATGATAAACTATGCAAACCCTGAAAACATCTGGTATGCAATGAAAAAAAGCGCTCGAAGAATGATGACTGCACTCCTCGTGGCTTCTAGCATCACTACTGCACTGATTTACACCATTGCCTGTTTAATATATATGCTCCTCCCCCTCCCATAAACTCCTTTTCATCAAGTCTGAGGCCATTGCGCACAGTATCTTTTGATCTAGTGGTTAGAATTTGATAATTGTTGCAGCATTTGAAAGCTTATACATTGATGAGTACACCAAGACCAAAATATTATGATAGTTTCATTAGGAACAGTGATTTAATTAGTGATATAATTAAGCAACAGTTTTAGGATTCTGACGAGTCTACTTGTAAGGCCACAACTCTTGAACCAATGAAGCTAAAATAAAATTATGGTTTACTTGCACACTGTTCTTTACAGAACACTGGCATTTTCAATTTGCAGCAATCTTTTGTGAGAAAGCTGTCTAAACTGGGAGCAGAATGTAAGTTTATGGAACAGTCAATATTTTAAAATCTGGAAGTGACAGCTGAAAACTAATTGCATATTTGTTTTCAGCTGTGAGAATGCAAATCACAAAATTTTCAGCTCTAAATACTCAAAATAAAAAAAAAGAAGTTTTAAGACCAGCGCCTCCCCATAACTACCACCAAGTGACCCACCCTATGCCATACCATGCATCACAGCCCCTGAAACACAGCCCTATCAGCCAGTGACAAACAGCCCCACAGACACAGCCTAATGCATAGGTATGAACAGCAGCCACCTTGAGTGGCAGGTCCCAGGGGAGGCCTCTGAGGTGCTTGGGCAGCCATGGAGGACACCACGGCAGGAGGAGTCCCCTGAGATGGAGCTACAGAATTTGGGCTTGGCCCTGTCAGCAGATCCTGAGGACTGCAATGGCTAGGCCCAGGTGGCACTTGCAGGTCGTTCACTGCACAAAGAGGACAAACTGATAAGCCAAATTCCTATACTTTTGAGAATGAAAGCAGCAGATTATTATCTCAACTGATCTGGTTCTCGCAGCGTTAACAAACTAAAAACGAATTTCACCGTGTCTGAAAGCTTCAGAAATCGGTTTGAACATCACCCAGAAAGATAAGCGAGTCGGACTTTTTTCCATCTTGCCAGCATGCTTTTTTATATCACACATATGCTCAACTAATGGCCGTACCAGTAATTGTTCAACAAGCTCCAGTAGCCATTCTTACTGATGAAAACACTAACGCACACAAAATCGACTACATCATGGCAAACTGATACAAACATCAAGGTACTTCTGTTCTTTTTTTTTTTTTTTTCAGTCTTTTTAGAAGCTATCACTCAATATGGTAATATACATAGACTGTGCGCTGACGCAACTGTCTTTTAACCCTTTGCAGACTAATATCTGGCCACTACTAACAACACATCATGGTTATAGCGACCCATGGTCAGGCACTGCTCAAGGAGGACATGGTGCGTGGAGATATGGAGACACCAAACATGATGAAAATATACATGTAGATTTTCTTGCTGATTTTAATCATGCAAAAATGTTTATTGTAGGTCAATTATTTCAGAAGATACACAATGCTGCCACTCTATCGTTTTTGAAGACAATAGGAAAGAAAGTGTTATCGAGAATAGAATATTATTGCATTGCTAGACAGTGCAATATGTGCAATGCTGCAAGCAGATTTAAATTCAAAGAAGAACTAGTGATTCTGCAGATGATGAAAGTTCGGGAGTTATGTGATAGCCATGACATACAAAGAAATCTAATAACTGTTAAATTTATATGAGCTACAAAAGAAAATTCTGCTCTCATCACTTTGTAATACACAGATTGGGCTTTATGTTAACAAAAAAATAATTACACTAGGTGTTCTAGATCATAAGATGTCAACCTGACAAACTAGTAAAGTGACCAAAAAGCATGTTTTGAGAAAACTGAGAAAAACAAACGAAACTCATTTATTTACATAACTGCACTTGAAAAAGCTCAGTATGCACCGTGCATATAGTTTTTTCACTATGAGCCCCTGTGTGGTGCTTTTTTAGCAATGGGGCATGTTTTCAGTTGCTTGTGGCTTCTTGGCTAATGCTGTAGTGCACCCTCGATGCTTTTCAGGCTGCGGTTTTGCCAGCTGGTGTTTAGGCTCAGCTCGTTCATGATGTTTTCCGATGCCCTTTCATTGCCTGTTTTGAACTTAAGCACTGCTTCTGCCACAGCGACTTAGACTTCACGTGGAGCAGACGATAACCAGGAGACTCCATCAATAGGGAGGCAAGCTCAAATCACATGTGCGATGTTGCGAATAGGAGAGCGCTCCGTTACCTCTTTTTGCCGTGCATTTTCAAGCTGCCAATGGCTGAATCGGGCTCGTTCTGGCGGAAATTTGAAGGCAAAAGACGGCTCTCAAAAGAGATCAAGATGGTTGCATTGGCACACATGAAAGGGCAGGGGCGTGTCGCAGAAAATGTGCAATTTCAACATCAGTTCAGGCTCAGATTTAGTTAATAGGCGCAGTATAAAGGGTCTTAGCTAAGCTTGTGCGAATAGTGAACTTTAGGCTCGAAGCAAATTCGAAACGAATAGTGATTTTGGTCGAATAATTTCAAATCGAATTCGAATAGTACATAGGACATATGAATAACAACAGGCATATTTATTATGACTTAACTAACCTGCACAATATCCTTTAAAAATTGAAATAGGGCAAATTCCATTTTCTTTTTCCGTTCAAAAGAAGCCGAAAAAACTTTGAGTAGTAGCAGGATTTGACCTTGGCAGGATGCGAGTCATAACCCTTACAGTATGTAACATTTTTAAGTTTATTATACTGAAAGCATATGCGCCGTCATAACAAGCTTTTAAGCTTAATAAAATGAATTGATTTGAGGGTGCTATTTCTATTTACAGGAGCCGTGCGACACTTTTTCAAGGAGCCATAGAATGGATTCACTGAAGAAGCTTATTGCTTGATGAATTCACCGGCCAAAAAATTTTTAGAATTTTTTCACTACGCGCAGAGCTGCAAAGATTTGTCGCTAGCTGCAAGTGAATTCTCTCTTCTTGTCCCAACGAAAGTGCTGGAAGCAATTTTCCGCTGACTTTGAGACTTTGTTTTGAATTGCACACCGCGTGCTGCACTATGATGTTTAGCTTGCATGTTTTCGGTAGCCTCGACTACCAATCGGCAGCGTTTTCTTAAAATGCTCAAAAAATGTTTCAGGGCCCCTTTTAATTTAAAGAAGGGCTTCACGGCAAAGTGAATTTCTCCTAGATAGCTGCTTTCACATTTTAGCACCCCTACACCGCAGTGAAACTACCTTTACAGGCGGTACATTCGGAATTGTATGCATTTATTTGTTCCTTGCGAATACTTCAAAATATTCAATTTAAATTCGAATTGTAGCGAATTCGAATACCCTACTACTGGTTCGAATATTCGAAGCATTCGAATATTTGCACAAGCCTAGTCTTAGCGGCTAAAATGATGATATAAGAGGCATGAAATTCACAGTATAACCGTACTAGTTGCTGTATATTTCAAAACCGCAATAAAAAAAAGTTTCGCAATTTTTCAGTCTGCACAAGCATGTCCACCTAACCAGGGGAACTCCACAGTACTGCGAAACCCCACTTCAAGGTTGCCCTCACATCAATTCATCATTTTTAAAGTTTAAAAGGTGTAAAATTCTTTAGTGCTTTCTTTAATTTAGGACACCTCTTTAGAATGAGAAGTGGGTAAAGGTTTCCAACAGCAATTGGGTACAATGAAAACAGCGGCAAGAAACCCCCACTTACTCTGGGCAACTGGCTGCCCCCGGTTGACCAGCTGGCCAACCGAGGCCCCACCCGCTGCATTGTAAGGAAGGCCCAGGGCAGCGTATGCCCGCTGCATGTCAGCTGGTGCAGGGCCCTGTCCCGTTTGGCCAGGCGGCACTGCAGCACCAGCTTGCTGCTGCCGCCGATCCGAGGCCTGCTTCAGGGGCAGGCAGACGGGGCAGTCATTGCGTGTGCAGTTTTTCCAATGAGAGATGATCTGCCGTGAGGAAGCACAGTGGGGCACGGGACATGCCTTTCCCGCCTGGCAGTTGGTCATGTGGTTCAACACATTCTTCATTGTCCGGCAGTGGGGTAATGAGCACTGGCGAACCTGCAGAGTACAAGGAAGCATGCCCTGTGCAATGGTGCTTGCAATCTTGAGAATTGAACCATGGTACAACACATCATTTGCAAAAGCTGCAGCAGAAGTCATTAACAAACATGTTACACACAGTCGAACCTGTATTCTTAACAGGTTTAGGAGCAATATGGCAGATTACAAAAGCTTTTTACCTCTAGGATTCAGTGAAAAAACCTTGCTTTCTATCATGTCAACACGGAACTTTGTTTTTATCATTTCTCTTTTATTGTTCATGCTTTTTTTTTTCATCATTTCAAGAGGTGAGAATACTCAAGGCTTTTTTTTTTCTTTCTTGTTCAAAAAGTCTGCCCTTCTAATATTTTTTTGTGCAGACTTCAAATATGACATCACTTTTCGTTCAGCTGCTACTGTTCTCAATTTACTGTACTTACATAATTGTAAGTCGGCTCAAATGTGGGCTAACCACCACTAGTAGAAAAAAAAGAAAACCATAACACGTTCCACAAAGAAAATTTATTTGCGTAGTCTGGATTGGCAACACGATGACTGATCCCACAGAAGGAGTATTGGCCCGTGTGCCGTCATGTCATTATTCATACCATAAACTTTTCTGTCCTGCCCTCATAAAAAAGAACATTTGAATATTTTAAGCAGGACATTTCACCTCTAGCCCTGCAACACGTTTAAAAAAAAAGTAAAAAGAAGTGCAAATTCTGGATTGCAAAGAAGGTTTCATAGCAGTGCTTTACATTTATGCAGCTAAGCTAGCTTTACGGCAATACATAGGGACAACTTTCAGAAACTTTTCCACAATTCGTTATATGTTCCAAGTTGAGCAGGAACGGTAATAAAAGGATCTCTCTGAAACACCTGGCATCTTTTTTTTCTTTTTCTCCGATACACCGCATAATGACATCTTGGCACATGCTGAGCGCTAATTATTAAATTTTTGCTGAAACGTACCAGGTTGTAGGAGATTTTAAGTCTTGGCACAGTTTGGCGAATCTATAGCATCACAGGTAATGTCGTAACCATGCCACAGTGTCCCTGATTTGTAGTTTGTCCCGCTGGAACTAGTGTCGCTAGTTAGTTTCTATTGTAAATCAAGTCCACCAAACTTCATTCAAACATTTATTCCAATTTTAATTAAAACTATGACAAAATAGGTTGACCAACAGTAATGTTAACATGGTGTTGTCACACACATTGGCAGAAAGTTACACCTTTAACAGTCATTGTCTTATGTACTAATTTTAGGAACACCATGGTGTTTATCTTACTCGACTCTCTGCAGAACACGAAGCACCAATGAACAGTGATTTTGATCAAATGATTTTGAATCGAATTCAAATAGCATATATCACATACTCTAGATAAAAAAGGGCATATTTGTCATGACTTAACCAAACTCCAGAATATTATATAAAAATTGTGAAACAAAACCTATGTATTTTTTTTCTTGTTCAAAGTAGAAAAAAACTTTGAATATTAGCACAATTTGAGTTCCTGTAGAATGAAAGCGATAGCCTGTAAAATGGGTTATGCTTTAAAATCAACTATAGTCAGAGCATATAGGCGGTATAACACGCTTTTAGACTTTAAAAATGATGAATCGATGTGAGGGTAATATGTTCATTTAGCCTTGAAGTGGGGCTTCGCAGTAGCGTAGAGTTCCCCTGGTTAGGTGTTTTCACCGCTTAGCACCTTTCCAAAGCAGTGAAACCTTCTTTACAAACTGTGTTCATAACTGTATTTATACGCAAACTAATATATATCTATTCGTTCATTTTGAATATTTCGAAATTTTCAATACCCTAAATTCAAATGTAAGTGAATTTGAATACTGTAATATTCGTTCGAATATTCTACTGCTTGAAATATTCGCACAAGCCTACTGTTCAGTCCTTCTTGAAACTATAACCAAATACTTTCAATAGAAAGACAGGCAGGTGAAGCAATGAAACAAAGTCGCATTACAAAACAGACACAGGGTTACAACATTTGAATATATTTGAGTTGGTTTTCATATATTCACAACAACAACAACATGGCACACAAGAGGCATGGTCATATTTACCACATATACTCGCATAATGAAAACACTTTTTTTTTTCTAAAAATTTGATGCATAGTTGGGGGTGCGCTTATTATGTGGGGTAAATTTTACAAAAACTTTTTTACAAAAACTTTTTGGGATGAGCAAAAAATATGGTAATGCAAAAAAAAAAGTTAGGCAACTTAAGCTTTTGCAATTAACATACGCAGACAAAGCTTGAAAACAGCTTTTTTATTGCACTTCACATATTTTCGATGGCTCATGGCACTATCTTCAACAGCCATTCCCATGCACTCCATAAACACGTTCTGTAGCTTTCCCCCACCCTCCCCGCAATTTTTTATTTAACCGTAAGTTTAACCAGGACAGTAGTATCTGATGTGATATCCAGCTGCCATGACTGTCATCTCGACGGGTGCCTGGAAACGTACGCTGCAACGAATCATCCAAACTCGCACAATGGCAACGCTGGCATTGCAGCACGCTATGAATGAAACATCAAAACGAACAGCAGGTAACAAGATTAACGACAAAATACGGCCGCTGCACAATGACAATGCTGGAATTGAAATATGCTACAACTGAAACATCAAAACAAACAGCCAATAACAAGGTTAACGACAAAATACGGCCGCTGCCTTACATTCCACATGAGAAATGACTGCAAAAGAAGCAGCCTATATCTTTTGTTCGATGAAGTATGCACATATAAAGAAGAGCGAATTGCAACCGAAGCGACGATCAGGGGCGTTTTATGGAAATTTTCACACTCTTTTCTGCACAAGCTTTTTTTTTTCTGGTTTTCCAGCAACCTGTGACAGATTTGCGACGCAACGATAGAGGGCCCTTTGTGGCAGCAAATCCTGTCACTGTCGTTCGAAAATCACGTGCATGTCAATAGACTTGTTTCGTATTTGCAGGAAGCAATCATTGGTTGACGCGGGCAGTTTCGCGACCTTCACTCACTGTGTGCTTGTGAGCTGCGATGTCTCTACACTCACACTGTTGCAAAAAACTCAAACTTTGAGACACCATATTTTTCGGTTGTATGTCTCATAAACCACCCATTCTGTAATTATCAACTATGTGCGTGCCATTCCCAGACCGTGGGGTCGTCCCGCGCCATCTTGGTGTTGTTTTGAGCATGCATTATTTCTCTCTTGTTTGCAGTCTTGCAAAATGGCGTCGGTGGCACGGATGAGACGCTACTGCCATTTTCTGCAAAGCAATGCGGAGCCCTCGTTGGCTATAGCAGTGCTTAAATATCTCACTAAAGAAAGCGCACCCGCCAATGGCTGCTGCGCTGCAGCGGGGACGGTCGTTCCCATTGAAGGCGCATTCTGGCCCCGCTGCACTCTGCTCCATTTGCCTCGATCAGCACCTGCTGAGTCACGCTTTGCCTTGCGCTATATTTTAAATAATTTTCTCTTCTTTACCTCTTTTTGCACTAGTTCTGTGTTCTTTGTCTTTATTGTGTTTGATGTTGGTAACATGCCTGGGTGTGCACGCATTATAAGGTCTATTTCGTTCTTATTTTTGCCATTAGGGCTCCTCTATGTCCACTTGCGGTTTCCTCCTTCTCGGTAGAAGGTATTCAAAATCCATAATTATTGCGTTCTGCGAATTCTACAGGTACCTCTCGTCTGGCGTTTCTAGTACCCATGCCATAATCTCGTACTGCCTGGTCTCCAGCCTGCTTCTTCCCTACCTTTGCATTAATGTCTCCCATCAGTATAGTATACTGTGTTTTTACCTTAATCATTGCCGATTCCACGTCTTCATAGAAGCTTTCAACTGAAGCGTCATCATGACTAGATGTAGGCACGTAAGCCTGTACCACCTTCATCTTGTATCTCTTATTGAGTTTAATAACGATACCTACCACCCTTTCATTAATGCTATAGTATTCCTCTATGTTGCCAGCTATGTTGCTGAAAATTAGAAACCCTACTCCCAGTTCTCTTCTGTCAACCAAGCCCCGATAGCAAAGGACGTGCCCCTGCTGTAGCACCGTATAGGCCTCATCTGTCCTCCTAACCTCACTGAGCCCTATTATATCCCATTCAACACCCTCTAGCTCCTCGAATAGTACAGCTAGACTTCCCTCACTAGATAAGGTTCTAGCGTTAAACGCTGCCAAGTTCAGGTTCCAATGGCGGTACCTCCCACATGCATACGTTCAGGTTCCAATTATGGTACCTCCCACATGCATACGTCAAATAACTCACTGCCCTCAGTCCCAAGCAGCTGCGAAGCAACTGACCACGGCGGCGGTCAGATCTGCAACGCAGCAGAGGGTGCTAAGAATCTCTGGATCCGGACAGGCCGCCATTGGAACCATATTTGTGTACCAATTTTTTTTTTCTGTTTTTGAATGACTTTGCCGGGGTGCAACAAGCTCCTTTTTTTTTGAAAATTGGAGTCGTTAATTCCAAACACTCTCAGTATTCCTGCCAAATTTCGTTAAAATAACTCAACAAACAAAAAAGATTTTTATCTTCAACACCCTGAATAACATTGTAATTGGTAAAGTAACCGAATTTAAATACTTAGGTGATTGGTATACCCCAGAATTATCGTGGCAGAAGCAGGTTGACTACGTAACCGGAAAGGCGGGAAAAATGCTGGGCTTCATTCGCAGGAACTCTGGTGCATTCAGTCAGTCCACACGTGAGCTACTCTACAAGACGTACGTGAGGTCCGTCCTCGAGTACGCTTGTGTAGTGTGGGACCCTACGACGGCGCGCGACGTTATTAAACTTGAAAGAGTTCAGAATCTCGGTGCGAGGTACGTGTCCCGTCAATACACAATTAATTTCAGTGCAACAAGAACTAAGGAAGAACTCAAATGGGATACCCTGGTAGAACGACGCAGAAAGCTGCGCCTGAAGCTTTTTCATTCCATTTACTATGGTACGATTAACATACAGAGAGACATATATATAATACCGCCTAACTATAGGTCCCAACGCGTGGACCATGACCGAAAAGTAAGAGAGGTTCTATGCCGCACGGAACTTTTTAAGAAATCTTTCTTTCCAAAAACAATCCACGACTGGAATAGGTTACCTGCTGACATCGTCAACGTAGTTTCGAATGAGATGTTTTTGCCCTGCTGAAATGATTGTTTCTTTGATCTTTTTAGGACGTACTGTATGTATTACTGTTCTTATCTTTTGTTCTTCTTTCTTTTGTCCTCACACTGTATGCAGAAGGGAACTGTGGCTATACTCCGGTATCAAATCACTTATTTTTCCTGTTGAAGTGACTCAACCTTGTAGTGTTCTTGTTTCTCACATATACTGCATACTGCTGTGAATAACTTATGTTGTCGATCTGCTGTAGCTGTTGTTGTTGCTATTACCGTTTTCCACGCTTTATATATGACAAAATATTGAACTGTCCAGACTGACTGTAAACCCCTCCCCCACTGTAATGCCTCTGGCGCTGTGGGTACTAAATAAATAAAATAAAATCGCCACCTCCCTTTTACTGGTTGCAACGAGCTCTGTACTTTTGATAACACGAACTGTGGCTCACCATAACACTAAAATGCAAAACAAAAATAAACAACTAAAAGAAACAATCCAGACAATTAGAATGCAGCTGTGCTCTTCAGCCAGCAAAACAGGAAGCGGAGTGGAGCCCTCCACCATACAATGGCGGCCTCGTACTGTGTGGCGTGAAGTTCAGAACACTGTGCGTATCAGTTAACGCAAGGCACTGCTCTTAAAAAACATTTACTTCTTGATTAATTTTGATAAAACTTGGTGAACTTATGTATATATGTGTGCTAATTTTAAACATGCATTTTTTTTTGTAGAAAGTATAGTTTTTAAAATACAAAGTATCTTATAGGCCTTTTGGGAAGCAAGATTTTTTTTAAATTAATAGAGCTACAAAGTAAATTGGCATATCACAATAATTTCGAATCAAGACTATGTGCATTGCAACCAAAATGGATGCTCAAAATCAATTTGAACAAAAGTTATGGTACTTTGAACATTTGTGAGTGAGTTAATTACAAGCTATAATTTTACCAGCAAGTGTTGTTCAACATTCCATGACTTTTCTTCTAGTGGGTTTAGAATATCCATTTTTGTTGCACGGCAATTAGCTTTGATTCCAGATTATTTTGATATGCTTGTTTACTTTGCAACTTTCTTTGAACAAAAGCTTGTTCCCCAAAAGGCATATGAAATGTTTAGTATTTTAAAAACTACACTTAAAACAAGAAAAATTATTGTATACTTGAAATCAGCACACAAAGATATATAGTCGAACCTCGCTACAATGAAACTGACGGGGCGTGGAAAAAATTTCGTTGAAATGAAATCGAAAAAAAATAAAGCTAATCTGAGCTAGGAAAACAAGGGCACGTTTATTCTCAAAATTCAAAAAACGTCCGCTGCTTCCTATTCTTTCTCAGCAGCGTCACGACGTCATTCTCACCCATGTATAGCGGGGCAATGGTGAACAGCACGCTGAAACACGCCTAAAACTGCCGAACCAAACAGTTGCATTAACTAGTAACACCAGCAGCTGTCTTCCGCCAAAAGTATCCAACAACGCCGAGATAAAGACAGGGTATCGTGGAGCGGCAACTTTTGCATTATTCTATGCCGTTCTTACATCCGTCACTCGCAGCTAGCTGTTTTCGTTGATAATGCAGACGAACAGCCGCTCTGATTAGATACCACACTGGCCAAGCACGAACATAAGCATCAGAATCCGAAAAGGCATTGTTCCGCGGTTGCACCCAGCAGCTGCGTGAAGAAAACCATGAACTGAGCGATTGAACTTCAGCTTTGGATCATCTGCGGCTCAAAATAGGCTAGTGGCAAAAGCAGGGCAGTCTCACTGCCATCGCTATCGAGCAATGGCGGCGCCCATGCTTGTTGAACAGCGACGGTATAGGTGCGGTTTCTGGTGGTGCCAACGCGTATTTTAGACTTCGTTGACGCATTTTCAGGCTTTGAAAATGAATCGAAATGTTAAAGATTGGGTTTACTGCATAGCAATCAGTATTGCATAGCAATCAGCAATCTAAGCCTGGAATTGCATCGTAAAATTTCGTTGAAGCGGGAAGCTAGAAGAAAAAAGTGTTCGTTGTGGCGACAATATTTATGCATTGAGTCAGTCCTATGGACTGCTGACGGGGAATCGTGAATTTTTCGTTGTAGCAGAAAGTTCGTTGAAGCGGCGTTCGTTGTAGCGTAGTTAGACTGTATACACACACTAGCCAAGTTACATCAATATTGATCCAGAAATTTACTTTTTTTTGGGTGCCAAAGCCCCCCTTAATGTTTTGCTACCTGCTGTCATTTTTCTCTACAATATAAATCATAGAATGTTATCTTTTCAGTATTTGTAAATTTAAACAGATACTAACACCAGCGGCCACATGCCCCAATTCTCAGAAATGCACACAGATCAGCATGTCTTGCGCATGTGCGGCAATAGAAAAAGTATTACAACAGCTTAGCACTAGTAGTGCTGCTGAGCCTGAAAGAAGAGCTTCCTTGTGCCTTTTCTTTTTTTTTTTCCATTTCTTATATTTTGTTTTCCTAACCTCAGTACCTCTCTATTCCTTGCATCTCTTTAAGTATGTTTTTTTTTTCTATTTCATGGTAAGTCTAATGCTTTTGCTTTCTCGCTCTTACCTTATTTCATCTTTCTGCACTTTCTTTTTTGGTTTATCACCTTCCCTTTCTACGTGTCTCTTTTTTCTATCAATGTTTCTCTGCCTTTTTATCTTTCAGTGTTTTTATTCCTTTTATATCTCTTTCTCTCCATGTTTTCCTGTCTTTTGATCTTTATTTATCTCTATTTTTTCTTTGTTTTTCAGATGTATTCTCTCTTTCCATTTGTTCTTTTCTCTTTTTCACATGATCCTTTTCTGGTTTTGACACTGACACCTGAGCTGTTCAGCATGATGGAGCACAAGTCACCAACAAATAAAACAGCTTCACTGTAAAGAAACGATAAGAATGCGTGCTCGTTGGTGATAATTTTTCGGACGGAGAATAACTTACTGACAACTTAAACAACTTTGCTATTAAAATGATGCGTTATGATGTAGTACCACATGCAACTTGCACTCCAGCAACTTGCACTGGGGCTCTTCAATTTTCCACTTCTGGCTACCCGCTGGCTGGCAGAGCCAGCCAGAGCGCGCTTGTTTTTCTCGGCCTGCCACATTCCCGCCGCGGCGCACTTCTAGTTGGCGTTCGCTTTTTTCGGGTTGGACAGTCCTGGCGACCCTCGGGCGACCCTCGGGCTTCCCGTGTGTCGCCAGATGCTTCCAAGACAATTTAGTCGTGGAAGCTTTCTGGAAGGTTTTGGGCAGGTTTCGGGCTAGCAGACGCCGAAAAGGTACAATACGCGCTCGGCGCCATATTTGTAAGGACTCGACAAATTGCAATGTGGGCGCTTGAAGACTGCGCCTTCGCTTGTCATTATACATGGCGTTATCTTCTAAATCCTGTTCCGCCTTGCAAGATGAGGCAATTACAAGTGGTGGTGAGTGTTTAAGCTACTATTCATTGCTTTTGTTATGTTTCCCGAGAAGCTTCCTCCTGTGAACAACGGGTCAAACTGTTGCCTGCTGACTGCGTCGTGCACATGCCTCAAAAGTTATGTACTACAAGTTCGCACGCATGCATAGAGACAACTTTGGAGTTATTATATTTTTTTGTAGTAGTCGAGACCTTGTTAGTCGTTTGCGGAGCCTTTCTGTGCACTTAGCGAAGACGATTGTGGTCAAACTAGCTCGCTCCGTCATATGTTTGCATGCGTGAACCTCTTTGAACCTTTTTACTGACTACTCGATTGATCTCCAATGGTCATAAAAGGCCCCAGATCGCGACTGTTGGTGATGCTCGCTGGTCGCGAGCAGTGTGTAAACCCACTTTAATCTATTGGCCAGCATATGCGGTATGATTTACGATACGACACGAGAAAAAAAAAAGGAGAATGAATTCAGAAATGCATACATCCTTTCGTTACCCATTTCATCGTTGGCTTTGTCTTGTTTCACCTCTTCGTGATAATGCTGCACAGTATGTACTATGAAGTCAAAGCAAAGCTGATATACATGACATTTGTCAACTACCACTTAGGACTGAAAAACAGGCCCAGGCAAGTTCCAAAAGCGAGTTGAAAGAGTGTCATGCGTAAATTTATTATATATATGACGCGCATTCGTGGTACTAATACCTACGCATCTCTAAACTTTAGACAAAAACTTATGTTGGTCAACGCGTGTTTGCGACGCATACTACGCGATAGCTGAGCAGATATATATCCTCGAGCTCTTTTGGGGACACGATCACTGTCGCGTGATTTGGCATAGTGTTGTGCAGTATGCCAAATACATGTACTAAAGAGACCTGAGCTTGTTAAGCCGTCAGTGTCGTGGCAGCTCACTTCGCATCGTTCTCAAGGAGGCGTGCGCCAGCTGGCTGTTTTGTTCGCTGACGCGGCGAGTGATCGTGCGAGCATATGAAGTCGTACCCCAAATGTGTACGCTCTAGGATATTTCAGCTTTTTTGGTGAGCTAGCTACGTATTTCAAGCAGACACTGCAGAAAAAAATGACGGAAACGCGGCACATTGTTTCGTTTGCTGCCACGACGGTAGAGTATGTTTACGTTTACACTGGCTGTCCCAGCGTTAGATTTTGCGATTTTCGGGCAGCTTCGGGTTGTCTCAGGTTCCCCACACACGTGACCACGACGTTATTTCCTGTCTATACCGGAAATAGCTGACTCACCTCTGGCTAGATCTGGCTGCAAGAGGCCTGAAAATTGAATAGCCCAACTGGAAGCACAGTAAGCATCCGGGGCATTAGCCTTGCTCCTGCAAATGCTGCATGCCTAACAAACGCTGCCCACGACATACCACGAAATTGTATGAAGATAGAAAATGTATTATCGTACACACCTCTCCATTAGCTGCCTGGGATTCCCTCCGCTGGCACTTATGCGCATGCAGCAGGAGCACAAGCTGCTGCTGAATAAGCTTGCGCTTCTCAGGATCAGCTGTTGAAGGGGTTGCTGCCGACGGAGGTGCACCAAGTGGGGGTCCACCTCCACCGGGATGGGGAGGCGGCGGCTGCTGGGAGGGCGCCACACCCGGGGGTGGAGCTGCCTGCCCCATAGGAGGACCAGCCAGCTGCTGCGCCTGCTGAGGGGGCGGCTGCCCGTGTTGCTGCACAAGCAGAGCAAACCCCCAGTGGCACCAAGAGTTAACACCAAGCAACAGTTCATGTGTACTGAAATGTTGGCAAAGCTTTCACAAGCAAGCTTATCGGATAGAATAACCTATTTGAAAAGTGAATGAACATTTAATACATAGACACACAATCAAAATAATGAATGATAGTTGCGCAGTTGTATCATTGCCACTAAAGTCAAATCACGATCACGATACGACAATAGAACCTTTGTGACACAAAACCAGCGAGTACAAATCTTGATACAGTATGAATTCATGAAAACCCCCAGCCAAATTCTATTGTGTATTATGAACCAAAATACTGTGGGCGTTCGTTATGCGCTTGTCATATATGCATCATCGTAATCATCATCATCCGTCTGGGGCCCTGTCCTCATCATCACTGGGTGTCACCACAATCATCATCGGGTGTGTACGCGCTTGGTCTCAGACTGCCTGTTCGCTGCTGAGCCCTTGGCTGAGTAAACGCTATCTCAACCCAGACGTCATACATGGTGGAAGTGTATTTTCGGTCCTCTCCCACCTCGCTCCACTCCCTGGAGCTGCGTTCAAGCCGCCGATCGCCCCCACTGTCTGGCAGCATGTCACAAAACGAGAATACGAATGTTTCGAACCCTTTTCTGCAATGTGATGTGCAATACAGACGAAACCCACAAAAACGAAACCCCACGAGTACGAAATTCCCGCGGCAACGAAGTATTTCCGGATCCCCGGAGAACGATCACAGAAGCCCATGTATTACGTATCTCGCGGCAACGAAATGTTTTTGGACAGCGATCCCGCATTAACGAATTTTCTAGCACGGTGCCGGCCTTATTTTACCCTACTGCCAAGGTTAACTGTCGAAAATATGCTCGTATACGTGTTATGTGCACTCAAAATTTGTAAACGTCTGCTTTTGCCGCGCTAGCGTGGGTACCGCCATTTTTGTTTACTTAAATCAGCGATGGGGTCTGTTTGCGGCAACATGCCTGGCCACACTGCAGAAGGCGATGGCAAATGATCATGCTGGAGTGTAGATGGCACCGTCGGACGAGCTCAATAAGCCGAGGTAACACCAACAGTTGGAATCAGTCAAAACGACGAAGAGAAGACTGGAACTGGTGGCGAAATCGAGATGAAGTTACAATGGCTCCTGAGAAAAGCTTGACGCCGAAAGCGGATTCTCCGTTGATCGCGAAAAGCACGGCAACAATATCATCATCATGTTGAACAGCCTTGCAGCAACACCATTAAGGGCGACACAATCCCATCCTGCATTGCTTCTGTCACTTCCTCATTTCTGTAGCCTCACACACGTGAGCGCCGCGAGTCGTGTTGTGTGTGGCTCCCAGATAAACTCACCGTTGCGTTCGTGCCGATGACGACGTAGTCGTTTACGAGAAAATGACCGACAAGGTCATTATCGATAGCGTGCGCGAAGCTGACGACACCGAGGACCAAGAAGAGACGCATGCGGAGAAACCAACCCGCGGGTTGTTTTGGATGCGCTGGACACCCTTCGCTCCTTCTTCGGAGCACATGACGACGACCTAATGTCCTTTTACCTGAATGCTGTCACACGACGAAAACAAATGTCCTTTTGAAATGATGGCCATGACCATAGCCCTACTCAGCCCTAGATTTTGGGAGCAATAAAGATATACTAAAACTTGCACTTACATGCGTGTATTCACACACAAAAAAAAATATTTTTTTATGGGTAAAAAGGTGCTCCTGGAATTCAAACACGGCCATTTAACACAACTTGCCACAGATCCACAACACACTCTAAAACCTTCCTGGCTGTCGATATTACCGGGCGTGAGTACAGTGAACTGAATCGGCGAGCATGACCGACTTCCCGGCTGCAGAAACGAGACGGCAACAGCGATTTCGTGCAGTCACGGCCATGATCTCCACAACACGTGCAAACGGACGATCAACATCCACAATGCAGGCAGCCAAAGCGATTTCGTGCAGTCACGGCAATGATCTCCACAACACGTGCAAACGGACGATCAACATCCACAATGCAGGCAGCAACGACAACAGAGCAAAAATGAAACATGACCGGCATCCAGCCGCTGTAGTTGAGAGTAGCCTTCTTTTAGAAACTTTCACGTGTGCCATCATGTCATCAAACCAGCATTGAGTTCATTTAGTAAAAAAGGTATTTACAAATTATAAAAGTTATGTACACGCAAGTTACTAAATGTCCCTGAGGTCAAGACTACTAATTCGGTCTGAAATGGAATGAGAATGTGTTTCAGGAACTTATTCAATAGGAAATGTATTTTCATCAAATGGCATTAGTTTAACCATGTGAAAATAAACAAATGACGTTACGAATGAATGGCATTCGCTGTAAATGACATTAGATTTGCCGTGTGAAGGGGTATTACCTGAACAAAAGACATTTAATGGGGCAAAAAAAACCTGTGCAGCATAGTTTGTTTTGCTCCGCTGACTGCATGCCGTATAATGATAGTGTCAAGAAATGACAAACTTAAGTTCGTCGCCCGTCGCTACACTAGCGATGCCAAAGCCTAACCAGCGACATCTATAGAAAGTGGGGGCGGAATGTTTTCTAAGTTGGCAGCTTCAATTTTCGCAGCTTCATTACCAGGCTGCTGGCGTGTCACCTCCACAGCAATTTCCACATCAGTGAGTTTGGCAACTGCTTCTGACGCCTTGTTGTCGCCATCGAAGTTATCCAGTGTTAATGTGTCTGACACATGGGCTACCAACCGCGAGAAATAGCTCCACATTTCATTTTGTCAACCTTTTCAGAGTCCTCAACACTATCTCCAGCGGGCTCTTCAGTAGGCTCTCCAACTTACTCAGCGCCAACAGTGAGGCCAGCATGCTGAAAACAGCGAGTGATTGTCTCTTTCTTCACGCTCTCCCAAGCGACTTGAAGCATCTGTATTGCACTTAACTAGACAATTTCTAGCTCCTTATTCATACAAAGTCAAATGAGCAGCTGCTCAATGAACCTTCGCTCGTAGATCGATTTATTAGCACTGTAGCAAAGCCTCCGAACTCTGAAATGGGTCAAACTCTCAGGTACCTTTTAGTGGGGTGACCTAAAAAAGATGCTGCTCGTGCTGTGAGTCCGTGCATGGCCATGACTGTTGCCGTAGCATATGATTGTAAATTGCCAGCTAATAAACACCTTAACAGCCCGGATGATGCTTTGATAAAGACCTTAACAGCCCGGATGATGCCTTGATAAAGGAGCTGGTGGTGTTTGGAGGCAGGAGCTTGAGCTCGATGTTGGTTAACTGAACATCTGTGTAGTGTGCCAAGCAGTTGTCGACAAGGGGGCACCTTTTCCTGCACTAATCTCCAAACTCCCCATCCCAGTCCCGCAACCACTTTCCGAACAGCTCGCGTGTCATCCACGATTTTCTGTACAAAGTATAGGTGACGAAAAGCTCACGGTAGTTCCTCATGCAGTGGAAATGTGTCAATCACATGTGGATGAAGCTTTGTCGAACCATCCATGTTTGCACCAAGAACGATGGTGATATAGACTTTGCTTAGCGTATTTACTTGAATCTAACACGCACCTTTTTTTGCACGTTAGGATAATGTACTAAAAAAAAATTTTACGAATACAGTCATTCTATTGCCATTGGCATTTGAAAAATGGTCGCCTTCTACGCGCTATTACTGCCATTGTGTTTCCCATGTGCGGCACTTCGTACGTGTGCTGATTAGTTCGTTGATTGATTTGTGGGGTTTAACGTCCCAAAACCACCATATGATTATGAGAGACGCCGTAGTGGAGGGCTCCGGAAATTTTGACCACCTGGGGTTCTTTAATGTGCACCCAAATCTGAGCACACGGGCCTCGACATTTCTGCCTCCATCGGAAATGCAGCCGAGTACCTTAGCTACTAGACCACCCCGGCGGGGCCTGATTAGTTCGTCATCTTGTAGTTTATTCACATTGATGGCATGGAAGGGCCGACTCCAAAAACTCAACGAGTGCACCACGAAGCCGCTTTTAAAAGCAAAGTCATCGTGTGTGCAGAAACGGACGAAAATCAGGACACATCACGGTTGTTCAGAGTTCCCGAAATGCGCGTGCGGGACTAGCGGAAACAAAGCAAAAGATTGTCGACAGCAAAGCTTCACATAAAAGCTTCAGTGGACCACAGCAGGGCCGGTTTCCGCAACGCCTAGTATGTGCTCGAGCAATGAGCAGCACATCGGCCCATGTGCGGGCTATGCAGTTAGCCTTAGAAAAAGGGCTAACACAGAGCGGGTTCAAAGCGAGCAGGTGCTGGCTAACAAACTATATGAAGAGAAAAGGCTTTTCCCTACGAAGGTGACCGGGCATATGCCAGAAGTTGCCGGAGGAGTACGAAGAAAAGCTTCAGTTTTCCGAGTTTGTCCTAAACAACCATCAGCCATGGTCATCAAGGCATTCAAGAAATGTGGCATCTCGAATGCCATGGACAGTACCGAGAATGCGATGCTTTGGGCCGTTTACAGCGATAATGGGCTGTCCAACAGCGACGAGGACTGACCGATTGTGCAACACGGAACACCGCCGCAGTGGTCACAGTTTTAGCTGCACAGCCGGCTGTTTGACTTTGTGTTTTATCTTTCGAAACTTCAGTGCAATAAAACCCAGATACTTGCTCTCAATATGCGAAGGTAGACTCCTACAGACTTTTTTTTTTTCTTTTCTCTTCCACCACGAAAAATGGGTGTGCGTTACAATTGATGTTTTACTTTTTTTTTTACCGTGGAAACCGGGTGCGTCTTACAATCGAGGGCGTGATAGAACCGAGTAAATACGGTAACTCTCCACCGTGACATTTCTGCCCGCAGGTGTCCAGAGTTTGCCGCGGCAGCATTGACCAGAAGAGGCCCGTTTCAAGTATTAAAAATATCTCTTGGTTCATAGCTGGCAAAAATCTGAGGCCACTCTTCTTTGAGCTATTTGTCTATCCCTGTGGCGTTCACAAACCCTCTCA